AGGGCCGTGGACGTACGTCCAAAGTGAATCCACGTCTGCAGCCTCCAGACTATAGCCACGAATCAACTGCGGATTCACATCTCTAGACTCGAAGCCCACCTGGACAGGGCTCAACAGCCCTATTACACGACTAGCTTCAAGACACTGGACAGGTGTCCCGTTTAGCCCGGAGACCATTTAGGCCACAAAAGCCTCTCCTTATATCTACGGCTGCCCTAGGTACTGAACCAGGGCGCTCAGCGGCAAGCCTGAGAATGCAGGCAGGATGATATAGCCTCAACAAACCAGCATACAAACCACCACACACCACAGTGGAGGAAGCCTCCCCTATAGGAAGCAGAAGCAGATAGAGCAAAGAGAGTGTAAGAGTTCATATATCTCCCTATTGGAGAACTGAGGCTATATCCTGTAAGGACTGTGTACCGGAAAGATATCCTCCAATTAGAGATCCCCCTTTGTAGGCCATTTCCCCACTACAGTACTCAGATATAGGGCTCTCAGCCCCACGTTGAAATGAGCATGAAGGTCGTCTATCTCTTCGCGATGGTAGAGAGGGATCCGTTTTGGTGGTCGCAAGTAATCAGCGAGCTATTCTCACCCCCGGCTCACCTGCCGATATGAGACCGAAGCAGGGTCTTGACGAGTCGGCGTATCGCCTATTGCGTAAACCTTTCCTGGGCCTGTGATTTTCCGGGCTCTCTGGATTTCCCTCCTTTCTGATTTTTCCTCCTTCCTGATTTTCCTGACTTTCTGATCTTCCTGACTTTCTGTCCTTCGTTCGCTATACCTAGTCTTCCGTTACTTACTACCAGTCACTGTAGTAAAGTTAACGGGTTTATCGTTCAATCTCCAGCCTTATCTACTTCTGATACTTCTTTCGCCATTTTCATACTCTTATGGAATCCCCTCCTTTGTATATAGCGCTTTGTTCTAGCTGCTCGCGCCGACCTGCGTAGATCCCTCTTTATAAAGCTTGTCCCGTGTGCCGTGAAAAGACCCGCCGGCATGGGCTTCGACGATGTCTGAATGACTCTAGTACCGGTGAGGTTCCGGCCTCCCTTTCGACATTACAATCACCGCCACCGCCTATAACCCCGCCCTCGCCTATCCGCGAATATACTTCTATAATCGAAATAAACAAGCTGGTTTTCTACTTTCTTATGACTTGTGACTATAAGCTGTGCTATTGTAAATATGCATCTTCTCATTGAGGAACGCCTGCCCTGAACAGAGAGCGGAGTGAACCAATTTTACAAACCATAGGCGCCTGAGGCTGCTGGGGAGCTGCGTTTGGAGACGGACGCACTTCACGCTAGGTCTCGCTCTTATTGGTCGGTTGTTTGGTGGTTCACGTGATGTCTGCTTGTCACTCGTTTGCTTGGGCACTTCCTTGGTCGTTTCAGTTTCAGGGCATACAGTGTGGACCTGCGCGCGTCACTATTAGTGCCTTACACCGCCCCCCTAACCCTTCCGGGTTGTGGGTGCGCCACGCACAGATGCACAACCACACACAGATGCACACTTTTTCCTATTTCCCCTATCTACTACTGCATCCCACTAGTATCTATATAGAAACCCTGCCCGTTCTGACGTGCTTCCTCTGCTCTATCTAACGATGCCTGGCTTTCCTGCGTAGGTTCTGGTGGTGGTGATGTTCCATATGTTTTCTTCCACTGCTTCCTCACCCGCATCCGCTCTGTATCCGCCTCCTTCTCCTTTCTTTTAGCAATAGAACGATTTGCATCTCTAATAGAGAGAACCCCTGTTTTGCTAAGCGGCGTTTTAACCTGGCGCTTGGTGATTGGGCGCTATAGTGGTTGTTGAGCTTCCCTAATCTTGCGAATAGTATCGTTCGCTAGATTTAGGTTCTCTATAGTAATCTTGTTATGATGAAACACACGATCAAGATTACGTTGCTGCCTTAGTGTAAGATCCTCTTGATATCTAGCAATCTTCCTTTGATTCTTTTCTAGATCCTGTATAGATCTAGGCGGCGATTGGTCGATACTAGAAGAAGATATAGGTAGTAGTGAAGGTGTTAAACGAAGTGTTGAATAAAGCGGTTGTAGATCTAGCGCTAGGAGATCTGGGATCTCTTGGATAGGAAGGCTATTAATAACCTTTCTACTATCGACTGGATAGATCCTACGATCTTTGAACGATTCACGAATAATTCGCTAGCTAAACGCTCTATTCCGAATATCACCGATTATTCGAAGGAACTCCGATCTTCCGATAGGGCTTCTACCCTAAAACGCGTGGTCGTTATTCGCTAAGCGGAAGTGTTGCTTATAGCTTAGAAACGGCTTACCGTCTAGTGGTTGGCAAAGGTGTGTAGTATGTAGTAGGAAGCCTATTGGTAGGATATCGTTCTCTTCGCAAAGGTGTAGGAATTCGAATGTAAGATGCGAACCGTGACCGTCGAAGATTAGGATACGTTTTTCACCTAATTTCGTACGGTCGCGTGTTGATTCTATAAAGAATCGAAGCTACTGAACTGCTATATCGTCGGTTATCCAACCGTTTAGCGATGTAGTAATCGTAGTATATAGTAGTAGGTTTTCTGTTTAATTAAACTAAGATTCTATAAAGATCCCGTTGCCTTTAAATATGAACCAAGGTTCTAATTGCTACCCGTCGGCAGCGATATACTCGATAGTCGTTATATTTTCGCCTTGGTCTAGCTGAGGAAGATCTACTATCTTCCTACTACTAGTAGTAGAAGATATAACGTTTCTAGATCTTCCTTCGCCTGGTTGAAAGCCGTATTCATCAAAGTTATAGACTAAGCGTGGTAGTGTAGTCTTCTTGATCGTTTAGGCTAGTAGATCGTACTAATGCTGTAGTGCTGCTGGATCCTCTGCTAGAATTCGCTTCGACTCCTTCGTATACTGCTTAGTAGGCCCTAATTGAAGATGTTTAGGAAGCCTATTAATAAAGCGATACGCCCACATCTTGCTAATCGGCGGCTTCCCGACGCGTTGACATGCACGATTCGCCCACGCTTCTAGTATCCTAGGAGTGATAGGCATATAGCAATCGTTCATAGATTGAATCTAGCGTACTAGAGCTTCTTCCTGATAGGATTCGAGAGCGTGTTTAGCATTGCGTTTAGCTGTATTAGGCCCTGTTCCATTTTTAACACGGCGATAGAGCGTCGACCTAGGCACGCTAAATTCGCGTGCTAAACGTGCTATATTCGGCTTCTCAACGCTAGATGCAGCTAGGCAGGCTTCGGCCATACGAGATTCGTCGAAATTAGGCATCTTTAGATAGTAGTGTTGGATAGGGAAGCAAAAAATAGGATGGTAGAAAAAGTGTGCATCTGTGTGTGGTTGTGCATCTGTGCGTGGCGCACCCACAACCCGGAAGGGTTGGGGGGGCGGTGTAAGGCACTAATAGTGATTCTCCTCTCTAAGTCCGGGGGACTCTCGAGTATACCCAAATGCACGTGACTCCTGGCGCTAGCGGTGTTCCTGGGAAGTGGTTGGTTGTCAACCCTCGCGAAGTTGCGGCTGCATGTTCCGTAACCTTAGTCTTCTCGCGGCGAGAGCGGTCATACGGCGGGTCACAGTTTTCCCCTCCTTCGAAGCCATCATCGTAACTGCTTGTCGCGGCGAGGGTTATCATAGCTGCTTCTCATGGCAAGGTGGGTCGTACGACAGGTTACAGCTTTTCTTTCCCCAAAGCCATTGCAGGCAGATCGGCTTTGCGCGACAAGGGTGGTCGTACAACAGGCCACAGTTTTTCGTTCCCCAAGCCATCGTAGGCAGATCGGCTTCGCGCAAACTGTGGGGTTATAGCGTAGATCAGCGCCAAAGAATAAAAGATTCTCGTGTTTAGGGGGATCAAGGACCTACCTACACCTCCCGATCAGAGCTTCACCTAAAATAGTAGTATATTTCTATCCATCGATTTGATAACACCTGACATTGAAGTCAAATCTACAAGTGCCGTACAAGTAACAGTCGGAGAGCCCTAGCTCAGAGTTTACGATCGACACGACGATTGGAATTATGGTCCCACAGCGGCCTGGAAATACTACTTGGGTGGAAAATTGACAACTCATCCTTGTGGTTAATGAAGATTAGGACCTTATGTATTGTAATGAATGTGAATTTCTCCCACCGTATTCTTTGTGATCCTTCTTCTAAAAGTCACCGCCGCCTAAGGCATCTTCGCATGCCGCCTACGGTGACTTTTACAGGAAAATTACCAGGGGTAAGGATCCGCCTTCGACTAAACATGTTGGGCAAAGCATCCCGCAAAATGGAGTTCAACGATCGATCAAAGAGAAAAAATTGGTGAAACTGATTTCGATCCATCCTTTATTGAAAAAGAAATTAATTACACTTGCCCCCCCTTGATGTATGTACTGAGTTCAGGATATACAAGAGGTGACGAGATTTCAATTTGAAATCTCTCCATTCCAAAAGTGTATCACCGACAGCTACAAAAAGGGAGCCTGTGGTGATGCTAATTTACAGTTTTCGTGATGGTATAAGATACTAGGCTAGCTTATCTAGCCTCACTAAGCCTATAACTTTCTCGACATTCGACATGACATCAGTAGATTGACCGACTTTTACTACGGCCCAGGGTGACCGCTAGATGCAGATCCTGCTCTCGCTGCTTTAACAATCACGCCACGCCGTGCTAATACGTCTCTACATCCGCACCAAGTATAGATATTAGATAGAAAGGATAGAACATATTGGAACCCTCCTTGCATAATATTTCCATAGATCTTTTCTATTGAAAAAAGAAAACAGAATAGATGTGGTACAAGAGAGGTGAGGAATACTATACATGATGCATGTAGATCTTTAATCATCTCTCTCCTTCAATAATTGCGGTGAGAGCAAGATTCATGCCACGCTAAATAGCTATCATAGACAATACAAGTATGTACGGACATCATCGCTTGTATCATTCTACTCTGTTAATTCGCCAATACTAACACGCCAACCATTTTCGACAACAAGTATAACTGTGTGAATATGAAGGTGTTGTCTCTTGCCATGGCATTTGGCTTTGCCGCGCTCGCGGCAGCAGGATTTGGGGATGTAAGTGATGACCCTTGAGTGAAGAGCGATGCCGTTGAGTACACAATGCTGACTGGGATGGACGTGCATAGCCCGTAAGTAATGACCATTGACTGAAGAACGATGACTTCAAGCACACAACGCTGATTAGGATGAACGTGGATAGTGCGTAAGTGATAACCCTTGGATGAAGAGCGATGACTTCAAGTACGCAGTACTGACTGGAAGGGACCTGGATAGTGTGTAAGTGATAACCCTTGAGTGAAGAGCGATGGCTTTAATTGTATAGTGCTAACCGGGCTGGATATGAATAGGCTGTGAGTGATGACCCTTAACTTAAGGACGATGAATTTGAATACGTAGCGCTAATTGGGATGGACTTGAAAAGCAAGTAAGTGATGAAGATTCAGTGAAGAGCGATAGCTTTTAGGTACGCAGTACTGACCAAAATGGACGTGGATAGTTTGTGAGTGATGACCTTGAGTGAAGATCGATGACTATGACTGCATAATGCTAATTAAGGTGGATATGAATAGGCTGTAAGTGTTGACCTTTAGCTGAAGGGCGATGACTGTGACTGAATAGTGCTAATTGAGATGGATATGAATAGATTGTGAGTGATGACCCTTAACTAAAGAGCGATAAATTTGAGTACGTAGTGCTGACTAAGATGGACGTGGATAGAATGTAAGTGATGTTATTGAGTAAAGAGCGATGGCTTTGACTGCATAGTGCTTACTAGGGTGGATATGAATAGATGGTGAGTGATGATTCTTAACTGAAGAGCGATAGCTTTGACAGCATATTGCTAACTGGGGCGGATATCAATAGGCTGTGAGTGATGACCCTTAACTGAAGAGCAATAGCTTTGAGTATGCAGTGCTGACTGAGATGGACTTGGATAGGGTGTAAGTGATGACCCTTGACTGAAGAGCGACGGCTTTGAGTACGCAGTGCTGACTGGAATCGACGCGAATAGGAGGTAAGTAATAAACCCTTTAGTTAAGAGCGATGGCTTTGAGTACGCAGTATTGACTAGGATGGACGTGAATAGCCTGTAAGTTATAACCTTTGATTGAGACCTATGGCTTTGACTGTATAGTGCTAACTGGGATGGACGTGGGTAGTATGTAAGTAATAAGCCTTAACTGAAGAGCGATGGCTTCGACTGCATAGTGCTAACTGAGATGGACGTGGATAGAGAGTAAGTAATTCGCAATAGCTGAATATCGATGGCTTTGAGTACGCGGTACTTACTAGGATGGACGTGGATAGCCCGTAAGTGATAACGTTCAACTGAAGAGCGATGGCTTCGACTGCATAGTGCTAACTAGGATGGACGTGGATAGGCTGTAAGTGATTCGGAATAACGGAATAGCGATGACTCTGAGTATGTAGTGCTGACTGAGATGGTCGTGGGTAGTATGTAAGTGATGGCCCTTTAGTGAAGATCGATGGATTTAGGTACGTAGTACTGACTGAGATGGACATTAATAGAAAGTAAGTGATTACCCTTGACTGAAGAGCGATAGCTTCGAGTACGTAGTACTGACTAGGATGGACGTGTATAGCCAGTAAGTGATGACTATTAACTGAAGAGCGATGACTTCAAGTACATAACGCTGATAAGGATGGACGTGGATAGTGTGTAAGTGATAACCCTTTAGTGAAGATCGATGGATTTAGGTACGCAGTACTGACTGAGATGGATATGAATAGAAAGTAAGCGATTACCCTTGATTGAAGAGCGATAGCTTTGAGTACGCAGTACTGACTGGGATGGACGCGGATAGCTGGTGAGAATGACGTTGAGTGAAGACCGATGGATTTAACTGTATAGTGCTAACTGGGGCGGATATTAATAGGCTGTGAGTGATGACCCTTAACTGAAGAGCGATGACTTTGAGTACGTAGTGCTGACTGAGATGGACGTGGATAGGAGGTAAGTGATGACCATTGAGTGAAGAGGGATAGCTTTGAGTATGCAGTACTGACTGGGACGGACGTGGATAGCTTGTGAGTGATGAGCCTTAACTGAAGAGCGATGACTTTGAGGATGTAGTACTGACCAAGATGGATGTGGATAGGAGGTAAGTGATGACCATTGAGTGAAGAGGGATAGCTTTAGGTATGTAGTACTGACTAGGACGGACGTGGATAGCTTGTGAGTGATAAGCCTTAACTGAAGAGCGATAACTTTGAGTGTGCAGTGCTGACTGAGATGGACGTGGATAGGGTGTAAGTGATGGCCCTTCAGTGAAGATCTATGGATTTAGGTACGCAGTACTGACTGAGATGGACATTCATAGAAAGTAAGTGATTACCCTTGATTGAAGAGCGATGGCTTCGAGTACGTAGTACTGACTGGGATGGACGTGCATAGCCCGTAAGTGATGACTATTGACCGAAGAGCGATGACTTCAAGTACACAACGCTAATTAGGACGAACGTGGATAGGGTGTAAGTGATAACCCTTGAGTGAAGAGCGATGACTTCAAGTCCACAGCGCTGACTGGGATGGACGTGAACAGACGGTAAGTGATGACCCTCTAGTGAGGAACGATAGCTTTGACTGCATAGTGCTAACTAGGATGAATATTAATAGATTGTGAGTGATGAGCCCAAACTGAAGAGCGATGACTTTGAGTATGCAGTACTAACCGAGATGGATATCAATAGGCTGTGAGTGATGGCCCTTAACTGAAGAGCGATGACTTTGAGTACGTAGTGCTGACTGAGATGGACGGGGATAGTATGTAAGTGATGAGGTCTAACTGAAGAACGATAGCTTTGACTGCATAGTGCTAACTAGGATGCATATTAATAGCTTGTGAGTGATGAGCCCTAACTGCAGAGCGATGAGTTTGAGTATGCAGTGCTGACTGAGATGGACGTGGATAGGAGGTAAGTGATGACCCTTGAGTGAAGAGCGATGGCTTTAGGTACGCAGTACTAACTGAGATGGACGTGAATAGCGTGTAAGTGATGACCCTTGACTGAAGTGCGACGGCTTTGAGTACACAACGCTGACTGGAATGGACGCGAATAGTATGTAAGTGATGACCCTTGACTGAAGAGCGACGGCTTTTAGTACGCAGTGCTGACCGGAATGGACGCGAATAGCATGTAAGTGATGACCCTTGACTGAAGAGCGATAGCTTTGAGTATGTAGTGCTGACTGAGATGGACGTGGATAGCGTGTAAGTGATGACCCTTGACTGAAGAGCGACGGCTTTGAGTACGCAGTGCTGACTGGAATCGACGCGAATAGGAGGTAAGTAATGAACCCTTCAGTTAAGAGCGATAGCTTTGAGTACGCAGTATTGACTAGGATGGACGTGAATAGCCTGTAAGTTATAACCTTTGATTGAGACCTATGGCTTTGACTGTATAGTGCTAACTAGGATGGACGGGGATAGTTCGTGAGTGATGAGGCCTAACTGAAGAACGATGGCTTTGACTGCATAGTGCTAACTGGGATGCACGTGGATAGGGTGTAAGTGATTCGCAATATCTGAATAGCGATGAATTTTAGTATGTAGTACTGACTGAGATGCACGTGGATAGGAGGTAAGTGATGATCTTGAGTGAAGATCGATGGATTTAACTGCATAGTGCTAAATTGGATGGACACGAATAGGATGTAAGTGATGATCCTTGAGTGAAGAGTGCTGACTTTGAGTACGCGGTACTGACTGGGATGGACGTGGGTAGTATGTAAGTGATGAACTTGAGTGAAGATCGATCGCTTTAACTATATAGTGCTAACCGGGCTGGATATGAATAGGCTGTGAGTGATTACCCTTAACTGAAGGACGATGACTTTCAGTATATAGTGCTGACTGAGATGGACATGGATAGGCTGTGAGTGATGACCCTTGAGTGAAGAGCGATAGCTTTGAGTATGCAGTACTGACTGGGATGGACGTGGATAGTGTGTAAGTGATGACCCTTCAGTAAAGTGCTATATCTTCGAGTACACAACGCTGACTGGGATGAACGTGGATAGCGCGTAAGTTATGACCCTTGACAGAAGGGCGGTGACTTTGAGAATGCATTGCTGACTGAGATGGACGTGGATAGGGTGTAAGTGATGACCATTCAGTGAAGAGCAATGACTTTTCGTATGCAGTGCTGACTGAGATGAACGTGGAAAGAATGTAAGTGATGGCTCTTGATTGAAGAACGATGGCTTTGACTGCATAGTGCTAACTGGGATGAATATGAATAGGTTGTGAGTGATCGTCCTTGCCTGAAGAGAGTTGACTTCGAGTACACAACGCTGACTGAGATGGACGTGGATAGTGCGTAGGTGATGATCTTCACTGAAGAGCGATGACTCTCAACAAACAGAGCTGATTAGGATGAACGTGGATAGTGTGTAAGTGATGACCCTTGACTGAAGAGCAATGGATTTCACTGCATAGTGCTAAATAAGCTGATATGAATAGATTGTGAGTGATTAGTCTTAACCAAAGAGCGATGGCTTTGAGTACACAGTGCTGACTCGACGTGGCCGTCAGTAAACCGACCGTTGGGAATTCTGGTCAAAATGAACCACCCTTCGAAATTTCTTTCTTCTGTAAGTACACGGTTTCATACTGTTTGCTATGTTGATGCTTGATTTGATATATGATTTTGCCTGAAGTGCGGACCCTCCTTTCGACTCATTTGCTCTGCTGTTCTCTCGGCCTTGGTAAAGGTTTTCCCTGATTTAGGTTTTCCTGTACTGTTATGCGAATGCAAAGGCTTTATTCACTTCTGTCGATCTGTAAGATATCCGTATACGCCAGTACTGAAGGAACCAATTATCATGATTTCTTGATTGCGTGAACTATCTCCAAGACTGCTGTTGAAGTGTCTTTAGATATCAGGTGCTAAGGCTTGTCGCTCAAGGTGCGGGGCCCTGAGCTTATAATGTTTCTGCTCCTTTGGGTCCTCCTAGCACCAATCAGACTTGAGTGGACACAAGCGAATGACACATCACATACGATCGTACACAAGACTCCAGGTTGAAGGCCGTCCGGTCGCCTCTTCTTTCGTATTAATATGTGCCTCACACTCAGCTAGCATCCTACCAATGGCTGACAGGCGGCCTCTCTTCTCGATCCTCCGTGATGCAGGCCTTGCCTGATTGTCAACATCATGGCCGTAATTGAAGGCAATGAGAACCCTAATCTTTTCGCCCATACGGTGCAAATTGCTCTACTTACGTAGCTGCTTCTCCATTGGCTTTCAATCGATGTCAGTGGAATTATAGAACTTCTCAAAATCTTTCAACGACTTTTCATTGACCGACACGGTAACAGCCGTGCCTTCAGAGCGAACGCGTTGGCTTCGCTTCTTTTTCATTTGCAACATGTCCTCAACATTTGCCTTCAACGTTCCGTCCCAGTACTCACTGGGGGCTACGATCAAGTCGTCTTCGGTCACTTCACCCACCATTTTGCGGTTGAGTACCAGTTTCCAGGCGATTGTGTAGTAGGTGTTCGAAGTGATATATTCAACTTGGATAATACACGATTGGCGTCGATTGGAACTAGGCCTGCGGCAGCGAAGCTTGATTGAATTATATCCAGTTTGAACGCTTCCTGGCGTACTAGAACGTAGGCTTCTAGGAAGTCAAGTTTGTCGATATGGTTATGCCCTAAACGGGTTTGGGCCTCGATTAAGCGACTGTATGAACGTTTCAACACCGCAAAACATCCAATATCAAGTGGTTGTAGAAGATGTGATGAATGAGATGGCATGCAGATTGGTATAATATCATTTTCTTTACAAATTTGGTCGAATCTTGGTGTTAAATGACTACCGTGGCCATCAAGAATTAATGACCGGTATTTTCCGTGTGTGCGTGTAGTCGTTATTGGAATAAATAGTTTCTGTAACCATCGAAGACCTATTTCATCGGTTGTCCAACCATTTAATAACACTTCAATTCGCCAATCTTCTGGAAGATCTTGAAACCAATGTGTCATATAATTTTTGCCTTTGAAGATGATACACGGCGGAAGCGAGAACCCGGTTGCTGATATTGCTTCGATTGAGGTTACCCATTCTCGATTTCCAGGTTGTAAAAGCGGCTTCCGACCGTAGAAATCGCTACGTGTAACGATTCTAGCGGTAGAAACTAGGCCCATCGCGAAACCAGTCTTATCAAAGTTATAGATATCATTTGGAAGAATACCGTTATTCTCGATTGATGATTGAACTAATGTAAACCACTCACGTAGACTCTTTGGGTCTTCGTTTTGGGCACGTTGATAGTCGTAACGTTTTGAATATCGTGTTCGAAGCTCTGATCGACGTTGGATATAGCGCGTAACCCAGTTAACACCAACATTAGGTGGTAGGAAAGGAGGGTGGATATCACCACGCGTTCCTAGTAGAATATTCGCCATATCAGCGATCGCTGAAGGCCTAGGAGAAGCACCACGTAGATCTAATGATAGTATCCATTTGACAAGCGAATCTTCTTCTTCTTGTGTAAGCTTATTCAAAGATGACCGTTTTTCTTGCTGGTTTGGCACGCCATTAACACGACTATGTAATGTAGTAAGCGGCACGTTATAAATTGCTGCTGCTTGGCGAAGCGAGCGTGCTGAGCTATCTTGAATAGCCTGAATAGCGAATAGAATTCGACCTTCCCTATCTGGCGATTTTGAGCGTTTTTCTGAGCGTTTTGGTGGCATCGTGGGTGGTTGAAGATAGGTGATGACGCGTGGAGACGCGAATTTGGTGTGGTGTTCCGAATACTATTAGTGCCTTACACCGCCCCCCCCAACCCTTCCGGGTTGTGGGTGCGCCACCCATTTTTTGTCACCCACATATATTTTGTCATTTTTTGCTACTACCCTATTTTTGCTTCCCAATCCAACACCACTATTAAAATATGCCTAAATTCGACGAAGCTCGTATGGCCGAGGCCTGTTTAGCAGCATCTAGCGTTGTAAAGCCGAATATCGCGCGTTTAGCACGCGAATTCGGCGTGCCTAGGACAACGCTTGCCTATCGGATCTAAAAGCAAGCAAGGCCTAATACAGTGCCTAACACCGCTAGAAATACTCTCGAAGCCTACCAGGAAGAAGCATTAATTCGCTGGATTCAATATATGAGCGATCACTATATGCCTATCACTCCTAGGATACTAGAAGCGTGGGCGAATCGTGCATGCCAACGTATCGGGAAGCCGTCGGTTAGCAAGATGTAGGCGTATCGCTTTATTAATAGGCTTCCTAAACATCTTCAATTAGGGCCTACTAAGCAGTATACGAAGGAATCAAAGAGAATCCTAGCAGAAGACCCAGCAGCATTAGCGAATTGGTACGATCTACTAGCCCAAACGATCAAGAAGACTACACCACCACGCTTAGTCTATAACTTTGATGAATGCGGCTTTCAACCAGGCGAAGGAAGGTCTAGAAACGTTATATCTACTACTACTACTACTACTACTACTACTACTACTACTACTACTACTACTACTACTACTACTACTACTACTACTACTACTACTACTACTACTACTACTACTAGTAGTAGTAGTAGTAGTAGTAGTGGAAGGTAGTAGACCTTCCTCAGCCAGACCAAGGCGAAAATATTACGTCTATCGAGTGTATAGCTGCCGACGGGTGGCAGTTAGAACCCTGGTTTATCTTTAAAGGCAACGGTATCTTTATAGAATCTTGGTTTAATCAAACAGACGACCTACCACCAAGAACTACTATTACTACATCGCTAAACGGTTGGATAACCGATAGTATAGCAGTTCAATGGCTTCGATTCTTTATAGAATCAACATGCGACCGTACGAAATCAGGTGAAAAACGTATCCTAATATTCGACGGTCACGGTTCGCATCTTACATTCGAATTCCTACACCTTTGCGAAGAGAACAATATCCTACCTATAGGATTCCTACCACATACTACACATCTTTGCCAGCCGCTAGACGGTAAACCGTTTCTAAGCTATAAGCAACACTTCCGCTTAGCGAATAACGACTACGCGTTTTGGGGTGGAAGCCCTATCGGAAGATCAGATTTTCTTCGAATAATCGGTGATATTCGGAATAGAGCGTTTAGCCAGCGAATCATTCGTGAATCGTTTAAAGATCGAGGGATCTATCCAGTCGATAGTAAAAAGGTTATTAATAGCCTTCCTATCCAAGATTACCCAGATCTTACAGCGCCAGATCTACAACCGCTTTATACAACACCTTCACCACCACCTATATCTTCTTCTAGTATCGACCAATCGCCGCCTAGATCTATACAGGATCTAGAGAAGAATCAAAAGAAGATTACTAGATATCAACAAGAAGATCTTACACCTAGGCAGCAACGCAATCTTGACCGGTTATTTCATCATAACAAGATTGCTATAGAGAACCTAAATCTAGCGAACGATACTATTCGCAAGATTAGGGAAGCTCAACAACCACTACAGCGCCCAATCACCAAGCGCCAGGTTAAAACACCGCTTAGCAAAACAGGGGTACTCTCTATTAGAGATGCAAATCGTTCTATTGCTAAAAGAAATGAGAAGGAAACAGAGGCAGAGCGGAAGCGGGTGAGGAAGCAATGGAAGAAAGCGTATAGAAAATCACCACCACCAGATCCTACACAGAATCAAGATATAGCACTAGAAAGAGCGGAGGGAGCACACCAGGGAGGTGATATTTTCTTTATGGATACTACTGGGATGCATCAATAGATAGAGGAAATAGGAAAAATTATGCATCTGTGTGTGGTTATGCATCTGTGCGTGGCGCACCCACAACCCGGAAGGGTGGGGGGGGGGGGGGGGCGGTGTAAGGCACTAATAGGACGTTCCTTTACAATTGCTCTTCAGTAGAGCTTTGCTTGGTAATTCTGTTTCTATTAGAGCAATGCAGCTAGATACAATTTCCATCAGGAAGTTAATTATCGCCTTCTAAATAATGCAGGAATAGCAGTGGTCAGGAATAAGGTCGTATTTATTAAAATTCGTTGCGTTGCGAGGGCCTACTATGGGCAGCCGCCGTTGGTTTATATGAACGTTTCTAGAACTTCCTTTTTGAATGCAGTTTCAAACAAGTATAATTCGCAGCCTAGCCGAGTCTAACTTATGTAGGTAATTTCATTATCTTCATGGCGGTAGAGCTTGTGATAGTTTCTCTATGTATGTCAACCATGCACATGTGCAAGCCAATTTCGAATATTACTGTAAACCATGGGGCTCCTCAGCTTTATGCGTCCAGCCCAGTAGATGTTCCGCGCTAAATTCTTGGCAGTGGGGCCAATAAAGATAATCGAAGAGTGTACTGGTCACGCCGATTTCGAGAATGACTGTACGTTGAATATTTGCGAGGCAACCAATCATTAAAGTGGCATATAAACAACAAGGAAGACACAGAGCGTAACAATGGTATTCATATTTCCTAATCACATACTCCCTATCCGTGCACTTATCGTTAAATCATTTCAGAGTCTTATATCAGGCTATATCAAAGGTGGGCTAGCGTATTTCAGAATCAAGTTCAACGGAGAATTCAAGATAACCAAAAGGTGAAGCTAATTTTGAGCGGCCCTTGACACCCTTAATTTTGTGATTCTCGATGATCCCCACACTTCTCCCCCACCCTTCTCCAATACTTTTCTACGGGCATTCCTGTCATGAATTTAACTCGATTGCGATTCCTAAACACGGCAATCAATGCTGATGTTGAGACTGAAGCTCTGATTACCCCGAAGTTCTGGGCGAATAGAGGTACTTCTGTGAAGGCTCCGATCGATAAGGATTGGAGAGTTTTTGGTGATGCTACAGATTTCTCTACTGAGTCTGATGTTATAGTGACCTCAGGAGTCTGTAGGGACGATATCTCCATATCTGTATTGAAAAGTTCTCGCCACGAGTTTCATATTGGTATCATGGCAGACTAATGGTGTAGATGGCGATCCTCCGCTGGTCGGAAAGAAGACTTCAACACGGCATTGATGATGGGAACTTGATTTCTCCAATCACGAGCGCGAAAAAGCGTCAGTTGTACTCAGATCTCATAGGGTGATTCATGGCAATAGCGAGTGGCGCAATATGCCATGGGATGATCTCAATAGCCGTTTGATTGTCATTGATTTGGAAGACATGAAATGGTTGAAATGTCCTCGAGCCATCGAACCAGTGACTGGAAATGCAAGGCATACCCGTCGCGCAAAGACAGGAAAAATCAGGCCAATATCTCCGCGCAGCTCAATTGCTGCCTATATATTATTAGATCTACAGCCTATTTCCATTTCCAGTTACATTTCCAATTCGCATGAAAATGAAAATGAAGCATATCCAGTCCAAGATCTCATGAAAAGAGACCAAGAAATCGCCATGTTATCCTGCGAAGATAGTTCACATATTCCAACATAGCTGCTCTGGAGAAACATGCTGTCAACACCTCATTCTCTGCCAAACTCTTCCGAAAGCCTTTCATTCGATTCTGTGGCGAGTTTCAGATATCTGTAGGTCACTGGCTTTTCCTCGACCATGTGTGCAACTGAAAAAAGATTATTGACCTTATCACGGATAGCCAGTGAGCATGAATAGTGTTGCTGGAGACTGACGTCTCGTCTATTGAGGGAAAACTTGTTATTACTGGGTGAAGGTGCTCCCGCCAACCCATTGGCGACGAAGCGTCGGAGGATTCGGACTCGTCCTTGTCCTGGCTACCTGAGGATACCTTTGATTCGTTGTCGCTGTATTCGACTGGGTATTTACGCTGATAGTCGTTCCCTCTTTAGCGCTGCTTTTTATCGGCCTGTCTGGCGGAGTCCCAATGAAGGCGATTGAACCGGTCACCTCGGCCGGCACGGTCGACTTGACGGTTATCGCGACGGCTGTCGCGGTGATCATCTCGTCGATCTGTGCGGGCGGGGCGGCGATCATGCTCCGGTCGACCGGGGGGGGCGGCGCACACTTATCGTTGGTACGCGCCTGGCGTCTATTGGCATCAGTCTCGCGAAGGATCGGCGACTTAGTCCTTGGGTCGCGTTTCTTGTCGGTTGCATTAATGGGTCTTTCTATGCTAGTACAGTACGCTAGGTGGAGGCCACTGGACCCAGAACATAAACGCTAGTCCTAAGCCGAAGCTTTGAATCAGGCAATGGTAACAAGATATGGGAATGTGGGAAGCAGTAAAGCTGAAGTTCATTCGTATGAGCGATTTAATGATGATCTAGCTGCCTCATAGCGTTATAACATGTCAACAGGTAATGAAGTAATTGAACAACAATAAGGATATATTAGCAATAAAACATGTGTTCAATGAGTCGAAGAGAATGATCTCCGCAATTCCGCAATTTGCTTCGACGTACAGGGATAAGTCCCAGGAATCCTAGGCGCTTCGGGTGGACTACAAAGGATCTTGGTATTCCTGATGTCGGCTGGTAGCAAAAAGCCTCCTTTGATCCGGAAGCCATCGACTTTTAGTGGTGCACCGCGATGATCGTCCTTTAGCAGCTGTCGGGAGTAAAGAGGTGACTCAAAGTTCTGAAAACAAACCGCCAGGCAGGTTCGGTCTTGAATTTTTCCCAGACATAAAGCTGAGCCTGAAAGGCCCTCGAGGGGGTCTTGATCCGTTTCGGTCCGCCAAAGTATCGAGACATTCTGCGATAAAACTTCTCGGTCCCACAAATACTGAGAGCCCTCTGCGAGCGCTACTTGCGCTTTTCTTAATAGCCCGCTTCCTGATCGCATGAGAATATTACCTGTCGTAATATTGAAGCCTGTTACAAAGGCTCGCTGTCCATCAAGAAGATCTTTATAACTACCCCAGCCTACTACACAGGGTGTTCCATCCGGTGATATCACTTCTGGTAGCTTTGCGGAATGCGAGATCAATGACAAATCATGCGTAAACCCAATAGGGTATCGGAGAGGCCTTTCTGCAATTCGGTCGTAGGTGTACGTAATAGTCCCGATCTTTTTCCAAAGACTTGTTAGAAAGACCGTACCGAAAGAAAAATACAGGCATACCTCTTCTGATCCACCGGCGAGAAAAACTTGCTTGCCAAGAGGCGAGTTGCCTATTGGCTGGCGCCAAGCGGATCCAATTGCTGGTAAAGACAATCCTCTTTGGATAGGTGAATATCGCGCCAACTTTTGCTTGAAAAGATAATATAAGTCGGCAATTCGGCGGAGAGCAGATGTACGGATTCCACGAAGGCCGACAAATGCATGCGTCGGCACCGTTATCGCCTCTTGGCCCTCTGGAAAACGGAGCTTCAGCCCTAGCGCAGTATATGCCTCCACACAGTCCGGTTTAGCAGCAATTGCTGCGCCTCTTGCAATAGCTTTCTGTGTCGGGCTGTCCTCAAGTATGTCATATCTGAGTCTTAGGGCACCAAATGTATCTGCCAGTCCATCATGCAGCCAAGATTCCTCGACATCAGTGCGGCTCTTGAAAAGAATCACAATATAACCACTTATAAAAACTCTTGCACCGATCGATGTCGGGAACATCTCTCGTAACCGTTGAAGATGGCCCCGAGAAAAAAACTTCCGTGGTGTTAGTGTGCCAATAATAGGGTCCGGTTGTAACTTCGGCCATTTCGTCGTGGTCTGTTCTATCAATCCACCTGGTGCCAGGTGGATCTCAAGATCGCCGGCATGGGTGCTGATGGACTCGGCTGTATCAGGGTCTGGTGATATCACCCAGATCCACTTGTCTTTACTCTCTTCTGCGAGGTATACTGTGGGAAGACAGCTCAGAGACGGGTGGTAAGTCCGTAGTAATTCTTTGTTGGAGCTGGTCACTTTGGGTTCAATCAAGGCACGCTTCGCTGCAACTGATGCATCGCCCCACTCGACGGAGTCCGTGGCTGGCAAAGAGTTAGCTCTGGATCATCTTCTCCACTCCCAAAATTCGAATACATACTGCGCACAAGGTGCATGTGTCGTAGCTCTTCCACTGAGCCCACTGGTTGAACAGCACCATGTTCTTTGTTGACGCAGTCGTCCGGAAGAATAGGATATGCAAATATGGAATCATCCTCCCAAGACACACGTCGCTTCTTGGATACCGGAGACTGAAATTCAGGCGAAAGCGGCCTTGTTGAAGAAGGCATCACGACGGGTGTAGATGTATTGATTCTGATGCGATGCTTGGGGGCTGTATGGACATTGGGATGTGGATCAGGAAAGAAGCGGGCGGTGGGGCCGACCGGTACGATGGTTAGTTAACCTGAATGACAGGACGCAGGTAAGCCGAACTGACCCAAGGATCCAGGGGACGACTAAACCCAGAATCGTCAGGCTCATCCACCCGGACCGCTCGGCTCCCGTTTTCCACGATGCCGACTTGACGTGCCTAGCATTCTTAATTCGGGATGGAAGTTGCTTTGAGATGAAGGTTGATTTAGAAAGGCGCGCCCGAACGTCCCGACCCCACTGGGCCGCGCTATCGCTTTCCACTCCTCCGCCAATAACTTACCTTCCATCCCCGACCAGCTCCTGAATCTGAGAAGCTCATTCAAGGCGACGAAAAGCTCATCTCGAAGGTCTTCTTCTAAAAGTCCAACGTCGAAGACCCCCTGTGATGTGTAGGAGCGGCCTCACGTGATACCAACGTGATTAACCCTCTCTTTTAGTTATTCAGGATTAGCTCGATCTCAGAATAAATCAAGAGGTATGATCCCATCACACATCAGGGTTGTTCCGTAACGCAGATACTGCAGACCAAGCCGTATCTCCAATCATGTCCATTACTTCCAGACCAAGGCAACATATAGCACCCTGAATTGATTAGCCAATATTTACTTTGATTTAGCTTAGTGCAAGGGCACATAATTCTTGAAGCTATTGATCGCAGCGATATCAGGCACCAGGAAGTTAACTTAGTCTGAAATCTGGAGATAGCCCCGGGAATGGAGGGTGCCACAATTTTCGAAAAAGAAATCCAGAAAGAAAGGAATTCTCACCCCTATTACCTTGACATCATACTTTGATCGTGCTGGCCTGGAACATCTTTTTAGACTTTTTTAAGATGGAGGTGTTGGCGTTGATCGGGGGGCAGTCGGCTTGACCCTGAGAAGCTGACTGAGGGGTCGGAAATCGCCTCTGTATCGATACCGGCTTCTCTTGAAGGATTTGTGATCTATCGCACCGCTAGCAGAGCCTAGTGGAAGCGAAAACGCGGTCAGGATGTGTCAGACACAACAGGATTAGATGCGGAGAGCTGTGCCTACAGTTATAAGTGATGAGCTTGCTCGGGTATACAAGCTCTTGCTCTCTGATTGGTGCCGAAGCGACGCCGAAGCTCTTTGGTGTATCATCAGAATGCGGCCCGAGGAGGTATGCCGCGTTTCGGAAGCTGTTTTTCCTGGTATAATCAGATTGATATACGGTATCTAGCAGCAGTAGTTAATGACAACAACAATCAACTATTTCTGGAAGCAGGAAGGTGTTCGAAAAGCATCAGTTTTGCGGACAGAGATTTCAACGTACAGAGAGAGGTTGATATCAAAAGGAGATCCGTGTGATATATCGGATATTGATTCAGCCTACTCTGATTCGTCAGCTTTATCAGGTTTATATTCAGATTCGGATTTAACGTCGGTCGTATCAGAATCGGCAGCGTTATTTGATTATATTATGTCTTCGCGTTCTCTATTGGAAAACTTCAAAAACAAGAAAACAGGATTGCTTGCCGACAGCAAGATGACGAACAATGATGCTGCAGAAGAAGCTTCGGCCGTCGCTGTGCCTAGTGCATAGGAAGCTCGGGCATTCGAAGGATATCGGGAGCCGGTAGCGGCCTCCGAGACTTCAGATGAAAGATCTCATCGGATTGATGAAGCTATTCGGGAGGTTCCTCAGCCCGAACAGCCTCGGCATACCGTTTCGCATCCAGGGTCTATGCCGCCTCCGCAGCCCTATCCTTATCCTCCGCCTGATGGTGCGTATCTAACACAGCCATATTATCCCTTATATCCTCCTCCATTTAGGTATCCTCAGTACGCTAGTTATCCGCCAAGGCATCTAATGCTAATACCCCGCACTTAGGGTGCACCGTTCTTCGATGGAAAGGATATATCGGACTTTCTTAGAACGTTCGAAAGTGTGTGCCGGCGATCGGGGATTCGCTCTAGTGAAGAGATGATTAGCGAGTTCCCTGATTACTGTGACAAGATTGTGCGCAGATAGGTAACTGCCAATACGTTATGGAAAAAGAGCGATTGGGAAGCATTCAAGAAGGATATTAAATATAGATATCAGCAGCAGGATAGTGAGCGGACCCTGTTCACTAGAACGTCGTTTATAGAGCTTGTTGAGGTGAAGCGCACGATGGAAGATGATCTTGATGACTACATGTCGACCTTCCAGTCTATATCCGATTACCAACTTTCCGAAGGCGCTCTGTCGGAACATCAGAGATGTGAATGGTTTATGCGTGGCTTGCTATACAAGATGATGAAGAAGCTCTGTGAGGATAAAGGTGTCAATTTGGAATGGCCTTTAAAGAGCAAGAAAACGCTTACTCTTGACTGGCTATTAGAGCTTGTTGATAAGGAAAAGGAGAAGAAAAAGAGCGTTAAGAGAACGATGCAAATTGCTCTTGACAGTGAAAGCTCTGTTAAGGAAGCTTCTAAATCTGATCTTGATAAGCGGCAGCAGGTATCCCCGCAGCCGGATGTTAGATCTGATGATAGCGCTGGCAAAAGAAAGGGGGATGAAGAAGGTCATGAGCGAATCAACACACAGCTGAGGGAGCTTAGCCTTACTGTTCAGACCCTAGCAGCACGAACAGACGCTAGGAACGATCCAGGGTTTGTTCCTCGGGATAGCTTCAGGCCTAGAAGAGAAGGCGCTACAAGCTGCTTCTTTTATGATAGGCCTTATTTTCAGCGTGTTGGGGAGTGCCCTGTGTTGACAGAATATGTTAACAAAGGGATGGTGCATTATGCTGATACTGGAAAGATGGTGCTTGGTACTGCGGACTAGGAAGGCCCTCTATTGCGCATAATTCCTGGAACGCTTAATGGGGATCTTGTTGACCGTTAGTTCAAAGCTTGGAAGGATGGTAAGATAGGATATACTGCTCCTGTTAACTTCATGACTCGCAGAGATAAAGAAGAAGGTGCTGCTAACCAGCAGTATGATAAGCGGGGTGTGCAAGTAGGGTCAAATTTGCTGCGTATCGGAGCGGCTCCTGAAAGGAATGAGGCAATTGATGATACTGACGATGACAGCGAGGACCCTATATTTATCACGGTAAGCGGAAGGCAGCATGTGCCGTCAGCAGCTGCTCAGATAGAGAATTATATGGAGACACGAAAGCGACGCAGAGAGAGAGATATCGCTTCGACTCCCTATCGTGATAATGGAAGGTATCAGTCCCGTGTGGAAGAGATCGAAGATGATGTGATGATGGAACGCCCTCCAGAATCGCAGGTGGTTCTGGAAAGCCCTAGATCCTCACCGTCTCAAACACAGCGGCAGGAAACGCCTTAGGAAGCAAGCGCTAGAACGATAGAGGCTAGGAAGCATCAGCACCCCTTCTTACCATTGAACGCTGACCTAGAGGATAATATCAAGGACCGCTTTTTGCAGATGGAAATTCCTGTTAAACTGCATGAGATGGCAAGTATTTCACCGCGATTCCGAAATAACCTGTTTCGTGCTACTAAGGATTCGCCGGCGAATTCAGCTCTATTGCAAAAGAAGGATATAATGTAGGTTTCATCTAATCTGGGACGTTTGATGATTAATGATGTTAGAAAATCAGAGCTAGTGATTCCTGTGGAAGATCCTGAATGGTCTGATGTGTATTCATTAGACCTCCTGACAACTCAGGTGGTGATTGGTGAGGTTGTTTGCAAAGCCACTATTGATACCGGATCGGGTGTTGATATTATCGGACTCAATGAGGCGCGGAGATTGGGATACCCTATCAGGAAGGAACCTAAGATTAGTGTTATTCCTGTCTCCGGCGAAGAGGTTCGGTGTATTAGTTATATGCAGAACTTACCGGTTTCTATTGGAGATATCACGATTCGCATCAATGTTTTCGTGATTCAGAATAGCAGCCCAGGATTACTATTAGGAAGGCTATTTGCGCAAGCAGCGATGATGTAGATAACAGAGAAACCAGATCGCACTGTGTCATGCACGATTTATAACAGGGATCGATCTAGGAAGCTCACGTTTAGGGTCTTCGAAAATGATAGGGGTAGGGCAGCACGGTCCGCAGATGTCTGGCCGAACCCTAATCAAAAGGAGTTAAACGAGTAGGCAAATATGCTTCCGTCGAGAGCATGTTTGCCAGGTCTTCAATATCGATAGGGATAGGAGATGATGAAGGTTTGCTAGCTGAGTCTTAGAAAGAAATCAAGATACCAGGAACCGAACTGGATTCGTCTGAAGTTAGGGTGACGATCAAAGAAGGAGAAACGTTGAAAGAAGCCCGCTTACCAAATAACCTTATTCGGCCGAAATATCTTCTTTCATTAGGCCTGCCATCTTACACGCTGTATAAAAGAAAGGCTGATAAGATTCAACCAATCAACGCCCAGGAATCTGATGGATCTATGCCGGCAGGGCATTCAGGATGGGAAGAAGCTTGCATGCGGAAATATCATACTCGATTTAGGGCTCCGGATATACGAACCCCTTTTGACAGATATTTATTCCCCCGTATTGCTAACTTCGCAAGAGAAGCTAAGCTAACACCTGACCGTGAAGAGAAGCTGATATTAGGCAAAAATCTGCTACCTAAAGAAAAGGAATTACTGCGTGAGATGCTCATTATAAGAGAAGGATTTCTTGCTTAGGATTAGCATGATATGAGCCAGGTTCGGCCTGAGGTTTTTGATCCACAGCGAATCCGCACTGTAAAGCATGAAGCTTGGCAGCATCCTGGTTTCTAGATCCCTCTTGCCCTAAGGTCAAATGTTGAGGGTATGCTTCAGGATCGTATCAGAAAAGGGGTGTTTGAGCGCTGCCATAGCTCATACCGGAACCCTTGGTTTCTTGTTAAGAAGAAGGTTGCAGGGACGTATCGCATTGTGACAGCAGCAATGAAGCTTAATTTAGTGACGATTCGTGATGCTAATATTCCGCCGGGTGCTGACGAGTTTGTCGAGGAGTTCTCAGGAATGCCGGTGATGTCATTAGTGGATCTGTTCTCGGGATATGATCAGCTTCCTCTGGATGAAAGAGACCGTGATATGACAGCGATTCAAACCCCTATTAGCCTCCTTAGGCAGACGACTATCCTGCAAGGCGCTACCAACTCTATTGCACAAATTCAAAGGGTCCTAGAATGGATACTGCAGTCAATATATGGCAAGAAGGTGCGAGGCTATTTGGATGACTTACCAATCAAAGGACCTAAGACGATATATAATGGGGAGTTCTCCTTTCCGGGTGTTCGACGCTTCGTACTAGAGCACATTCAAAACCTTGATCACACACTCTACTTACTAGAGCTTGCCGGCATGGTGATCTCTGCTGAGAAATCCTAATTTGCTATGTCTAGCGTTGCCGTTGTAGGATGGGTTTGTGATGCTGATGGCCGCCGCCCGGATAAAACGAAGGTTGCGAAGCTAGTAAACTGGCCTATGCCTACCACTGTGGAAGAACTGCGATCATTCGTTGGCTTGGCAGTCTATTTCAGGATTCTGATAGAGAAATTCGGGATCCTTATGGCACCGCTATATCAAGCCTTAAAGACCAAGGGTCATTTCGAATGGAAGGATGAACAGCAGGATGTATTTGATGAAGTTAAGCTTCGCTTATCGCAGTTTCCCTGTGTGCTGCCGATAGACTACTTATATGAACCGTTGGTTATTATAGTAGCCGTTGATGCTTCCAAGAAAGGATAGGGAGCAATCCTGATGCAGTCCCGAGACAATATTCGAAAACCCGCGCGCTATGAATCTGGAGTCTGGTCGCAATCGGAAGCCGAGTATGATGCCGGCAAGAGAGAATGTCGAGCTGTGTTGAAAGCCCTAAAGAAGTTCCGACACTGGTTATATAGCGTTCACTTTATCTTGGAGATTGATACGGAAACCCTAGTTGCATAGCTAAACCGGTCAGCTACTGATCTTCCTAGTGCACTAGTGACAAGCTGGATAGCATGGATTCGCTTATTTGATTTTGATGTTAAACATATACCTAGCAAGAAGCATAGTGCTGCTGATGGGCTATCACGAAGGCCTGCAACAGAACAAGAGCTGATAGATCAAGCTAAGGAAGCTGACATTGATGAATTCATTGCGGAAGAGGTATCGTATCTTCGTGTGCCCGTTTGGGTGCTGCCGGAAGGTCGGATATTATCAGAATCATATTCCGATGACTCCGAGATGATTACTAGATATCTATCCAGCCTTCGGAGGCCTGAGGCTATGCCACGCAGTCAGTTCTACACCTTCAAAAAGAAAGCACTTCAATTTGCTGTTCAAGGGGAGTATCTCTTTTACCGAGGTCGTGGTGTGAATCTGCCTCTTCGACGGGTCCTGGATACTGAGGAGGATCGTCAGCGTGTTCTAAAAGGAGCACACGATGAGATAGGACATCGAGAAAGGGAAGCTACTTACCATCTTCTAAAGCTGCGCTACTGGTGGGAAGGAATGTATACAAATACTGCAGAATTTGTGCGGTCATACATCCCTTGCTAACGCCGAAATCTAAATAGGGAGTATGAACCAATGGTCCCGACACGCGTGCTCAGAATCTGGGATAAGCTCTTTCTGGATACAACTTCTATGCCGATAGAAGATGGAAGGAAGGCTGTTATTCAAGCTCGTGAAGCAGCAAGTGGATAGGTCGAAGCTCGCGCTGTTCAATCAAAATCTAGTCAAGCAGTATGCTAATTTCTTTAGGAAGAGATCATATGCAGATATGGCTGCCCGCTTCAAATTGTGATGGATGGCGGACCAGAGATGCGCTCTGAAACTAAGGCATTCCTATTAGAAAGAGGAATATCTTATGTTAACATTTCCGCTTACCATCCTGAATCAAATGGGCCCGTTGAACGCTCAATGCGTACCTTAAAAGATGCCCTTTCAAAGATGACAGATGGGTACTTAACGGACCAGAGGTGGACTGGTAAATTGCATGCAGCTCTATTCGCGGATAGGATCACAGTGAATGCGACAACTGGGATATCACCCTTCTATTTCCTCTTTGGAAATGAAGCCATCCTGCCGATAGAACATGATATTCAATCATGGGATGTTCTTCCGTGGGATACAGTGTCAACGAGAGAAGATTTGATTGCGACAAGAGCTCGTCAATTGCTTCTAAAGCAATCGGAGATCCAAGAAGGCCTGCAGCGGCTAGAACGTCTTCGAGAAAGCAACAAGGAAGCTTATGATGAACGACATGTGCTTCGGAATACGCCGCTGGAGATGAATGAACTTGTGCTGTTGCATAATTCGATTACCCAGAACGATCTGCGTGCCGATACTAGACTCCGATATCGATGGTCAGGACCTTATCGAATTGCTGCCGTTAAAGGAAATGGAGCATATGCGTTGAAAGAGCTTGATAGGACACTTATCTATCACGCTTTCTCACAGCCATCGGATGGAATTCGACGCCCTGATGCAGTGAACGGAAATAGGTTGAAGAGGTTCTGGCCTCGATCAGATCTTCTCCTGCTAAATGATGAGCGTCCTGTAATAGCGTCGATCGAATGATAGAGTGCGATATTTTTTGGTTTGTTTTTCTTTTTTTTCTTTCTTTTTTTCTTTCTTTTTTCTTTCTTTTTTCTTTCTTTTTTCTTTCTTTTGTTGCGACCAGGGACGGTCTTAATGGAAGGGGGGAAGGGTCACCTATTGCGAGCTTCGCACTTTCGAGGAAGCTATTTTTGGAAGCCCCTTTGATTCCTTTGTTTCCTAAGTTTTTCGGCTGAAAAAACCTCGCCGCTTTGTTTTTATTTTAGCATTTGAATTCTTCCGCGAGATATGTATTGGTTGTGAAAAGGGAGATAAAAAAGGGGAAGAGATGTTCGATAAGGCCACTTACAACAAGTGCTCAGAAAGTTTTGAAGATAGCTGCGAATGATTATCAGCTAGTGGTTAAAACTAGCTCTCAGGATCTAGAGATAGTTTTGAATGGTCAGCGATTCAACACGCTGGAAGAGGTGAAGAAGGAGATCGAGAAATACCCTGAGGAAGCGCAATATAACATGCAGGTGGAAGTGAAGACCTGGCTTCGTCGCAACGCTCTGCTAGGTGCGATGATGATCACTGACTGGCTTGATTATGCTGTCAGGAGGCGAATGTGGCAAAAGGTGATAACAGAGAAGGAGTTTGATGCGGAATGGGAAGAAGAAAGGAAGGACAGCAAAGCTTGCAAGAAGAGCCTCTCTTACATCTTGCGCATAAAAGAGCGAGCAGTGGAAACCTGGGGCGAGGAGAACGCTCTGACCCTCTTTCGGTCGGTGATAACTGTGTCTATTGCTGAAAGGATCAACCAGCTGTGCTCAAAACAGGTTTCCTATCAGCAAATGCAGTTAGCGGTGAATAATGAGCTTTTGAACCGCCTGAAAAGGATAGGCAGAGGGCATAGGAGGGTATGTAGTGGGGAAGTGGCATACAGGCATGAACTAGCGGTGTGACGGAAGATATGATATATCAGGCCTACCCCGCTGTATCTAGCAATTCAGACACCCATCTTCTCTTCAACTATCCCTAGGTGTTCTCTCTTTCTCTTCCCTAGCCCCTAGAGGCGGGCCTGGTCGCAGACAGTGACCGTCTCTCACACCAGTTCAGTATATACCGCCAGGTAATTACTGTTACACGCTGCTAACTGGTGTAGTAGGGAAATGGCAGACGAGGGGTGATCTCTGATTGGAGGATATACTTCTCAGTACACACTATGATCTACGAGACTGGAGCACCGTTGTTATGGCGTTGTATGGACTGGAGATCCCTCAAGTAATGCTCGCGCAACATCAATCTGGAAACACGCTACCCGTGGGTCGGATCTGGCGAGAGATTCGCTTCCCACGGCTCGGTTCCGGCGAGGCCCCCACACACGTAGTGTATGTACACTATGGTGCTTCGCTAATGTTCTGCTCTTTCAATCCAGTAGTATGTGCTCATCAGAGACCGGTATGGTCGAGTGTCCCTACCAGTCCCCCCGTATTAGTCCCGGTTTTCGGCCAGAACTGGGGTGGTGAAGAAGACTGTCCCCAAAGGAGTCAGCTGACCACGTCATGTGATCGCGCGTTCTGGAGTCGCGCTCGCCTCCGCATTCGGACCGACTCCTGGATGTCCTGATAAGGGACCGAGCAGACGCGACACAGATAGCTTCACTCGATTTCAGCCGAGGATACCTATCAGCCGGGAATGTTTCATCTCTTCTGTGATTAAGCAACATTGACGTCCAATGGAATGTCCGTAATACGTTGAAGAACCGCACATGTAGACGAAGCTCAGCAGACTGCCGCCCGAGAGGCTCAACGCCTCGCCGCTGAGGAGACGCTGAGGCTTATCCAGACTGGAATGACCGCGGAAAGGTTTGATAATATGACCATCACCGCTGAAGCCACAGAAGCTGTTACTGAGGCTGTTACCACCGACGACACTGGGCATGTCGTTGCTGATGAAGCTGTTGCTGTCATTGCCGCTGTCGATGACATCTCCGAGACTTACACGGCTAGCCGGGTCGAGGAGATTATCAACGATGCAGTAGCTGACGCTACAGCGGCTATCGATGATGTGGACGATGCGACCATCGAACCGAACAGCCCGCAGACCTGTTGCCTTTACAAGCACAGATCACGCCTACAACTATTGGAAGAGACCCAAATAGTCATAGCCGACCAATATGAATCAGGTATATGCCGAAGCAGGAATTGCTACAGGAACGATTTCACTTTAGATTTGGCCGACCGACGTTACTCTGAAAAAGGCGCCCATGGTCATAAAAGATACCACAGGTGATACCGTCCGTACCCCACCACGAACAGATTGTGGGGCCGACTACCCGCGTGATTGTGATTATACTTAAATACATAAGCTTTGTGAAAAAAGGATTATTTTTTTAAATTTGCCGAGTTCGCATCTTTTCCAATGTAGTACAGCACATCATGCACTACTGACTTGTTAAAATAGATGATGAAATTTGCGCCACCGTCGGCGAAGTCAAAGCTCGAGGCAGCCACAACAACAAACGACCTCAATCTGGCAGCCAACGATCCAACACTGCAGAGCAATCCATTTCAAACTAGTGATAGCTTTACAAATATATTAGTAAAGACACAAGCCTGACCTACAATATGACTCAGGCCGTTCAGATTCAGAGTTCACATAACCTATATTCCAGTCATGCCGTCGCCGGCGCAACACCTTCAGGCTTCTACAATAGAACAAGTCTTTTAAGCGATACGAGAAATCCTATTGCCTTTGCCGAGCTGGAAGTTGAAGACTTGGAGATTCTCGATGCCGAGAATTATGGCCATACCCCTTCGTTACCGGCGTCGACATATGACGAGATTCTCCGGTCAGTCAAGGAAATCTGTACACTCAAAACATATCGAAGAGCATCAATATCTCTCCATTCCCAGCACCATCTGTTTTTCATACTTTTATCCAGCTTTATTTTGAATATTTTGAAAAATTGTTCCCGATCGTCCACTTGCCAAGTTTCCACCCCACAAAATGTCGCTGGATCGAATTACTTGCCTTAGCAACTATTGGCTGCCGATACTCCAAGTCGGTTGGTGCGAGGCGATGTGTACACCCACTGTCCGAGGTTTTTCGGCTTGCAGTCTTTCATATGGTATGCGGTGAACAGACTATGAACATGCGACAGCATTTTGTACTGATGGTAAATAGATTGAGCTCGACCGATTGAGCGTGCGCTCGGTGTGGCTTACCCGAGTTATGGTACTGGATGTGATCGGAACAGTCTATAGTGGGGATAAGCGTCTACTGGATCTCGGGCTTACTATTGTAGGCGCAGTCGTGACGCAATGTCGACAGAATGGCTATCTAAAACACACCTCGCCTGAGCTCAACATTCACGATATCAAGAGTCGAGGTGACCTGGAACGCGTGTGGGAGCTCTGGTGTCGTGAAGAGTCGTGTCGGAGACTGGTATACGGAATCTGGGTCTGTATACTACTTGGCCCTATCATTCGACCATGATACTGACGTAGTGCAGATTCTTCAGTGCCAGTTAGCTCTGAACTTTGACGTTGGGTCAAATATGCGGATGAACGAGCTTCTAAAGCCTTTACCCTGCGATGAGGAGCTCTGGGAGGCGTCTAATGCGGAAATATGGCTGTCTCGGTTCCAAAACCACGCTATGGCCTACGATCCCCCAGCCTCTGCAGTGCCCTAGCAACAGTTGTACAAATGCAATCCGTTCCTATAGAGGTAGGGGGATTTGGACGCCTCGCAATGGTACATGCAATTTACCAAACGACATTCGACCTACGCTCCTTCGTGACCAATCCCCTCATACTTGACCTTACGGGACCATCATTGAATGGGGGCCTTACTATGCGAACCTGGCAATCGCGCGTCTTTACATGCTTAGAATTCCTTGCTCCGCTCGGATCAGTCAGAGTGCACGAACTCGCCTTGCTTCACTATAATACCAGCTGGCTACTCCAGTCGAACTTCACGACGACCATCCATCATGTCAAGCTGCTTACCCTTGCTCCAATCGGAGATATTTTTTTCTTCGTCTCTCCTCGCTCCGATCCAACTGATTTGGCCCGGGTTCGGGAAAATCTCATCGATTGGGTCTCCCATGACGGAGGACAAGACTCTAGGCGGGCCGTGCTAAGCGCGTCTATTATATTCACTATTACCCGCCTTCGGCCCAGTCAATCCTTCCATGAATCCATCCCATTCCTTATGGCAACGCTGACTATCTGGATCTATAATCACCTTACGGTCCCACTTCTAAAAGCAGCGTATGAGGCGTCAGATGAGCGAGAGCGGACACTGCGGGGTGCAGCGATAACGCTCAGACTGGACCAAGCAGTGACGGCTGAGGGGAGCAGGACTTGGATTGAGAGCGAGGCCGGAACCGTTCGGGGTTACCTTGCTGATGTTGGGAGCCTCCACGATCACAGTGCCGGAAAACGATTGTTGATTACAGGGTGCCAAGTTCTGTCATCCATGCAGTCATGGGGGCCTAGTAGGGGCTTTGCAAAACAATTGAAAACGCTCCTTGATATACACTATCGTTGAATAATAAGGGTATGCAGGGAAGGTAGCACAACGACATATCAGCGAGTGATATTGTTAAGATATAACTACTTGTACAGGGTAGAAAGCCTGTCGACTAGGTAGGAATATAGACGTCAAGCAAGGAAGGCAAAATACTGTTTCTTGCTATCTTACATCTCTTCATGATCCTCACTTTATGTACAGGCTTCGACACCTTTCCACATGACCAAGCAGAGACGACGGATCACATTATAATATGCTGTCTGACGTGGCCCCATGGGATAGGATTAAGCGAAGGCTGCAAGATAGAGGGGTTCACGAATCCCTGATGGAAGGGCACCGAACCCACAGGGCCTTGTAGGCCACATACCCATGATGGGGAGAAGTGGGGTTGTCATCACGAAACCTGACCGAAAAGGTGTCTAATCGGCACCTAAGGGCACCTAAGGCATTGGGTTGGGAATAACCTCATGTTACAGTATCATATGACAAAAGGTTAGGAGAGGTATTCTGAATAACACCGTTGGTATTCGTGAATAACAGCGTACGCTAGTCGGTTTTCTGCCTAGCTCCGGCGCTCTTAACTACATATAGTTGGAGAATCACGCTATTATTCAACGTGGAATAGTTATAGGTAAATAATAAATGCTCTGATATAGGTCTATTTATAGTGTTAGGGAAAACACTATCGTGCGTAGACATCGCCAAAGCCCACACGGGCGCGAGCCCAACCCAACCCAACCCGCAAATTGGGTTGGGCTTTGGGCCCATGGACTTTTTATGGGCTCTAAAAAAAGGCAAGTATAGTATTTACACGTGAATGTATAATTGATGAAGTATGAGGTAGGTAATAATATTATATTTTTTCCAATCCTTTTTTTATTTCAATCTAATTTCTATATATTTTAAATCTTAGAATAAAATACGGTAATATGTAACGTAATATAACACTATAGATTACAGTGCTCGGTTATCTAGGTTTATGACTAGGTTTTATGTAAGGTTGGGCTTTTTTGGGTTGGGTTGGGTTGGGTTGGGTTGGGTTGGGCCCGGACCTCCGGCCCACAGTGGGCTTTGGCAATGTCTAATCATGTGCTAATATATCTGGGTCCTAGGCTGTCAATGTGCAAGCCCATTGACATTGTGGTCTTTTTGGCTCAACGTAGGAAGCACGTGCCTAGATGTGTTCCCTAACAAATAGCAGTTGACCTAAATATAACTAGAGATTCAGTTGTAGATTTATAGACGCAAATATCCTAGCATGGTATATATCATATTATATAGCCCTCAATAATCTTCAACTAACAGGTGTTACAGACGTACTAGCGTTGGCTGACAAGGACGAAGGGAAACCAATCAACTTGTTAAGATATGTAAGAAGTGACGTGACCTCCCAGGGCACAGCCCCACAGAGCCCGAGGACGGTAGTGACCACGTGACTACTATCATGTCCGGGACATAATAGTCAGAGCCGGGACATGATCAGTGTTACGGACCCACCCCTAGGGTGCTAAATATGGACACGCCTGAACCAATCGGTTCTGCAACAAGGCGGTGACAAGGCCTTGTCGGACGACAAGGGAGGATTCGGTCTCAAGCAGCAACACCCAAAGTCACGTGATATATCTCATCGGATGATGGGATATCGCATCAAGCGATGCGAACGGATCGCAGCAGGCGATGCGACGGACTGGATATGTAAGGACACTCGTTAACCCACTTTTATTTAGTTCTTCGCGTTGATTTATACATTGTTACTTGAGAGACCTACCTATCAATCTTGGTTACTTGATTCTTCCACAGTACGATATAAGGACACACCCACAACTAGACCTCGGCACGACCCTCAGCGACCCTCATTTTCATAAAATTCAGACGCTTTTCCTAATTAGCATTTCTAAATCTACTTAGTCATCTAAATAATTCATAATTTCCTCATATTTCCTCCTGTTTGCTCAGTTTGACCACCCGTGGGTCACCCGCCGAGGGTCACCAACAACTAGGACGAACACTTAGTAGTAATTCCATAACTACTTTGTCGACTAACTAGGCGCTCTTCAACTGCATACGTCTTCGGTCTACTCAGTACACCCGAGCCCGTGTAAGGCCTCAGCGACTCGGCAACGGTACGATTGCGAAAACCCCTCGTCGGAGAATCCACAGCGGGATTATAGGTACGTATAAGACATACTATACACTCACGGACAAGTAGTGCGTGATAACAGGTTATGCTATTCAAACGAAAATTATAGTATAGAGCGTCCTATTTTATTAATAACTATTTTTAGTAATAAATAGCTACTTTGAAAAGCAGAAACTAACCCAATAAGCTATTTGATAAGATATTAATAGTATTGTTGTACTATAGCCGCTATGTCTAGAAGACATATTTAAACTGCTCGAGGTCTTCTAGTTCTTTCTCTTGTAATTCTACAGAATCGCTCAAGATCAATAGTCGCTTAAGGCAACCTTTTATAACTTTCGATCCAATCCAGTACGCTATGTCTGACCCTTCTAGAGGGCCGCGGGTCTATCCAGACGCTGTGTGGATGAATCCGAGAAGAAAATACGTCTACTTCTCGGATATTAAATGGATCATGCACGCTTCTGACAAAACACCGGGTGTCGAACCAACGTATGTACACGAGCGTCCTCATCCACAAGAGCTTATATATATTGGACGGTCGAACTTCCGCGAAGACTTTGCATTGGGATATTGGATCCGGTACCAATACGTTGAACTGAAATTTCAATCCTCATCGTACGAAAAATGGCTCGATAGATTAGTTGACCAAGGGTATGTGGATTATGATATAGAGAAAGCAACCCGTATAGCGAATTGGAGACGAGAGCACGGGATTTGACTGCATCACTAACTGAAAAGACTATGGTTAACCGCGCAACCATATCAAAAACCAAATGGTATTGGTCTTCAGATCAAAACCACAAATTTTTGCGGTTTGGTTACGGTCTGCAACTTATGACCGTATTGTGACACTCGAGATTCTATGTAATTTAGATCGCCCATAGATAGTGAATCGAAGTCTCGTGACTGGGAGGAGAGTAAGGTTGAAGAGCGCCGGTTGCGCGACTTCTTCCTCCTTTCCCTCTCCAGATTCGATATTTTCCGTCTCGAAGCGCTCTTCTCCTGAAGATCTGACTCTTGTCACAGCCACCCCCGGAAAAGGTTCCAACGAACCAAGCATGCTGGAGCGATAGTGGCTCGCTGTTAGAACAACCACATTTAATGTCCGGCCGGAGTAACATTAAATGTGCTTGTTTGATAACACTAGTCGTTGTGCCTAAAAAAATAAAGTAAATACCTATGTTCCTAAAAAGATATCACCTTCTCTATATAATTTAGAAGAGTATTTTAAAAGGCCACTTAAAATTATTCCTAGTATTATAGCGAATAGAGGATCTCTATTCTTAGGGAACACACCTGGGCAGCTACACCCGATATCTTATATACGTATACTTCAATATTAAATTATTGTCCACGTTCCCAAAGTGGTCGATTTCCAAAACACTTGATTGATCTTTATTCGGTCTCTAATGAATCTCTAATTGACCTCAATCTCTTCTGCCAGCTTCTCAACATCAAGCACATCCAACGGCCATCCGTATGCCGCGGTGAATTCTGTCGCCAGCTGGACTATTTTTTTCACCAGTACAAACGAATTACCCATCCCGAGAGCAGCTTTAATGTGACTTCGCGACTGCCTCGAGGCCCCACTGGCAACTATCGCAGATGCAATGAACAATTCCGTTTCCCGGGGTTGCAGCCCAGCGCGGAAAGATCCTCCGACATTGTAGCCCCATACGACGAGCGATATTCCTTGTCCTGGATGAGGTCAGCATGAGGCTTATGACTGGGTGCATAAATGGCTAGTGGAGTGACATACTCATCTCAGGAAATCCAATTGAAAGCATATCGCGAACTTCATTATTATTGACACCACGATAGGTGTTAACCACAACGTCCTTGCCCGTGAGGAGGAGAGAATCCACATCAATTGGATCGCTTTGAGAATCAGTTAGCAAGCGCCTTTTGCTCCTTCCAAACACTAGCCAATCGTACCGAAATGTTTTCTTTGCAATATGTTCCAAACCGTTCTGTTGGAGGACGTCCACAATCCCCAGGCAAGACGGGACGACCCACGGAACACCCACAAAGGCGTAGATTGCCATGACTGACTCGCGCATTTGGTAAAACACAGTCTCCACCGTCGCAGTATCCAATCGCAAGACAACGAATTCTTCAAACATCTTCGGTACGAAGTCGCCCCGATGGGCGCCTATGAGTAGAGCTGCCTTTGCGTTCTCATTGCCAGCTGGGGAGATAAGATTTTTTTTTTTTTTTTTTTTTTTTTGAAAAACAAGATGGCAGCCTGGCTTACTAGGATAGCGTAGCTCAATGTTGATGATTCTGCTGGCAGGACGGCCTGTAGTTAATCCAGGAATCTCTCCACTATCCCGGGCGAGTACGGGAGAGCACCTGGCTTGATGTTGGTGGTAACATACTTCTTTTCGAAGTCAGACTGGGCTTCGGTGGATGTCATAGCACTAGAGTCTGGCGGCAAGGGAATCAGTGAAACACATGGGCTCCTGTATATTTATGTAAACCCGCAGAAAATTCCCCGCACTGTGTATCATGATTGTGGTGCGGTAGACAAATCTGGTCTCGGATTGTGGGGGAGAGAAATGCCGGCTCGGCCGACTTCGATGATACAATCAGAACTCCATAAACACCCAACTCCTTCCTTCGATGGAATGGTTCATGGCACAGCCGAAGACCAAGAAGTCATGGCAAATCCTCCTCCTAAGATACTAGTAATTGGATGTGGCCCCGTCGGCCTCTTCGCTGCCCACCTCCTTGGCCGGCAAGGCATCCCAACACTGATTATCGACAAACACGCCGATCGACGCGGCCAGCCAAAAGCCCACGCGCTGAACCCCCGTTCTCTTGAAATATTTCGACAGGCTGGTCTTGACGTGCCATATCTCCGCACCATTAGCAATGACCCTCGGCATGTCGATGTGGTTCTTTTCGTGGATAAGTTTTACGGCTGGGAGTATAGAAACCTGACCTACGAGAGGCAATTTGACGACGTTAAGGACTTAACACCTGAGCCATTGTTGAATATACCTCAGCCCGCAGTGGAGGAATACCTGCTCTCCGAGGTTTCCAAGCTCCCCGCTATCTCAATTTGAAAGGGTGTCGAGTGGTTAAGCGCCGAGCAGTCACCTAGGGACAAGGTTATTTCTAAGCTACTGGACCGTGCTATCCAGCAGGAATTCTCCGTCGAAACGGCTTATCTGCTCGCTTGCGATGGTGGCCGGTCGACGTTGCGAAACAAGTTCAACATCGGCTTCCACTCGATCGACGGGGGACCAGGATCCGAGAAGCATCATGCCACTGTGCATTTCCGAGCCGAACTGCCGGGGGAAGCGAAGCGGCATCCTGTTCTTCAATATGCAAGCTCGTGGGGTGCATGCATTTATTCGCTACGGCGAGGATGAATGGGTGTTCGTTCGGCGATTTGGTCCTGCGAAAGAGTCCGCGACCGACTTTAATGAGGCCACCTGCCATAGCATCGTGCAGGAGGCACTCGGCAAGACAGAATCTATCCAGATTCTCAGCATTACCATATGGCAATCCTCAACTCGAATTGCAGACAACTATCACCGGTGGTCTCGGAGTCAACACTGGCTTCGCAGATGTTCACAATCTCATTTGGAAGCTTGATGCTGTTCTACGGGGGTTCGCCTCTACCAAGCTGCTCGAAACGTACGAAGCGGAACGGAGGCCCGTGGCGATCCAGAATGCTGGGCAGAGCTCTCTGAATGAAGAAAGGATGGACCAGCTCGGCGCGTGCATCAACCCTGGCGGCGTGGGACAGGAAAAAGAGCGACTTACCGACCCCACGTTCCAAAAGCTTGTGCAGGAGGGTGTGCAGCTGAATGCGCCGCATTTCGACTCCTTAGACCTACAGCTAGGCTATGTCTACGGGCAGCCCAGGGATGCGGAAAAAAAGCATCTCGTGCTTCCAAGCCGCCTTTACAAAGGGTGCTCGACTTCCGCATATTTACATTGATGAAGCAAAGAAAAAATCCGTTCTGGACTTGGTGGATGGCTCCAAGTTCGCCATTTTCTCGCCTACTCATGAACTGTGGTCAGACGTGGAGCAGAGTATGGACGATACTATCAGGGCATGGGTCAAGCCCATAATTCTGGGCCGAGACTTTGACGTGAATGCCGGCGATGCAGAATGGCTCCATCGGATGTTTGCCATTGGCCTCACTCGTGTGGTTCTGGTCCGCCCGGATCAGCATATCGCGGGGTTTGTGGAGTCGGGCTCGGCCTGCCACGCCATGCTGCGGAAATTGTTCCAATAGACCACTTATACTCTATTCATGCATTGAAACCCCCTCCCCCCCCCCCCCCCGGCCGGATTCTCCGTCGCGTTCGCGATGTTGTTGTCCCCGCCGGAATGTGTGCAGGAGGGAGATAGATTAGAGCATGAGTAGCCCAATGAGACCTTTACTATTTCAATTTAAACGCTGTCGGCCAAGGCCATTTCACACTTCTCCAGAATTCTTCCCGTTTTGAATCTGCCCTCCACTATACCTATACTCGGTGTCAGTCACCGTACGTCTCGTGATTACCACCCAAATATGTCCCCCACCAGCAAGCCCGCCCCCCGCCCGCCGTCTCGTCACCGGCCATGATGCTACCGGCCAGGCAGTCATCCTTGCCGACGATGTTCCCCCCACCGGTCCCCGCCCCCGGATGCTCCCCCGAAGAGGCCGTCTTGCACCAAAGCACCGTGTTCTGGTCCACAAAAACGTTCCCGAACGATAACACCTCAAGTAACTTTCTGGATGGGACGCTCCAACCTCCACCGTCGGCGGAAGTGTTCTCCGCATGGTGGATTTCGCACCAGGTCTTTCTAGCCCCCTGCACCGGAACCCTGTCGCTCGACTACGCGGTGCTCCTAAGCGGGGACTATGTGGAGGTGGAGCTCGACAACCAGGTCTGCGTCCGCTTGGGACCGGGCGACGTATTGATTCAGAGGTGAACAATTCATGCGTGGCATAATTGAGGAAAGCAGTGGGCAAGGTTCTTGTTTGTTATTGATGGATGCAAAGCCGGTCGTGGTGGGAGGAAAACAGTTAGAACAGGCAGCATTGTAGATAGAACAGAAGTGGCCGCAGAGAAACTTGGCCTCTCTTGGATTTGTCAACTGTTGAGGCGTTCGCAGGGTGATTGCTACTATAATAAGAGAATTATATACAACGTCATGAACCAATTACAGCCCCATAGCTGTGAGCAACTGCCCCAAATCAACGGGTTGGTACGGCATTCGATTCCAAACATTGATCTCCTCCGCAAGTTTGTATACTGCTCGCACTGCCTCTGGCGAATTCCCCAGTGCGAGTGTCGTTTTCCCATGAACGGTCGCCGATCGCGTCGCTCCAGAGCCTGCAAGAGCCGCCGCAAGTATCAGCTCTGTTTCGTGCTCCTTGAAAATCCCCGTATTGGTCGTACCGACGTGGCAATAGTCTTCGGCTTCAGTCGAGAAAGAAACGAATTTCGCGGCTAGCTTAGTATCAGTAAGGCTCCATGTATTATCGGTGTTCAGGTAGTTATCGCGATTTTTCATGTTCATAGTGTAGATTTTCGTGAAAACTCCTCTTCCGAAGGCTCCCTTCTTAGCTAGGGATGCCTCTTTATAGCCTGAGCATCTTGGCATGTAGTCTTGCATCCGCCAGATAGGAGAAAAAACATAAGTCCGGGTATTAACATAAATCCCCTCCATTTGACCATGTTCCCTGCTATCGACGACAGCTGCTCGCATCCTGTCATTTACCGCAATCTCAGCTAGCTGCGGGTCATAGCTTCGGTGATTCGGGTCCTAGGTATGCAGCTGTTTTGGTAGCAAGCGGGCGTTGTCAAATTTCACAACAATATCCTTTCCGGGCCAAACAGCGCCGTAGACGAAGTTAGCTAGCGGGGCTGTCTTCGCGCCGATATGGCTATCGCTCTTGTCGTGGAAAAGGTTTCCTATAATCTCAGCTACTTGTCGTCCGCAGAGTATATAGTAGCTTTTATACATAGGGAAAGAGAGAAGGCCGTGAGCTTGTTTGAGAGGTGCCGGGTCCACTGGCACTCGATCAGCCGAGATGTCACCCTGGGTATTGAAATCGAGGGGCCATTTTTGTCCCCTTTCCTTATTTAAGAGCTGTCTACACAGAATCTCCACCTATTCATCGGTCGGGGCGACATTTGATGGCGGGAGCTTCTGAAGCTTGCCGTTATCGAACACTGGCTTTTCGCGATATACCGGGAACTTATTAAGAAGCTTCTTCTTATCGTCTTTCGGTATGCCTCGCACGTTTAAGATCAGGACAGGGCTTTCGGGAGTCCACACTTGTCGCTTAGGCGCCGCGCGAGCGCGTTCTCGGGAGTCATCAAGCTTCCTCTGTCCGTCGTAAAAGTCTTCACGCGAGTCTCTGATCATTCCGTACCGTGCTTGATCACGGTCTTTACTTCCCTTCTTTTCTATGGAGCTTTCGCTCATCTTTCTCTTCGGCATTCTGGCGGGGGATATGGAAATGATAGCAATGATGTTGGTAAAATAGTAAAATGTCACGCTTAAGGTGAGGGTGAAGTGAGGGATGTAAGTCAGGGATATGATAGAAGGTAAGTTAGGGATGTGACAGAAGGTAAGTTGATAATAGAGAAAAATGTGAGGGATATGATGAGGGGAGTATGATTGTGGGGCTGGCGACCGGAATAAGGGAAAGATAAGAAACGTGATAATGACAAGATGGGGTAAATGCAAAGGAAGGATGAAATGTAAAGGATAAGATATAAACATGAAGGGATTCAGCTATTCATCCGCGGGTAGCTCATCCGCCTGTGATGCTTCAAATTCCCGAATCAGCTCTTCTGCTCCGACAGCTTCGTCTGCTGTAACCCAGCAGTCTTCCTTAGCTGATTGACTAGCCCAGCGCACTAGGTTGTATGTGCGATAATTGACTGCTCCGTCCCGGCGTAGCCGTCCAGGTGCCTTGCGGACTTGTTTCGCCAGAATCCTCTCAACGTTATATCTTGTCTCGTCAGGGAAACGCGCGTCGAAAGTGGGTTCGGGGCTATCCGCGGGTTAGCAATTCCAAGGGTCTCGGTCTCGTGGTACCGCTTCAAGATGTGCGACACTGATTACAGGGTGGATTCCCCAATGTGGGGGCAGATCAAGACGGTACGCGAGTTTTCCGATGCGCTCTTTGATTTGAAAGCGTCCGATATATCGCTGGGCAAGCTTTCTTAGGATGTTTTGGCGGTTCGCCACTATATCATAGCCCGTTCCAAGCTTGATATATACCCAATCTCCAACACGGAAGTGTATCGCTTTCTGGTGCTTATCGTAGTAGCGCTTCATAGTCATCGCGGCGAAAGATAGCGAATGCTCAGCATCCAGCCTAGCTGCGAGGGTATCCTAATGTCCGTTGGTAGCCTAGCGGACAAGATTCCAGGGCTAGCGAAGTTCCACCCCGTATAGAAGCATATGGGGGGAGTAGCCAGTGCTACGCTTTTAGGAAGGGTTCAGAGCTATTTGCAAAGCCGAAAGCATATCGGGCCATTCAGCAATCCGTCCAGGATGCGTAGCTACCTAATGCCGGGCGGCGGCCTCGATAGTTTAATTCGTCCTTTCGGACTAGCCGTCGGTCTAGGGGTGATAAGCTGTCGAGAAGTAGAGAGCTGTTTTAACCTTGGTCCAGAATCCTTTCCACAGTCCTCGAACAAATTTTGGGTCTCGGTCAGAGATAATAACTATGGGAAGGCCCCAGTTAGATATCCAAAGAGTGTTCAGGAGGGCTTCCGCCCACTGTTCAGCTATCCAGGTTTCCCTGCCTGGAATCAGGCTGATTAGTTTGGTGAATTTGTCAGTGGCCGTCATTAGACAGTTATAGTCCTTGGATTCTGGCATGCCGAGCTGCTGGTGGGACTGCGGCATAGGACGAAGCGGGCGGAACGGTAAGCGTTGTACATCACGTCGTTCCTGTCGTCGGTTAGAGAAATCCTGGGGACGGGGGCGAGCGGTTGGCTTTTCCGCCTGGGACCGCTCTCTGGTGGCTTGCTCACGTTCCGAAACTTGGGATTGCCAATCGAGGTAGTGCTCATCAATAGCGTCCATGAATTCAGCTATCGTAGTGTCTCTCGTAGGGCGCGTAATGTCGCGGCGGAGAGAAGCTTCAATATTATCACGAATCTTTAGCAGCTGGTCAAATACATCATTATAGCCAGTGCTTTTGAGAAGCCGGAGCATATTCTGGCTATACTCGCGGGGGGTCCTGCCAGCGCGGACATCCTTCCATCCGTATTTCTCTTTTTCCATTTCTCGTAGGGCGAAGGTTCGGTCCATTTTAAACCGTTGCTGCAGCATAGCGTACCAACCATCCTCCACTGGACAGCTTTGCATCATACGTTTCTCTGCTGGGGATAGCTCGAAACTGAACCATTTAAGGGCATCCCCTTTAAGGTATGAGTGGATGTTGGCTCTCACGACGGCCTCCGATTTGAGGAGGGCTAGATCTCTCATTCGGTCAATAAAGATCTCGACGTTGGTATAGTGCGAAACATTTCCAATCATCTGGACACCTTCCTTATCGTTTATCTTTGGGTCAAAGAATCCGATGTCGGCGGCTTTCCATGAGCTGTCCGACCGGGCTAGCTGGCCAGGCTCGCCCTGGCGACCTTGCTCGCCGGCTGGTCCGCGTAGCTGCGCGCGTACGCCAGGATCAGTGAGCGCGTCAACTATCATGCGACGGATATCCTCGGGGGTAAGCAGTAGCTGCTGCTGGTTTGTGTTATCACCCATGCTGTGCGAATGCGTAGGGGGAACAGGGGGTTGGGGGACAGAAGCTTGAATAGCTAGGGGGGAAATGCCTGATAGAGGAATTGGCGTTCCTCCTCCGAGCCGGTGGGGCGGAAAAGCTGTCTCGGCGCGCTTGCGCTCTGATGAATATCGCGAAATTGCTGAGAGCGTTGGGCCGCTGGTGCTTCCTGGGATATAACAGCTGGTGGAGTCGCGGGTATGGGAGTAGGGCTAGCGGGAATGGGGGTAGGGTCGGCGGCTTGCGCACTCGCTGCTCGACGACGTCGAGGGCGTCCTAGTGGGCGTTCCGGATCGTCAACAGCTGCGGGAGGGAGGAAACCCTCCAAGGAGGAAGGTGTCTTCGACAGGAATTCAGAGACCGCTCTGTTGATGGACGGCCTGTCGATTAGCCAGTCCGGGGGAAATGTCCGGCAGAAAGGCAAGGCGGTGAATAATTGCGGGCGGTGAGCTAGGCGATCCGTGCACGTGTGTCGGAGTCGAAGTCAGCTGACCAAGTAGGGAGCAGGTGGTCGCACGAGTCCAGGAAATTTCGAAATTGATAGGCGAGCTCGACTGCGCGCAGCAGTCCAGCCATCCAGCGACAGCGGCAAAGCTTTCAGAGAAACCGCCGAAGCTTCCTGGAGGGCGTTCACTGATAGGGTCGATGGAATCTCGATTCGAAACGATGAGAGAGGGATGATTGGTGGGAAGGGGGTGAGCAGCGGAGCTTAGTGGGTCCGGGGGCGCTTTTTCAGCCGAAAAAGGCGCTTTTCAGGTGAAAGGAAGGGGTGGATGAGGTGAAAAAGAGGGTATTGATCTTTTAAAACAAAAACTCCCAGGGATGATCTCCCTGGTCAAAAATTTTCTGGGTTTACTACCAATTGGTGCAAGCGATGGTGTTATGTGTAAAGATGATGTCCGTATTCCCTCATGAGAGGTCATGATAAGCTAGGACTATTACATAATCGCCATCCAGTGGCAACAGAACCGGAGAAGTATAGTAAAGGTAGTTTATTTCAATAACTGAATCTCGAAGAGATTTAGCTCAGAAGAAAGGGGCAATTCTCTTTCTATATCTGTCGTCATTCCGCTGTTTGCCGAAGGTATGACGATAAAGGAGTCCGATTCCAACCTGTTGTTCCCTGTGAACATATATCGTTATGCATACCATTTGTACCCGAAGTCGGCCGGAATAACATCAAGTATTATACATTTGGTTGTTCCATAGCATTAACGATCTCTCGACAAGTTTTCTGCCCTGCGCGTTCACGTCCGCGCCCTTGTCTAAGAGCAGTTGGACAATCTCTTGATCGCCCCTCCAAGACGCGGCTTGGAGAGCATACGCCACCCTGCATGTTCATGTCCGGGCCTTTTTTTTAAAAAAATCTCGTGCAGGCCCGACAAGCCCTTCGAGACAAGCATAATAGAGCTTGGAGCCTCGCGGTGGACCAGGTTCAGTCTCCCAATACCTATCGGCCTGATACAGCCCAGTCCATCGTTGAAATGTTTCCTCCGTTTCTAGGAACCTCGGTGTCATTTGAACTATATCCCCAGAGCCATAGGCTAATGCAGCATAGGCTGTCCAGATCTTCACCGCATAGCGTGCTATCAGGAATTTCCGCTTGATCTCTTTACTATTCCCGTTGATGTCTGTGAGGTAAGTTAAGCACGTCCTAGTGATGCAAATGCTAGCAGACGTGATATGACGAAAAGGTGGGCGAGGTGTAACTCTTTCTCGGCGTTATGAACAATTGTCACTAAGCTGGGACAGTAACCCAGCATATCATTGTCGCAAAATAATCCACGCTTGGTATTGAAGCCTTCCGACTTCGGTATTCGTCGCTATCACTTCCTTAGCCTCGGCCAGAGTCAGCGGTCGCTTAGAGTGGACTGCGAATTGAAGGAGGCGTATCGCATCGTTTTGGAGCTCTGTCAGAATACCTTTCATTATGCGATCGTATGTCTCATTAAGATTCACTGGCAAAGATGCAAGAGCCGCCTCTATAGCTGCCTCATGACGGCATCGAGCTAGGTTGTCTAATTGACAGAATGCCCACCTGAACCTAATTTAGGCGTTAGCAATCTATCAATTTATTGATTGAACCGACGATTTCTTGCATCCCGTCAGCTCCTTCGCCAACTTTTTTCCGAATTTTCTGAAGTCTCAAGGAGATCCCGGGATAAGGCCTTCTCTGTAAAGTCACGTCGGGAAATGAGTTGTGCCGAGACTCACAAACGGACATCGGAGTAAAACAAACTGCCTATCAAGCTAAAGACAACTTTCTTCCCCTATCAAAGTGGGAAACATCGCCATCAAACTGGAGTTTAGGTCGACCGGTAAGTAAGTGGACATAGACCAACTCTGGCCTGGACACGTAATCTTTAATCCTTTCGAGCAAATCATGCCTAGTTTTTGATTCATCCAATGCGTCCACAACAATAAATATCTTCCTCTTCGCTTTGAGCATCTTGAAAACAACATCCCAGAGCGCCGTTGTCGTAGGTTGGTCGCTGCCATTCCTGTGTACCTGAAAGGAAGCATCAATATGAGGCGGAGTCAACCCCGCCATGGTAAAGTTGGAAAGCAAGCGATCGCAGCATGCCGTCTAATGTCTGTTTTGCGACGTCGTTAAAGTCAAAGAAGAAGCTAAGGGCAATACTGCCGATTTCCTGCGCAAGATGATCAAGTACAGTTGTACTGAGAACCGACTTTCCACATCCCGCGAGACCGTGTAGCCATAAATGTTGACGTGGCCCCGAGTGCCACGATTGGAAGACGTCGTTTTCGAGTAGCCACACGCCTGTCCCCTCATGGCGGAGCATCCTCGCACGGTTGGCGCTTGAAGATGGATCCGGTGGGTAAAGCCAGCGCTTGATTGTATCGATATGAAGGCTAGACCTGATGGAATCAGTGGTGGCTTTTGTTACGACTGTTGTCTGTAGCACGCTATCGATCTGCTGTTGGACTAGTCGCAGTCATGACTCATGGTGGGTTTGAAGATCATTTGGGATCATATAATTGCTTGTCTAAGTATGAGCGAAACAAAACTGACCTAATTGTAACACTTTCAACGCCCTTGCGGTCTCTTGGACCTCCGTAGCCGGCACATACGCCAGAAGCTCCTTAGCATACGCAGCGGAGGTCGCCGAGGCGTAGCGTTGCCATCGATCGTTCTTATGAGAATCGGCGTAGTCGGAGATCCCCCGGGTTACTAGACAGGGAAAGTGGTCCATCAGGCCAGAAGCTTCCATCTCAAAACAAATACAATCCTCGCCAAGATCAGCAACAATCCGATCGCGCGCAACGGTGTCTGTGACGAGCGTGTTCCCGGATGCGATGGTCCCGTAGTGGATATCGGGATCGGGAGTATCTCGAGGATCGCGTTGAATCTCATCAGCCATATCGCAGCCCCGACAGTCCGGGCCGGAGACGTGATCGCAGGAAGCTTCCAACAATCGGTCGTTGTCGAGCATAGCCGGAGCTTTGCTTGGATTTCTTGCTCATCTTCGGGTTCTTCTCTTCTCTAGCATCCCTTGAAGGAAGTAGGGAGCCTTGGAGTCTTTCCGCTCGTGATACGCCTGGACGCCCGAAAGCGCCTTGAGGAGGACTCTTGGAGGCCGTCCGAGACAGCCTGTACGTTCACGTCTGTCGCCAGACTTTGCAATGATCAAGTCGTACTGACAGACACCGCCCGTGGTCCCAGAGGGCTGGCTCACGACAATGTCACCTAGTCGAATATCGCAGCCCTCGTTGGGACGAGTGATGCCGCCACCTATACCCACCAAAAGACCAACCCAAATGGATAGCAGAGAGGCAAGCCGGTTCGCAGCTGTGGTCGCGGCCGAGGTGGTTCCATAGTCTCCAACAGCCAAAGAGGCAATCATGATGTTGTGGTCTCCCACGCGACCCCACATATAAACGTTGGCATCGGTTTGGTGTCGAGTAAAGCCTGTCAGGGTTGCATGTTCCTCATTGAGCATCGCTTCTGCCGCGGCTCACTCGATGTGGAGAGCAGTCATCCCGGCGATCGCATAAGAATCGGGGCTGTCGAGGGCATTTGGGGATGCCATTGAGTGAGGCAAGCTCTTGAGGCTGTTAATATGCCGAGTGAGAGAATTTGGTCGTGCGGGTGTACTTCTTCGACGAGGAAGCTGAAGTGATGCCGTCACCAGAGGCGAGGCGGGCGAGTTGTGTCTGTCGGATACTGTTCATCGCAGCCAGCCCAAGGACGCAACCTTGTCAGTTGCCACTCTGACTAGCGCTATCACCCACAGAACTGTCCAGCTGGATTTCGCCCTGCACTTGTTGCATCGCCCTCTGGACGGACAGGGGCAGGCTGAACATAGCCAGGTTGAGTCAGCCCACAATAATGAGTGTACCTGACACACGCACGTTGGGGGGTTTTCTGTGGGCGCCTGCATGCAGAGCCCCCTCGACTGGCTGAGCGACCTGGTTTGGGGGGTTTTGAGGGGGGTAGTCATGCATCACAAGAAAACACCTCCAGTGCCCGTCGAGGTTAGGATCCGACAGGTGCATGTCCCAACCCTGGATGTCCGGCGAGGCGCTAGCCACGTCGAACGACTACTTTGCTAGTTCGCAGGGGAGCAGCAGCTTCGGAGATATGACTCCATCTCGAAATTGATGCCCGGGATCGGACTCATATATTATTGTTAATGACATCACGGCGTTGGTACGAGCTTGTTCAAACGGCGGCAGAGATGTTGCTAACGTGCCAGGACGGCCAACTAAATTGCTCTGCCTGCTTTGCCTGCTCTGCCTCCATGATTCCCTCCTTTATTGACTACGCTCGTTCATATGAAGGGCTGATCGATTAGCGCCGTCGTCAGTCCTCCGAACGCCTCCCTGGAAGCGAGTGGGAGGCTGAAACCGCGCTTGCGGGTTTCTCTCTTCCTCGCCAATGAATCAATCCCCTCAAGACTTGCTGGACCCCCAACACCCTTGATAGGTGCGGATAATTTAGTCTTCAGTTCTGAAGATACTTGTTCAAAGACCAAACTGTTCGATCCCTTGGAAAGTCACCTTATCTTGTCTAAGGATGGCGTGTCCTCGTTCGCTGGCTGGCGATTCGCGCGTTGTAACGACCAGAAGGGAATCGGCCAGTTGCTCTACATTGAGAATTTCCACTGCTTAGTCCGACATAAACAGATTGATGCTTGATTGTCAATTACCCACGGATGCACCTATATACCAGAAACGGTCTGGCAACCCTTGGCGGCCTCTTTCCGTTCTAGTACTCACCCCCTCGCCGCTTTTCATTCTTCCGGAGAATCAACCTGATCCGATCACTGAGCACTCGTCTTGGCTGACTACGCAACCCCCGGGCGACGAGGCGAGATGGATACCGGTGTACCATTACGAGGAGCTGGAGCTCTAATCACGACTCCCCCCCCTGGCGAACCAACCGACATTTTACACGCAGTTCACATTCTTCCATTCGCCCTTGGCAGCTCTACAAACGACGATGAAAGACAGCGAACCTGTGAGGTGTGGGGAACTATTTTTCGTTACTTTCCAAGCCTCCGCTCCGTCCTCGATATGTCACCTGAAGATGTGAATCGAGAAAACAATATCATGATAATGATTACTCCCCTACAGGAAGAGTTCGGTCGCTTCCGCTTTGTTCTTGAGGACACTCCGACCCCCAATCGCTACCGTATCAAACTATCTCCTCGTTTCGCATCTATCTACACACCCTTATTACCTAGCAACATGGTTATAACATTGACTAGCCACGACCATCGCTTTCATCTTCCTAAAGCCAAGTACTTACAGTTTCATACTGCCATTGGCAACATTTTGGATGCAAGTGGCCGGGCAGAAGGCATTGAAAAGCTCATACGAGATCTAGGAGATACGAGCAGTCCAGCATTGGCAAATGATGGCAGTACGAATATCGGCGATCTGCTCTCGATCAGCCATACATATTTCGCTGCTAGCCTCGAATCCACACCCAACATACCGTCGGGCGCAGCAGCAACGTGCCTGGGCTAGACTGCTAGGAACAGAGAATGAGAAAACCCCCCAGATTGGGTTACGCGATTCCTGCCTAACTCAAGATAGGCGGAAGCTGCTATCCACTTCGAAGACTCTTTCTAAACAATTTGATCAACGTTCAAGCTCTATTATTACTCTGGGGCTAGGTATAAAAAGAGGTGTTATTCCCACCCTTTGAGCAATATCCCCTTTACTTTATTATTGTTATTTCTATCACGCTTTACCTCACTCTTTGATTCAGTATTACAATATTGAATTATGGGTAAAAAATCTCATAGTCGCGACCGGGACATCAAGGCTAAAGAAAGACGCCGTCTTCAATGCTTGACAAATGACTATGTGCCTGGAGCGCACTGAGTAGAAGATGCTATTCGAAATAAAGATAAGAAGCTTTCAAAAACTAAAGACTCGCATCGGAGATTCTTGGATCTCTGGCTTGAGTAAGTTAACCTAATACTTTTCACTGAAGGTAAATCTAACTAGCTTGTAGATTTACCGCAGACACGGACAATGGCGTTTCATATTTTAAAACTACTCAGGGCTGTTCGCCGCCAAGTTGCGAAATGGTCAAGGAGTTTATTCGCTGGTAGGGAATTTCTGTTAAAGGTCGACTTTCTACTCGTGGACCAACGAAAATCTCAACCCTTGCCTGTGCTGAGCAATTTGTTATTGAGTAACCAGATTTGATGTTATTCCGGCCGACCGGCCGATTTCGGGTACAAATCGTACACATGACGATATATGGTCATACAGAAGAACAAGTTGGAATCGGACACCTTTATCGTCATACCTTCGGTAGATAGCGAAATGATGATATTAAGGTTGTAGAAAGAGAATCCCCCTTTCATTCGAATTGAATTTCTTCAAGATTCAGTTATTTGAATGATACACCTTTACTATTCTTCCTCAATTCTATAAGGATTCAGTCTTGTATTCAATTTCCTTACCTGACCAACAGGCCGCTACCCTGCAAGTAGCATCCTAACAAAACAGATGCTGCTTCAGCGAAAGAGATGTGTAGAAGTTGATTCTCTCCCTATCAGAGATGCGAAGCTATATCTCGTAAAGACTGTGCACGAGAAAAGATATCCTCCAATCAGAGATCACTCCTCGTCTGCCATTTCTCCATCACACCAGAAAGGATATTTCCACTAATACAGCATATGACGTCGTCCTTCATCGGCTTTCTTACGCGATCTCGCAACTCTTGCTATAGGCAGCAAACACTATCTGGCGATTGCTTTTATGATAAATGTCATTTCTTAAAGTTAATTGTAGAAACTGGCAGATGGAATGTTAATTATTGTCTTTAAGCGTGTGTCAGGTTGAGACATTAATATCCAGCATCTCCGTTTCCCATTCTAACAATGTTGCAGAATTAGATAAAGTGTCCGGGTGATTCATCCCTAGTATTTCTTCCTGTCTGGCTAAACAGGTCCGTAGTAGTTCGATAGCATCGGCATTGCGTCCTGAAGATTTTATTGTGAATGCGAGATTGTTTATACTCCCAAGCGTATCGGGATGGTCCGCGCCCAGCTTTGTCTTGCGACTCTCCATGACCTGCACCTGGAGCTGCTCGGCCAGTGCCCACCGACCCTGTTTCCTGTACGTGAAGGCGAGATTGCTCATGCTCGTGAGCGTATCGGGATGGTCCGCGCCCAGCTTTGTCTTGCGAGTCTCCATAACCTGCACCTGAAGCTGCTCGGCTAGTTCCCACCGACCCTGATCGCTATACGTCAATGCGAGGTTGTTTATGCTCGTAAGCGTATCGGGATGGTCCGCGCCCAGCTTTGTCTTGCGAGTCTCCATGACCTGCCCCTGGAGCGGCTCGGCCTCCTTCCACCGACCCTGATACCTATAAATCAACGCCAGTTTGGCTATGCTCATGAGCGTATAGGGATGGTCCACGCCGAGCTTCGTCTTCCTCGTCTCTATCACCTGCACAAATAGCTGTTCCGCCTCCTCCCATCGGCCCTGGTTCATATACGTCAATGCCAGGTTGCCCATACTCGTCAGCGTGTCAGGATGGTCCGCCCCGAGCTTTGTCTTGCTCGTCTCCATCACCTGCACAAAGAGCTGTTCCGCCTCCTCCCATCGGCCCTGGTTCATATACGTCGATGCCAGGTTGCCTATACTTATCAGCGTACGAGGATGGTCCACGCCGAGCTTCGTCTTCCTCGTCTCTATCACCTGCACAAAGAGCTGTTCCGCCTCCTCCCATCGGCCCTGGTTCCTATACGTCGATGCTAGGTTGCCTATACTCGTCAGCGTGTCAGGATGGTCCGCCCCGAGCTTTGTCTTCCTCGTCTCCATCACCTGCACCTCGAGCTGTTCCGCCTCCTCCCATCGGCCCTGGTTCATATACGTCAATGCCAGGTTGCCCATACTCGTCAGCGTGTCAGGATGGTCCGCCCCGAGCTTTGTCTTGCTCGTCTCCATCACCTGCACAAAGAGCTGTTCCGCCTCCTCCCATCGGCCCTGGTTTATATACGTTGATGCTAGGTTGCCCATACTCGTCAGTGTATAGGGATGGTCCACGCCGAGCTTCGTCTTCCTCGTCTCTATCACCTGCACAAATAGCTGTTCCGCCTCCTCCCATCGGCCCTGGTTTATATACGTTGATGCCAGGTTGCCCATACTCGTCAGTGTATAGGGATGGTCCACGCCGAGCTTCGTCTTCCTCGTCTCTATCACCTGCACAAATAGCTGTTCCGCCTCCTCCCATCGGCCCTGGTTCCTATACGTCGATGCTAGGTTGTCCATACTCGTCAGCGTGTCAGGATGGTCCGCGCCGAGCTTCGTCTTGCGAGCCTCTATCACCTGCACAAAGAGCTGTTCCGCCTCCTCCCATCGGCCCTGGTTCATATACGTCGATGCCAGGTTGCCTATACTTATCAGCGTACGAGGATGGTCCACGCCGAGCTTCGTCTTCCTCGTCTCTATCACCTGCACAAAGAGCTGTTCTGCCTCCTCCCATCGGCCCTGGTTCGTATACGTCGATGCCAGGTTGCCCATACTCGTCAGCGTGTCAGGATGGTCCGCCCCGAGCTTTGTCTTGCTCGTCTCCATCACCTGCACAAAGAGCTGTTCCGCCTCCTCCCATCGGCCCTGGTTCGTATACGTCGATGCCAGGTTGCCCATACTCGTCATCGTGTCAGGATGGTCCGCCCCGAGCTTTGTCTTGCTCGTCTCCATCACCTGCACAAAGAGCTGTTCTGCCTCCTCCCATCGGCCCTGGTTTATATACGTCAATGCCAGGTTGCCCATACTCGTCAGCGTGTCAGGATGGTCCGCCCCGAGCTTTGTCTTGTGAGTCTCTATCACCTGCATAAAGAGCTGTTCCGCCTCCTCCCACCGGCCCTGGTTCCAAAGCGTCGACGCCAGGTTGCCCATACTCGTCAGCGTGTCGGGATGGTCCACGCCGAGCTTCGTCTTGCAAGTCTCCATCACCTGCATAAAGAGCTGTTCCGCCTCCTCCCATCGGCCCTGGTTCCTATACGTCGATGCCAGGTTGGCCATACTCATCAGCGTATGAGGATGATCCACGCCGAGCTTCGTCTTGCTCGTCTCCGTCACCTGCACAAAGAGCTGCTCGGCCTCTTCCCATAGGCCCTCGAGTAAATATGCTTCTCCTAATATCGCTGTACTTGCAACAGCTTCTTCATTCTCATCACCTAGCAAATTAACTCTCTGCTTACTCGATTTAAATGCCATGCTCCTAACATCTGCCATATTGCCGCTTTTCAAAGCATACCATGCACCTCTATAAAGGATCGTCGCCCATTGTAATAGAGAATCTTTTGACTCTGGCTGCTGAGACATCGCTGACCGAACGTGTGGAAATAGCGACTGGCACTTCGCCCAATTCTCATATTCACCAGTCGGAAATTTTTGGTATAATATACCGATAAATCTTTCTCTCCATAGGTCTATGTTCCTATGAGATTTTAACCACGCACGCGTTGTCAGTTGCACCAGCCGATGCATAGTGAAGAAGGTCCCGGTCTCGCTAGTGGATATAAATGAAAAGTTTTTTAGTGTTATAATATCATCTTCAAAATCGGGACTATCATGAGGTTCGAACGACTCCCCGTCACTAGAGTCGTTAATGAGGTGGGAGGTAGAGGTATGGCTAGCTTCAGGGTCAAGCCGAAGAAGGCTTTCTGGTATTTCTTGCCGGTCGAAAAAACACATAAGAGAGAGTAGGTCCGCGGCAGATGTCTTTTTGGAGCGAATGTAATTGAATGATATTTGCCACGTCACCATAATTGAGTTCTTTGCTTCCCAGTCCCGATCTAAGCAATCTGCCTCTCTCTGGAGAAGCTTGGTCGCCTCACGGTCACTTGCTTGGAAGTCTCTAAGGTATTGTGATATCGAACAGCGAGGGGCTCGAGCTCTGATATAGCTCGCCGCCTGAACGATCGCGAGCGGCATGAACTCAAGCTCTTCCACTAATTTTCGACTCTCTTGGGCTTCTGCCGGTCGTCCAAGCCTATTCTCGAGAAGCTTCAGCGCCTCGCACTGTTCCATTGGTCTGACTTCGATCAAGTCATTGTGTTTGACTATCTTGAGCGCAACCTCTCGGCTCCGACTAGTGATAATGACAGATCCATTCCGGCCTCTAGGAATGTATTCTAGAAGTGGCTTCACTAGAGCATTCGTTGCTTCTTTCGTATGAGCGGTGTTTAGGGCTGCTTGGGGCAAACAGAGAAGTTCATGGTTATCTGCATTATCAAGGATGCAAATCCACTTCCCTTTCTTCTTATCTCGCAGCCAATTTTGGACTAGCTGGAAAATGTTGGCTTTGGGATCCCGGCGGCCGGGGATCTTAACCTCATCTGCAATGTCCCGAAAACTTTGCTCGAATCGGGCGTGATTGCTCGCGTGGATCCAAAAGATCCATGTCGTCGGTGATTCAGATCGGATCTGATATGAATATTCGATGACGAGTTGTGATTTTCTTCACGCTGTAAGTCTTCGGCCACGTCCTAGTGTTTCACACTTACCCTACACCACCGAGGCCGACTAAGGCTATTCTCGACCCTGGGACCGAGTTCTTCTCACGTATCTGATGAAGCAGTGTGCTCCTACTAACGAAATCCTGGTCGCGCGCGAATGGTACGGTCGATAAAGGATCAGGCGGGGTTTCTGGTCGCTCTAGAGTAAGACGCGGTGATTAGTCAATCAGCTCTGCTCGTCGTTTCCTGACGCACCTGGAGCGGCATGAAATTCCGCGGTGAATGTGCCATAGTTGTTCCCAACCTGTGCGCCATGGTTGACGCCCGAATAAGTGGTCGAGGCCATAATCAAGGAGCCGAACTTCCTTTGAAAATCGTGACTCCAGTGACAGTCTGCTTCTCAGCTGAAGGAGGGGCACGTACTTTGGTTTGAGCCAAGTGGCCCCCAGGCGCTAAGCCAGGAAAATCAAGTGGCTGCGACTATGGTGGGCTGTGGGTGGGGTCCAACAACAGGTCCAGCAACATCGGTTCCTGGAACGGATCGACCCGAGCCGGCACAGTTCGATCAAGCACAGCCGGCAACAACCAGATCCACCTCAACATACAAAGACGCTCCTACCGCGCAACTTTCTAAATACATATAATGGGCCACGTCAGGTCACAGTCACTCGCTGCGATGGTTAGACTGATATGAATTGTGTTCATCCACCTTTTTCTGAGGTCCGCAACTTTGAGAGGGGCCACCAAGCTCCCAGAGATTTGGAGATCGTCAAGTCACGTGCATTTCTTCACACCCAGCACGCCCTAGACCCCTACCACCTAGAATCGTCTCACCTACTTACTGAGGGTAAGTAACGGTGAAAAACGGTACGATGGGTTCTCTACCGCTCTCTTATGGTCACCAGCTGCGCCCTGTTGTACGTTTTCTCCACTGTCCAGATTCCTCACCGTCCGATAGCACCAAGGCTTCCTAAATCCAAACTGGAAATGATCCAAGACATAGTATCAAGCGGGTCACTTATCACCTCGTAAATGGCCAAAGCTGCCGAATGCAGTAAACGTTCGGCCATCAACATCAGCAACAACCTTCGCCGGTTCGGAAATGTCAGGTCTCCCCCAACTCGCCCCAACTCGCGTCGGCCACCGACCAAGCATGACCTCCTCGATGCTCCAAGCCTTATGTGACCGTCTCCTCGAAAAGCCTGGAATGTATTTAGACGAAATGACAATCTTCATATCGGACGAGTTCTGCGTTCAGGTCTCGAAATCGAGCCTCAAGCGGGCTCTCGCTTCGGCGGGCTAGTCGAAGAAGGCGACGAGACAGAGGGCAAAGGAACAGAATGCTGACTTACGAGACTTCTATTCGCACAACCTTTCCGACTTTCAGTCGTATCATCTAGGCTATGTGGATGAGTCTGGATGTGATAAGCGGGTTGGCTTTCGACGGACGGGCTGGTCTCCATTAGGCGTGACTCCATTGCAGGTAGCCAATTTCCATCACGACCAGCGGTATCAGATCCTGCCTGCCTATTCCCAAGATGGTATTGTGCTCTCTCGTATATTCCAGGGCTCTACCGATGCCGCTCTCTTCGAGGGCTCTATTGATCAGCTTCTTCGGCATTGCGGAAGATGACCCCAGCCAAAATCCGTTCTGATTATGGACAACGCATCGTTCCATCGTTTACCTCGTGTACAGGAGATGCACTAATGCGGGAGTGAAGCTAATGTACCTTCCACCATATTCGCCTGACTTCAATCCTATTAAGGAGTTCTTCTAAGGAGATGAGCCTTTCATCCCATCTTTTTCGGCCGAAGAAATAGGCCTTCCTTTCCTCAGGAATCAGGCCCTCATCGCCTGACTTCCACAAAAGGTATAGTAAAAGGCTGCAGCCGTCTAAAATAGAGGGTTTCGGCTATCCCTGTTCCAATGACCCGATTTACTTACCTATGACTTCTAGACTATATCTTATTATTATAGTAGGAAGTTGACTAATAGTAAATTTAGATAGATATAGTCATAGATTCAGGAATAATTAATAATTCAGAATGAATAAAGAGTAACAGATAGGAATCGGTAATTCCTAGGAATATCTAGTGCTGAACATGCAGATATATAGACCGGATAATGTCTGGCAGGTGGGGCTTTCCTGTCCTGGGTGCCACCGCTTTTATGAGGGCGCTCAGACAGGCTCACTAAGAAATGGAGCACGGGTACTTGCTCAACGATCTTGTCAATCTAGTCATGGATGCTCGGTGGTCGCTCAGTTTCTGGCTTTATTACTAAGATGATTAGATGACATTGCTATATGTTCAAGACTATAAACTACATACCAAAGCAGAATCATCTACGCTAGCAGATATGACATCCTTAACGGTGCCCCCGGCGACCGTTTTTGTGAGTTCGGAGATGCTTCTCGCTCAGCGTTTGGGACGTGACAGAAACCGCATTAATAGCCAACTCCTCGCTCTGGCCGGCGTTACATTCAGTACCGGCGGGCATCGGCTGGGAGGGTGTCCAGATACCGCCAGCACAGCGCTGGAAGGAGGTACCACTAATACAGTTCCAGTATCCTTCCTGAGAGCAGGATCCGGTGAGAGCCTCAGAGCTGGAACTAGATGCAGAACTAGATCCACTGGACGTATCGGCCGCAGAAGTCTCTGAAGCCACGGACGTTGTGGTGGTCGGGGTGATTTCGGTAGTCTGAGCAGTTTCGGTAGCCTGGACAGCTTCGGTGGTTTGGCTAGAGACTGCCACCGTAAGCGAGGTGCTCACTGATGCCTCTGCTGTAGTTATAGCCGTAGTAGCTGTAGAGGAAGACTGGGTAGAGCTGGAAGCTGTAGCGGTGCTGTAACCCGCCGTTCCCCAGGTGGCGGAACCACTGTAACATACGTCGGCATCAGTTGCAATGAGATGGCTGGAAGGTCCAAGGTACTCGACGGTGTCGCCAGGGTTGGGGAAACGAATGTCGTACATCTCCTCGGTCAAGCAACCGTTGATGTTGGCAATGAACAAGTCAGGGAACTCATCCGAGGAGCGCTTTTCGGCTGCGGCAGACTCCGATCTCTTCTTCGAGGAACTGCTCTCGGTGATAGTAATAGGGGCACAGTTCATGTACATCTCACGGCTGCCGATACGGTTGAACCAGGTCCAGGCGATAGTATACTCGCCCGCGTCGAAGCTGTCCGGGATGGTAAAGTTAGGTGAAAATGGGGTCACCATCGTGGCGCTGGTTCCGATGTTGGAGTCACTCTCGGTCTCATCCATACATCCACCTTCAATTGACATAATGACATCCCAAGTGGTCGAGTTGCTAGGCGCACGGTCCGAGGTAATACTGATTTGGCAAGAACCGCCGCCATGGGTAGTACCGCCGTGGAAAGTCATGGACTGGGTTTCACCTTTCACCATGTAGTTCTCCTCGGTAACAGTGTAATCGCCCGTGATTTTACACGGGAAATTGCTTCCATCCGCATCGAGAGGAGAGTTATCAGACGAATCAAAGTTGTAAGGAACGGGGTCGACCATGACTAGGTGAGCTCCAACAAGGGAGGTACCTAGGACGGTAGCGACCGCAACAGCCGATTTGGAGAACATCATGTAATCGGCAAGGGAAATATTCAATTCAAGATTGGTCCGATAGTTGAGAATAATTGATTGTATTCCGTCTCAGACTTGAAATGCAGAAAGAAACGTCGGTGTCTGTCACAGACAATTCACCAAATTTTTAATGAAAGAATGAAATGAATGAAAAGAGACAACAACTACCAGTAGTTGTGTCCAACGAAGCTTAATGGAAAGGAATGCGTGGTAGAATGCATGAAAGAAGTATCGAGCCTGGCATCGCGAGAGATCTTATAGTAATGGCTATCCTCACTTATATGATGAAACACTAACTTAATTCACACATTATTGTAGCCGAAGCAGGGGGCAGAGGTGCATTGTGAGGCTTGAATCACTTGGCAGGGGGACGGATGGTCCTATAATACGTCCTAAGCCAAGCGTGGGTGAGCTGCCTCGTTTATCTTATTGCCCAGATTTAGGCATACAGTCCCCCTCGATAGAGAGAGAAAAATTCAACAGATATTTTGAGACTTCGTGGTAGGTCCTGAGCTCATCGCGAATAGAGAGGCTCGTACCAGCAGCTTATCTATGCCTATACACAGACTATATAACTACCGATTGGAGATGAAGTTGATGTTTATCCTGCATAGAGCCTCAATGATTCAGACCTTAACCTTGGTAGATCAGAAAAGAGCTATCCGTGTTCGACCGTCGCACCCACAAGGTCTCCACACAAATCCGGTAGTTACTGTCATTGGATGGATCAGATCGAACACAACGACTGTCTTAGCTTGGCTTGGCTTCACCCTTCCTCCGAAGCGAGATTTTCTTGCCCCACACCCCCTATATATCTGTCACCTGTGGCGTTGGGGTATTTGATTCGGAACGGCTTCGAAAGCCGACAATCAGGCTTTGCCAAGAAAGCAAAATCATCAACCTAGACCTGTGACGTTTATCCATTATCATTCTGCTTCAGCATATTAGACCAGGAATTAAAATGAAAAAAGTAATGACAAGAATGACCGACTTCGGCAGTGGCCAAATCCTCTTGTGGGCCTCATTGACTACAATAGAAAGACTTAGAAATCGATCGGATTCGCGTGAACCAGATCTCCCAGGGTTTCTGTGACAGTGAATCCGCCCGATGTGGGGCGATGATGCACAGAACAGCTAAAAGCATCGCCTATACGACCTCATCGAGGTTTAGATTACTGTGTGTTTCAAACACGCTAGCGGGCGCCAAATTGTGCATGGTTCAAACTGCCGGGCGAACTCGGCATATTGGATTTACCTAGAACTGAGATTCTTTGCTCCCAAACAAATCTCAGCTACTCGAACCGTGATCTCGAAACACAAATCATACCTTAATTAATTTCATTTTGACCAGTTACATCCACTTCTAATCCATGCAGAGTACTGCAGGAAGCCACTCACGTAATTTCGCCAGCGAGCGGGATACACATGCGTAATACATCATTATATTTTTGGTTGTGCGATAACAGGAGGCCTCTCAGGGAATACGAAGCAATACAAGAACAAGGCCTATAGTCATATAGGAATATGTCAATATAGTAGGATACGGTATAGGCTAGGAAAGCTGGGATCCAATGGAATGAGATGCCCAAAATAGTGATGTATTGGGTGACTGAACTATCTAAGTGTGTAGGAGGGGGAATGTTGGATATCCTCTGCCTCGCGGTCTAGCGCGTTACGGCGCTGTATTCCGAGTCTACCCGGAATACCATACGTAGGGAATCAAGTATCCCTGTAACAATCTGACTCACGTGGGGAGAAGTGGGTCTCGCCTGTATTATGCGGTCTTCCTTCTTGACAGAATATTTTAACCCCTTCCTGAATTAGGTCGTAGTATTCCGGAATGAAAATTAAACCAACCATCTGCTCTACGTTATATACAAACTTCTTAGGTGCATCGGTAGTAACGTGTTCCACAAGCGAGCTGCGCACCTGTTATATGATAATTGGAGTATGAGGTTATTCCCAACTTCATGCCTCAGGTGTCAGTTCGACGCCTTATCGGTCAGGCTTCGAAATGACAGCCCCACTTCTCCCCAACATAGATGCATGACCTACAAGGCCCTCGGGGTTCGGTGCCCTTCCATTAGGGATTCGCCAGCCCCTCTTTGCCGTAGCCTTTGCTTACCTCTGATTACATGAGGGCCACGTCAGCGCCTATTGTTGTATGATGCATCGCCTCTGCTTTAGTCATGTGAAGAAGTACTGAAGACTGTATATAAATTGAGGAACATGGAGAGATCCATGATAGCAAGAAACAGTGTTTTGCCTTCCTTACTTGACGTTTATCTTCCTACCTAGTCGACAGGCTTTCTACCCTGTATAAGTAGTTATTCTCTAACAATTTGCTGTAACAGTGCAGTCATTATTAGCATCACAAAAAGCCAGGTTCTGGGTCATATCAGCTTTACAGAAAGGTTATATTGCAAAGGGAAAGGATAAGGGGAAAGTGGTAACGCAGGACTATTAGTGCCTTAAACCTAGCCCCCACCCTTGGGTTGTAGGTGCGCCACACAGTCTCTTCGTTTCACGCCGTCTTTTCGGATTCTTCCTAAACCATTCTATATCCTTGCTTCCTTATCTAACACTTCCATTATAATATGACCATTTCTGATGGATCTCGTATGGTTGAGGGCTGCCTAGCTGCATCACGCGTCAAGAAGGCTAATATAGCGCGTTTACCACAAGAATTTAGCGTGCCTGGGCGTTCGCTTTCAAATAGGGTTAACAAGAAAACAAGGCCTATTACCGCTGAACGCGGTGTTGGATACGCTCTAGAAGCATATCAGGAAGAAATCATAGTTCGCTGGATTCAATATATGAACGATTGCTCTATGCCTATCACTCCTAGGATACTGGAATCGTGGGCGAATCGTGCATATCAACGCGTCGGAGAGCCGCCTATTAGCAACATGTGGGCGTATCGCTTTTTGACACGGCTTCCTGAACATTGACCAAGGCAAAAATATGACGTCTATCGAGTGAATGGCTGCTGACGGGTGGCAGGTAGAACAGTTTATATTCAAAGGAAACAGGATCTTTATAGAATGTTGGCTTAAAAAAACAGAAGATCTGCCACCAAGAAGTACTAATACAATATTACCAAACGGTTGAATAACCGATACTATAGCAGTTCAATGGCTTCGATTCTTTATAGAAGCAACATGCGACCGTACGCACTCGGGTGAAAAACGTATCCTAATCTTCGACGGTCATGGTTCTCATCTAATATTCGAATTTATATAACTTTGCGAAGAGAAAGATATCCTGCCAATATTTCTACCACATACAGCATACGTTTGCCAGCCGCTTGACGGGAAAACATTTCTAAGCTACAAGCAACACTTCCGCTTAGCGAATAACGAGCACGATATGCATTTTGAATGAACTTAATTTGAAGTATCTAGACTGCGTAAGTACCTACAAATTTATTTCATGTGGGTTCCCGGATTTGAACGCACGACCAGTATTAGAGGCGCCAATTAATTCAGCCACAGTGGGCGCTGAGCAGCAGCGTGATTTCTGATAGCACCACATCCCGTACTCCTTTGCCCCTTACAACGCGACCGTTTCCCACCCTCTATATCGCCAAGACATTGTTTTGCTTCGACCTGAAACGAACTATTTATTACGCTGAATTGAAGGTCTAAATCGAGTCGGTGCTCGGTAATCGAATGATTCTATCCCAGGTCAGGCACATTTTTTACTTCAACCCACTTCTATGGTAGTGTTTCCAATTTATATAAAGCCACAGGTGGAATAGTAGATGACCACCAAGATTAGACATTTGTAGGTTTCAATTGACCATAGAGGGCACAAGAAAGAGGCTGAGGCAAAGCAAAAGTTAATCTAAATTTGATATAGGGACAGATAATTAGAAGTACGAGCATAGGCTGTTATATTATATTGCAACATGAGGTCATTCCCAACTCAATGGCTTTGGTGTCAGTCATCCACCTTATCGATCAGTCTTCGGGGGGACAATCCCACTTCTCCCTAACATGGGTACATGATCTACCAGGCCTTGGGGGTTCGGTGCGCTTTGACTAAGGATTCGTTCACCCCTCCATCTTGCAGCCTTCGCTTAGCCCTACTATATAAGTGCCACTTCAGACCGCACATTACAATGTGATCCATCGTCTCTGCTTTGGTCATAGGAAAAGATGTCGAAGCCTGTACATAAATTGAGGATCATGGAGAGATCTAAGATAGCAAGGATCAGTATTTTGCCTTCCTTACTTGACGTCCATCCTTCTACCCTGTACAAGTAGTTATACCCTAACATTGACATCGACGCTTATCACAACCATGTAACCATGCTTCACCACCGCTTCGGGAATGAAAGAGACTGGCCCTGCTCGATGACAAGAAGGATATTAGTAATATAGGGGCTGTGGGCCCCGCGGGGGCTTAAAAACACATGTCGCGTTCCCCACCCCACATTGCCCCCGTTTGCAAAAGGACTTCCTCAACAAATCGGAATTTTACGACCTTGCCTTTCTCACCAAGCTTCCGTCATACTCTTCTCTATATCAACTATCTGAGGGACCGTTCGAAGACGACATACACGACATCTTCAGGATACAAGTCGCCGCCCAGTCGAAGATGAACAATCGCCGGACACTCCATGCCGCTGCGAGGGAAGGCGACGTTGGTTCCATAAATCAAGCTCTCCAGTTAGGCGAGGACATCAATACGCCAAACCCATTTGGGGACACGCCTCTTCATTTGGCGGTATGGAAATTGTCGCGACCTTCTATCAGGTTACTGATGCTTGCGGGTGCCAGCGTAAGAGATCTTGACGCTCAAGGAAAGTCTGTGTCAGATCAGGCGAAGCAGTGGGGAGGAGAAGAGCTTTTGGCCTTCTTGAAGAGTGTAGAAGAGGAGTACATGGTATTTCAGGAGAACATGCGAAAGCACGCTTTGGATGAAAACTGGAAGGAGTTCGATAATATGTTGTCAGAATACTCAGGGCTGGTCAATGTTTACCTACCAGAGGGGCATACATTGTTACAGGAAGTAGCAAAATGGGGCATTACTACGGGTTTGAAGAGACTGATCCAGGTAGGCGCTAGGATTGATATGAGAAGTAGAACAGGCCGAACCGCTCTTCACTTTGCAGCAGGGTCGGGGCGCTTACTCGCTATCTGTGAGCTTCTTGATCATAGCGCCGATTTGGATGCCCAAGATGACGAGGCCCAGACAGCTCTTCACCTTACCACACAGTCTAGCTCACTAGAAAGCATGAAAGTGCTTCTCGATCGCGGTGCAGACGTTAATCTCCAGGGCAAGGACGGCCGGACGGCTCTTCACCTTGCCGCACAGTCTAGTTCGCTAGAAAGCATGAAAGTGCTTCTCGATCGCGGTGCAGACGTCAACCTCCAGGACAAGGACGGCCAGATAGCTCTTCACCTTACAGTGCTATCTAGCTCGCTAGGAAGTATGAATATACTTCTCGATCGCGGTGCAGACGTCAACCTCCAGGATAAGGACAGCCGGACGGCTCTTCACCTTGCCGCACAGTCCGGTTTAGAGGATATTACGAATACACTTCTCGATCGTGGTGCAGACGTTAATCTCCAGGGCAAGGACGGCCGGACGGCTCTTCACCTTGCCGCACAGTCCGGTTTAGAGGATATTGCGAATACACTTCTCGATCGTGGTGCAGACGTTAATCTCCAGGATAACGACAGCCGGACGGCTCTTCACCTTGCCGCACAGTCCGGCGCACTAGAAAGCATAAAAGTGCTTCTCGATCGCGGTGCAGATAGTAACCTCCAGGATAAGGACGGCCGGATACCTCTTCAACTTGCCGCACAGTCCGGCTCGCTAGATAGCATGAAAGGGCTTCTCCGTCATATTACAGAGAGTAACCTCCAGGACAAACACGGCCGGACAGCTCTTCACCTTGCCGTAGAATCCGGTTTAGAGGATAGCGTGAATACACTTCTCGATCTTGGTGCAGACGTTAATCTCCAGGGCAAGGACGGCCGGACGGCTCTTCACCTTGCCGCACAGTCTAGTTCGCTAGAAAGCATGAAAAGGCTTCTCGATCGCGGTGCAGACGTCAACCTCCAGGACAAGGACGGCCAGATAGCTCTTCACCTTACAGTGCTATCTAGCTCGCTAGGAAGTATGAATATACTTCTCGATCGTGGTGCAGATATCAACCTCCAGGACAAGGACGGCCGGACGGCTCTTCACCTTGCCGCACAGTCCGGCGTAATAGAAAGCATAAAAGTGCTTCTCGATCGCGGTGCAGATAGTAATCTCCAGGGCAAGGACGGCCGGACGGCTCTTCACCTTGCCGCACAGTCCGGCGCAATAGAAAGCATAAAAGTGCTTCTCGATCGCGGTGCAGATAGTAATCTCCAGGGCAAGGACGGCCGGACGGCTCTTCACCTTGCCGCACAGTCCGACGCAATAGAAAGCATAAAAGTGCTTCTCGATCGCGGTGCAGACGTCAACCTCCAGGACAAGGACGGCCAGATAGCTCTTTACCTTGCTATACTATCTAGCTCGCTAGAAAGCATAAAAGTGCTTCTCGATCGCGGTATAGACGTTAATCTCCAGGGCAAGGACGGCCGGACAGCTCTTCATTTTGCCGCAGAGTCTAGCTCACTAGAAAGCATGAAAGTGCTTCTCGATCGCGGTGCAGACGTTAATCTCCAGGGCAAGGACGGCCGGACAGCTCTTCACCTTGCCGCAGAGTCTAGCTCACTAGAAAGTATCAAAGTGCTTCTCCGTCGCGGTGCAGACGTGAATCTCCAGGACAATAACAGCCGGACGGCTCTTCACCTTGCCGCACAGTCCGGCTTAGTAAAAAGTATGAACATACTTCTTGATCGCGGTGCAGATAGAAACCTCCAGGATAAACACGGCCGGGCAGCTCTTCACCTTGCCGCACAGTACGACTCACTAGATAGCATGATAGTGCTTCTCCGTCGCGGTGCAGATATTAACCTCCAGGATAAGGACAGCCGGACGGCTCTTCACCTTGCCGCACAGTCCGGCTTAGTGAAAATTATAAATATACTTCTCTATCGCGGTGCAGACAGAAACCTCCAGGACAGACACGGCCGGACGCCTCTTCACCTTGCTATACTATCTAGCTCGCTAGAAAGTTTAGATATGCTTCTCGATCGCGGTGCAGACGTTAATCTCCAGGATAACGACGGCCAGACGGCTCTTCACCTTGCTATACTATCTAGCTCGCTAGAAAGTTTAGGTATACTTCTCGATCGCGGTGCAGACGTTAATCTCCAGGACAAACACGGCCGGGCAGCTCTTCACCTTGCCGCACAGAGCGGCGCAATAAAAAGCATAAAAGTGCTTCTCCGTCGCGGTGCAGACGTTAACCTCCAGGACAAGTACAGCCGGACGGCTCTTCAACTTGCCACACAGTCTAGCTCGCAGGAGAGCAGGGAATTACTTCTCGATCATAGTAGAGACATTGACCTCCTAGATCATCACGGCAAGTCAGACCTTTCTAAGAAAAAGATGGATACCAGGGATTCTAGGGTAACTAGGAAAACTGGAAACTTGCATTTCCCCTCATGTCCAACTTCGGTCAATCTCAACTTTCACCTCCAATGCATCAACGGACAGCATTACTTTGATGGTATTCGCACAGTATGCTTCTCTGATATACCGCCATTGTCAATATTTGATCGCATCAAACTAGGTGTAGAATCAATTGTTCAGATGCGTATTGACTGGTGGCCATTCCGTCAACCTACCATTCCATGCCCAGAAGGTCACGTGACAGTCAAATGGATGGTAAGTATGGTATTTCCCAACATAAGAGCCCAAAGCTAATTCTGCGTATTGTAGTGTGGACTACAAGAGCTTCACCTTCATCTATCATTGGATGAAGCAGAGAGATATCGTCAAAACTGCAATCCAATACAGCTCAGCAGTAGGGTCGATTCGGACCGAACTCTACCGCGCCATCATCAGGATATCCAGAATTCAAATGTGCCCGAAGTTCGAATTAGCGATTCACTAGGGAACCCAGTTCATCCAATCTCAAGTTCCTCTTCTGCCCAAGGAAACAATGGGAAACATTCTAGAGGTACCCTCGTACGAGATGAAACTTTCCTTGAGAAAAATTATATCTCGAAGGAGATTTACTGGTGTGTTGACAGACCCTGGACTGAGCTCAAAGAAACAATGCTTTCTGTGGTCCAAGATTCACAAAACATACGAAATGACGCAGAATTTTACTTGAAACTCAAGGCTGGATATATTAGAATTCGTGGCCACCTCAAGCACCGCCTCTTTTCTTGGAAAACATGCACTTCAGTTGAATTTATAAAGGTAAATAGCTTCATGTCCTTAATTCATGGAACAATGGCTCATAAGTTAGTTCTACCGAGTACGCAATTATCATGATCAGGTCTATCCGGGACCAAACGAAGTGCCTTCCCGAGAAGCAGAATATGACTTCAAAATGCCTGAGCCCGAAGATGTCCATATAAAAATAGCAAGTCTTCAGATAGCGGCAGGCCTTAAAAATCCCGATCTGAGTGAGGGTGCGATGGAAATTTTCCATTTGATACCGCAAAAGAATGTTCCTCCCTTGCTTCCAAACACTATGGGCACGGAAGGATGGGGCTTGCACGCTATGCAAGGATGGTCATTTGTGAAGATATTTTCGTGGTTCGTTGCGACGCAGATAGTTGGTTTTGTATTTGTTTCCCTCTGGCTCACTTTCATCAACAAGACTGACCTACAGAACGCGTTTGTTCCCTGGACATTCTTGACTACCTTGATCATGGTTGGCTTCGGCATATGTCAATTCTACACTCCAGCGTGACTTACTGTTCAGAAAATGCTGATGTTTTCTTTGATACCTTGTCCTGTTCGCACGCTTATGGCTGTACGTATTCCCACCTTGGTCCGCACTGGCACGAGGGCAGAGCAAATCACTATTGTTCATTTCCGCTTCAGTACAAGCCGCGACTTTACAGTATTGATACATAAAACATTAAAGTGCCGGTATTGACGATATACTTGAGATCTGAGGGATTCCTAGGAACACACTTATGCTTCTAGGAGCGATTGTTTGGGTATATACCGATAGTAGGACTTAGATTCCCCTTTTTCCCACTCAGTTTAGTCAAATTACCATGTTATCGAAACCCCAAAAGATCTTTGTAACATTGTGTATTTTATGGAGCTTACTAAAATGCCTGGTCAACTATGGTAAGCAATCAAGAATTCTCTCAGGCCCAGTGAACAAACGCGCCGAGAAGATGAGTTTTAAGATAGATTGGGTTGGCCAAAAGTTGCCAGTCATTATTCGGTGGATATAGATGGATTCCTGGACGCGGTAGTAATAGGAGATACCAGTTGAAACCGAACGATATGAGCTTTTGGCAGCTATCATGAGTATTGAATACTATCAGATATCGGGTGTAAACAATACTGTAAAGAGGATAGGGTTGCATACTGTGCATGAATTGCTCCTAGGGTATAATTGTGGGCAATGCAAGTATACAGACTTCTCAATGTAGCCCACATAGGGCGCTAGTAGAAGGCAATCTACATGAGTTAATTTAAATCCAGCCTGTATACGTCATCCGAGCATGTTCCGTATTAACTCTCAACGATACGCGTTGCTGACACCAGCCTGCAAAACAAGTATGCTGCCAAACACCTTATTTTCTGGCAGTACCATGGCTGCCGCTACAGTTCCAAGTGCCCACTAATACCTAAAAACCTCGTTATAGTAAGTCGATACTAATGATATTTCCACATGAACGCTCTAATTTGAGGGCAGATATCCCTTAAGAATACTACTTCTTGATACTGACCTACGGCTAACGAGACCTACGCGCCGAAGGGGCAGTAAAATTGTTAACGTATTTCACTAGCGAGCTGAACACCCTACCACCTACTACTTTTTGAAAACTGTATTTCCACCAAAACGCTATATATTTGATTCAATTTATCTAGCATTACATTGACTAATGTTATGTCCTATATTACCATATCCAGAGCACCGAAAAACATGCCTAGTAGTAGACTCAGCGCCCTCGGTAGGCTACTGAGCAAGCTCTATAGCATCGTTTTGAATAGCTTCAACGCTTGCTGGCAACGTTGAATCTATAGATATAGATTCGCCGACCATAAAAACTTGCTACCTAGATATCTGGCGATTAGAACGTGTGCGTTTCTGATGTTTCTTCTAGTTGAATTGTCGTAAATCCCTAGCTACCTGCGCTAGAAGCGCTCCGCTATGCATCGCTAATTGGCACCCCTTGATTAATGATCTAACGCACGCTCAGTAGGGCTTCCTGGCGACCGCGAGCGCTTGCGTAGTAGAGCTTTAATAGATGAAGCTTGCTTGCTGAGCTGCTTGATCGTATGAGGAGTAGTAGGCACGAAGGCGCTAGATCTACTACTAGGCCTGCTTGCTGGTGGCGTTGGTGTTCTATGCGATCTATTAAGCTTTGATAGGACTCGGTCGGCATCTAGCGGAACTAGGCCTGCGCTGGTGAGACTAGCTTGAATAGTGCTAGGTAGGAAGGCTTCCTAGCGTGCTCGAGTGTAGGATTCTAGGAAGTCGAGCTTATCGATATGGTTATATCCTAAGCGGGCTTGGGCTTCGATTAAGCGACTGTATGAACGCTTTAATATAGCAAAACACCCGATATCGAGAGGCTGTAGAAGATGCGACGAATGCGGTGGCATGCAGCTTGGTATACCATTATTTTGCTGGCAGATTTGATCAAATTGTGGTGTTAAATAGCAGCCGTGACCGTCTAATATTAATAGCCGATATTTGCCTTGCGTACGCGGAGTAGGAGCTGGAATAAAGAGCTTTTCTAGCCATCGTAGGCATATATCATCGTTAGTCCAACCTTTCGGTGATGTTTCAAATTGCCAGTCGCTAGGAAGGTTATCAAACCAGCTAGTAATATAAACCTTTCCTTTGAATATTATATACGGCGGAAGCGACAACCCGGTTGCCGATATAGACTCAGTAGCAGTTACCCACTCTTGATTCCCTGGTTGCAATAGAGGTTTCCGACCGTAGAAATCCTTTCGTGTAACTATTCTAGTAGTAGATATGAGGCCCATAGCAAAGCCTGTTTCATCAAAGTTATAGATATCGTTTGATTGGATCCCGTTTTCGTTGATAACTGTTTCAATAAACCTTAAACCACGCGCGTAGGCTTGCTGGGTCTTCGTTCTTGGGTGCGCTCATAGTCGTAGCGCTTAGAGAATCGTGTAGTAAGGTCTGATCGACGCTTAATATAGCGTGTCACCCAATTAGCACCTATAGTAGAAGGTTGCTAGTAGAAGATTCGCCATACTAGCAATCGCTGCAGGCCTAGGGGAAGCACCACGGGTATCTAGCGATAGTATCCACTGGCAAAGCGAATCCTCTTCTTCTTGTGTCAGTTTTAGAAGGGATGATCGTGTATCCTGGCGGTTCCGAACACCATTGATTCGGTCATATAGGGTAGTGATAGGCACATCTGCTGCTGCTTTGAGTATAGATAAGTTAGTATCATTTTGAATAGCTTTGATAGCGATTAGGATCCTATCCTCCCTATTTGGCGATTTTGAGCGCTTTTCAGAACGTTTTGGTGGCATGGTGTGTGATGGAAGATAGTAGGTGATGCGTGGGAAGCGTGTTTTGGATGGCGTGTTCGGCTCACTAGTGAGATACGCTCAGTTAGTGTATTCTGATATTTCTCAAAATTAATCCTTACTCCTTCATGGAAGGTTTCCACGTCCTTTTTATCATGGAAGCGGGCTAAGAAAGGCGGGGTTATTTCACATGCTTCACTGTATCAGTTCACTACTGATCCAAGGTCATTTCATGAGCTTATTCCATATCACGGAATAACCAGAATTAATTACTTAGGACTGCTCGACTATATCTTATTATTATATTGGTAAGTAGAACGGGAAATTAACATAAATATATTCATGTAGAAAACAATCTATACGTGATGAAAGAAGAGTAATAGATAGGAATTGGTAATCTCCTAGGAATATCAAGTGCTAAATCAGAAATGATTAGTTAGACAAATACCACATCTTTATCGTCCATCTCCAACTGTCATCACAGAAAAAACCGGCTGCAAAGCAGTTATTGACTCGCATACAATGTATTTCCCTTGGATACAGATTCACGATCGATTCAACCTTGATATTTATTATTGTCTTGCCTAGCCAACAGGCTACTGCCCTGCAAGAAGCAACACAACAGAGATACAGATAAGAAACTAGAGAAGCTATGATACTTATTCAATATAAGGTTTAATCATTACAAAGGCACGCGAAGGTAATAAAGAACTTTTCACTAACCAAAATAGCCTTAATTAGCCTCTTATCCTACTAAATCATCAGATACCATAAGCAAATACACCTGGTACCCTAATAAATAAGTTTATACTATATCAATCAACCAAAAGTGTCAAGGATGAAACATAGTTATTATAGAATAACCTCGGATCTGTGGTGATCTATTACGATAAAGTATATCAACCTACCCCGCTCTACTTACCCTACTTTCATGATACAGTAAATATAGAACACCTCAATGGCGGAGCAACGATTCAATTTTGAAACTACCAAGATATAAGAATTTTTTTCCTTGCCTGACCTATATGAGTCTATAGCAATAGCCTAATTACAAAAAGAGAAACATACATTAGGCTCATCAAGTCTTCTTCTATTAAATAGTATAATTTTCATCCTATTAATGTAAGTTTGAAGGGGATAGCATCGATTGTATTTTGCCCTAACGACTACTGGAGGTTATATAGGCTATGGGAGCCTGAGGAATATGTGGCTACTCAGGTAACTATAGACTCCCAATATGTCACTGGTATATAGATTCCTATAGACAAGATATATCGTCAAGATATATGCTCGAATGCCGCAGAACCGTCCAATCACATCACTCTATTATACACTATCCTAGAGTGTGATGACCTATAACAAAAGTCTAAAGTTGGTCTTGTGATGCAAAAAAGCTTCTATATTTCCATATCTCCCAATAAAAATCAATTGTCTTCAGCCCTCCATAGGCCTATTTCAGCGCTGCTAGTAACATTATCTCCTTTTCGCAGCATCGGCTCTTCCAGAGCGTGAGAAAAATTCATTCCAAGTTCCATCGTCATGTGCATGGATTGATAACTTTCTGGTCCCCTTGTCGGTATGGTACCCGACGGTAATTACCTTCTTCTCGTCGCTAGCGTCTTTGCTAGATTTGTGAGGCGTTGTCCCTCTTTTGGAATAATGTTAGTAATAAGTAGGAAATGCGGTTAATAAAATCATTAATAACATACTGAATTTTCGCTTGTGTGACACCAGGGTACTAGATCAAATTGACTTAGTTTTTATATTAGTTATAAGGGAGCTTTAGAAATTACCTTCTTCTCAATACTGGCACTAGCCTTGCTCACGGTATCACTAAAGCCTATCCCTGCCTTTTCTTGTAGTGCCGCAAGAGAAATCTGCAAATATTTCATTGTAAGGACTGGAGTAGGCTTCGGCATAGCTGTAGTTTGGTGATGACTGTTTTGTGTGAATTTATTTTGGTTGCTTTCACTGTCAAGGAGTAAGTTGAATAATTATTCAGAGGGAAATGCTCTCCTTTAAGTAGTCAACGTGAATTGTCTCTGGGCTATACTGAGTGCATATTATCGTTTACTGCACAATTAGTATGGATTCTACGCGCCTGATCTTGACCTTGTTGTTGTTTCATATTTGAGAGAAAAACTGCCTTGAATGCCCTCGTCATTATGTGTATTAAAAGACGCATATTATTGTCTCATGATGCTCAGCGCATAGATGACTTTGTTTATTTGGCCGTTTGATCCATGCCTTTGGCGTATCCCGTAGACATTTAGTTATAAATTTCAAAATTATTATTCAAACCACTTGATAAAACTCGTCAGTGCTGTATTGTGGTCTATATATACATATGTATATATATATATATGCATTTATCGTACTTCTCAGATTATTGTTGATGGAAGGAATGAATACGGTACGTCGCTATTGCCTACCGACCCCGAGTATATATTATCAAAGATTATATTTGATGATAATACTATCATTAATAGGATTATAAGGGATCTAGAACTGCCATATTTATCGACTAGTGAGCACGTTACTAAAATCCGAACTAATAACACTATAGCTAACAAAATTATGACCGGTGGCGCGATACCCAACATAGGGGCCAACGGTGCGATACCCAACATAGGGGCCAACGGCGCGATACTCAATATAGGGGCCAACGGCGCGATGCCCAATATAGGCGCAACACTAACGCGATTACAAGCACGAAACGTTGCTTCAGCGATACACTTTGGATCGTTATCGAATTTCTATATACTAGAAAGGAGACTTACCAGAAAAGGTCGATCAGAGAGAAGATAAAAGTTTACGTAATAGGAAAACGAGAGGGTTGTATAAAATAATGTTTGCAAATAATCTCAACTAAAAATACTCACTGCGATTCTGTTCAAAACTAGACTAGGTTCAGAATTAACAGACAGAACGAAACACCCCTAGAGGAAACTAAATATCGGGACAATATGAAAATAGAAAATTGCCGTAATACAGAGAGGATTCATTTATATAGTAGAGCACTACTACTACTATACCACAAATTTTTCTATCAGATTAAGAACATTAGTCAAGACAGGGCTTATTCCCGTAACAATGGCTGCATCAAGAATTCGTCGTAAGCAAGTTCTTCCGCGGAAGGCCGAGCTTCGGGTAACCAGCATAAAACTCTCCTCAAGAAGCCTAGAAAAAGCTCCTTGTCGACACCACAATAATGCTGGGCGCGCAATTCCCACGATTGCTCTGGCAGGGGCAGAGAGCCTTTCCAATTTCCTATATGCTTGTTAGATTCTCTAGCAAATATATAGAAGCGGTTAGAGATACCATCACTATCCCAATAAAGGTGTGATTTTGCGCTTCTTTGGAGAAACTCAGGAGGTGGAGGCCCTATCAGTGATGTCATCTCTGCTAGATGTTGTTCATCATTGAGGATGCCTTCTTTCTTAGCGAAGAAAAGATGGCGGCCAAAGGCCATATCCCATGCCTAAAAATATGAGTTTAAATAACTAGGTCGAAATAGAAGAAACCTAGACTGACCATGACACCTATCGACCAGATATCAATTTTCTCATTCCATTCCATTTCTAAAATAACCTCTGGAGCTCGGTAGATGCCTGGCATCACATCGCCTCGCTGTTTAGTTTTACCAATTCTAGCTTCACCAAAGTCAGAAAGGACGGGCAACCCCGTAGCTATAGGCACTGGTCGAGAGAAGTAAAGCTGACGGCTATCGTCTAGAACCTTTCTTGCAATTGGCATTTTTAATTCGCCTTCTTCAATCTGGTCGAGAATCGATAAATCTTTGATCCCTTGCAAAATGTTATTTGGCGAAATATCTGGATATATGTTAGTTTATTATATAAAGATAACTAGAAGGTAAAGCTTTCGAGCTGACCAGTATGCACGATATCATTCTCGTGAATAAAAGCCACAGATATCAAAATAAGCTGCAAACTTCTTTGGAGCAGATCCTCTGGTAGCTTGCGGTTGGGAAACAGCTCTTGGAAATCCGCAAAACTCATACCAAGTGCCTCGTATATAATGCAAGTATGTTGTCCGTGGGGACCAGAAATCTCGAATGAATCGAGAATAAGACGCACCAGACTCTTGCTAGAGTGATTGCTAATTTGTTTTAAGTGGTCCGAGACCGCCAACTCGTGGTCTTGTCGCTGGCCGCGGATACCGACTTTCAGTGTATTAAAGCCATGGCCACTAGGGTTAATTAGATAAATGTAGGATATTTATACGAGGAAGCTTACTAGAGGTCACGACAAAGCCAAGCGGTAGAAGACATCCCATATCCCAGCTTAGAAACGACCTGGTATCGCGATGCGAAGACTTCACCAATATATACAGGGTAGTATATATCTGAGGCATAGAAAGGAAGATTTTCTTCTTCGATCTTCTCCTTGGGGTCAAGCTTGATGAAGCCTGATGATGGAAACTGCCGAAGAGGCAGGGGAGATGGTGGTCTAGATGCCATGGCTCTCGTAAAAGGAAAATGCAACCTGCGCGTGACACCAAGGACAGAGAACTTGAGACAAGGGGTCACTCTTGTAAGTTTCCCAGCAAGTGCTCGCATATTGAACAGTCCAACAACTCGCAAGTTGGAGGGCGAATAAGCAGTCAAAACAGTATTAGTGTCTGACGGTTATTGTACGGGCAGTGTAAGGCATTAATAGTTGATTGGAATGGTTTTGTTGTTCGTGGCTGAGCCGCCCCCTGCACGTACCCGCTAGGAAAATCACGGGTTTGTTGGCCTGTTTCCACGTGATCACCAGGCGCGTAAAGAGCAGCATGGTTTGTTTTGCGTGCCGAGAGAGGTTGCCGATCACTCGGCTGAAACTGTTCGAGGACTTGATTAGAATACAGACATGTTTATAATCAATCAATCAATATTCTTATCATCTCTGTTGGAGCTTCCTCTATTTACAAGGTGCAATGCAGGGATTTGCGCCTTTTGATTGCCAGCCCAGTGCGCATGAAGTGTTGCCCGCAACATGAGGCCAATCAACGATTGGAACGAACAGATGAAAACGAATGCAAACAAAGAAAGCTGCGGAAACGAAGGAAGCTGCAGTCCCAGCTCTTGCAGCAGACCCCGGCGGTGGTCGAGGGCACCACAACAAACATGCATCGTTCGTGGCCTCAGCAGAACGGCTTCCAACAGAACGGCTTCCAACAGAACGGCTTCCAACAGAACGGCTTCCAATATGCACTCCTGGAGGCAGTAGTATTAGGAGATGAAATACATGCCGTACACTAGACTCGCCCAGATTATGATCGGGTTAAGATACAAAAGAAATGCCTGAGGAATATACCGCGAAGGTAAACGGTCGGATTAGATCCAATTGAGGTTGTATGGTTTATGCTAAAACGAAAACCAGTTGAACTCTATCCAAATCTCGCTAAGATGGGAAGATCTGAGCTATATTGGAATTTATTTTGGCAAGCAATTCGTAAAGCTTAGTGCGCTCTTGATCAAGAGAAATTTGAAATCTCAAGGTATTGAATACTATCAGACATCGGGTGTAAACAATACTGTAAAGAAGATAGATTTGAATACTGTGCATGAATTGCTCCTAGGGTATGATTGTGGGAAATGCAAGTATACAAACTTCTCAATGGAGCCCACATAGGGCGCCTGTAGAAGGCAAATTACATGAGTTGATTTAAATCCAGCCTGTATACATCATCCGAGTATGTTCCGTAATGACTCTCAACGGTACGCGTTGCTGACACCAGCCTGCAAAACAAGTATGCTGCCAAACACCTTATTTTCTGGCCGTACCATGGCTGCCGCTACAGTTCCAAGTGCCCGGTGAGCATCGTATCCGATGCTCTGGGCAGCAGAAGCATCAATATCAAAGCTCGGCTCGCTAGGACCACTGCGCCGTCCGACAATGACAATACTACCAGTCTTGTTTGTCGCTTGGCCCAACTCGTGACGCACAGAAGCCAGAGCCAGTTCAACCGGGTCAGTAATAGCCTCTAATGAATTAGGCTGCAGGAAGAGAACACGATCTTTCAGTCCTTCAGAGACAGAGTCACGAAGAGTTTCGAGGAAAACGATGTCCGAGTGACTACTTGAAGTTTTTGCAGCTAACTCGCTTGAGCTAAAATTCGTCGTGTCTGCCTGCAATCCGGTGGCTTGGATAATAGTGGCGGTCACTTGGTCGTTCTGGGCCAACTGCAGCACCAAACGAAGAGCAAAGTGGTCATCCTCGCCACCAAAGAAAGGAAACACAAGATGGTGGGAGCGGTTGGTCGAAGGCTGTCGAGACCAAACACCCTGAATACTCATTCCACTGGAAGAATGCTGAAGCATTGGGCGTTTAGAAGCCGCACGAGATTCTGGGTTATTTTCGATCAAGATCCCCACATTGTTGGGGGCATTTTGCAGAATGGATGAGACAAAATCAGTATATGGACCGTCAGCAAAACGGCCAGCCGTTTCCGATTCCAGACCACTCTGACGATCAGCCAATGTGCCAGTCTCGCTCCATGGGAGCAAAAGAAGGTCTACCGTATCCTGTCGGGCCATATCGATAACAGTAGCCGCGTAAGAGTGTTCGGGGACGACGGAAACACCCGCCAAGAGCGATACATCATGCCACTCTCCGAACGCACGGAAGGTATTGACGACTGGATCCCAGAGAGCCTGGTCACCAGAGGACACTTTCATGACACTAGAGTCACGATCTGTCAACTCCATGAGCCGCACACCATGAACTTTGAGCGCTGCTTCTTTGTGGTCATCGGACGCAACAGCGTCTTCCACACTCTGTTCTGTCTGCCTTGGTGAATTTGCCGGATGCACTCGTGGCGATGATAGAACATTGCCACGATGAGGGCTGAGCAAAGCGGCCAAGGTGCAAATACCAGAAAGTCCATCTAGGCGAAGATAAACAAGCAACTTTCGCACAGGCACACTCTTCAACTGGTCTTTGGCTGCCGCAACACTATCAGACCGGTTACCGGTTTGTAAGGTATTCCCATTCCAGTCGATTTCGCCGCGACGCCATCGCTCCACCTTGACCTGATACCAGGGAGGATAGAGCACCGTGGTCAATGGAGTGGTCAAAAAGGTAGTGACTAACGCCATGACCACGAAAATGGTGAATGTACGAGTACTCAGGATCTTGGCTTGAAGACCGATATTCTGTCAAATGATGAGTACTGATTTATCAATAGCCCTCGAAGAGGTGATGATTCCAGGGTACAACCACTTACTAACACAATCAATTCCACCAACCCTTTGCAACTCATCAATACACCAATGGAAAAGCTTTCACGCCACAGCAATCCAGACCAGCGAGATGCGAGCGCGCCTCCAATCACCTTGGTTGTAAAAGCGATAGCAATTACACCGACCACATAGCCCCACACGGTCCCAGTGTCCAAAAGTCCTAGGTTTGTGCTGAGACCGGAAAGCGTGAAATAAAGGGGTAGGAACAGCGCCGTAACCAGATCTTCGATCTTTTCTGTAAGTTTGATGGCAAATCCACCTTCGTGGGGGCACATCAACCCAATGACAAAGCCGCCGAAAATGGCGTGGACGCCAATGATCTGTGTGAAAAAGGCCGAAGCCAAGGCGATAACCAAGATCAGGGCCACGACAGACTGACTGGGGCCTTTCTGCAAGCTTCCGGTGCGCTCCAAGAAGCGGAAGAAGACAGGCCGGAAGACGAAGATCAAGAAGAGCATATAGCCTACGCAGACCAGGAGCACGTACAATGCGGTGATCCCACTTCCCGCATTTACCAGGGCCACACATAGAGCCAGCAGGATCCATCCTACCACGTCATTGCCAACGCCTGCCGAAAGAACGATGACGCCGACGCGGGTTCCGAGTAGCTTCAGCTCTGTCAGAATACGGCACAAGACCGGGAAGGCGGTGATGGCCATTGCGATACCAATGAATAACAGGTAGGTGCCAAAGCTGATGGGCACAGTACTGGGATCATCGTGAAATTCATGGTAGAGACCATATGAGATTGCACAGCCGAGACCAAATGGCAAGGCCATGCCCAGAGCCGAAACCCCCAGCGAAACACGCCAGTTGCTCATAAGAAAGCGCAGGTCAGTCTCCAAGCCCACTAAAAAGAGGAAAAGCACCAGCCCCAGATTAGCTACCACGTTCAAGTTGGGGATAGCTGCGTCCGGGAAAATGGTATCAGTGAAGCCTGGAATACGGCCCATCACCGACGGTCCCAAGAGAATCCCCGCAATCACCTCTGCGATGACTCGCGGCTGGCGGATCTTGGACAGAGGCCAGTGGATGAGGCGACAGAGGGTGATGATAATAACTGCCTGGTGCCTGTCAGTACTGGTTCTTAGGGGGTGTTCTGGATATCCGATCACTCTACCTGGATGATAAACAATATAATCGGGTTCTTGGAGTCATAATGCGTGGGGTTTCCTCCTTCGAGGATGCCGCCCTGCGGACTCACCCGCGCGGTGCTTGTGGCCGTAGCCGTGGTCGTCGCTGTACCCGTCGCCATGGAGGGAGAAAGGAGGATGAAGGAGGGGGAGGTGAGCAACAAACGCGCATGATGACCCCGGACCAAGCCACGGGCACTCCACGCAGTTTGGTTGCTCCAATCCCATCCATGGGGCCGTGTTCGGATCTTGGCGCCATGCCTATTGAGGCGAGAGGAGATTGGCTGCGCGGCGCCTTATGGAGACGTCAACGAGTCAAGCCCCGAAGGTGATTCCTCCGACAGAGTGGCGCTAGCCCCAAAGCGGAAGTCCCTCGACGGGTTCCCGAGTCGGTGACTGCTCTGATCACATGATCTATCAGGTGACCCAGCGGTTTCTCATTGGCCATTCCTGCATGGTGCTCGTTGCAGCATTCGGCCAACTGCCATGAATGAGCTACGGCAAGACCATGGCATTGTCGCGAATGGAAGGCCCCCGATGAACATCCCAGACGCCCCCTGATATCTTGGCCCCGGGCCGTATCCATGATCCACCAGAATTGATCGAGTCTGCAGGGAGAGCTGGGTACATCCTAGAGATATATATATTGGAAAAAACGGGAATACGTAGTAGGTCAATAGGGCATTGTGTGGTCTTTTGGCGATCTGCAAGAATTGACGGCCAACGTCCTCCCGGCAATGTATGAAATGACGTGGTGTGTAAGCAAACACAGTTATTCACAGGCGACACATCAGCAGGAAAGTTCGATCATTTCCCCCACAGCATGAGCCTCTACAGAGTACATTCATCCTGTACCCCAAAATTTGGAACCTGGACTACTCCGATGGCGTGCGGTGCATGGAGGAAAATGCCACTCCACGGCCCCAAAAAGGTAGATCTGGAGGTGGAAAGGATGGGCATGATCCATTATGAAGATCCTCTGCACCCCTCTTTCAGTTTATGCGTGGCCGTCGTCAGATCCGCGGGGGCGCGGACATCACCGCGGGCTTCCCGCCACCAACTGAGGGCCACATGGAGCCGATCGGACGGACTTACGGAGTACGCATGTACTATTGGCGGGACTGAGATGGCGACGGCCCGCCTGGCAAAAGCTTTGTCCAGAATAGAAGCTGCCGGCGACCAGGAGTCCCGAGACAGATCTTCGGGATTCGTGCATCACTCTGCCTCTGATTGGTCGACGCGGCGAATGCGTGGCCGGTCGGCGCATCGGCACCCCGATGCACCGACCGCTAAACCAAAACGGATCAATGATTCGCGACGCTGCACCAATCACAGGCCACAGGTTCACATGCGGGGCGCATCTTCACCACGAGGGTGGCTCGGGGGGTCCAGGCTCCGAGTGGAGGCGCATAACTTCTGGAAATTCCACCTCCCATCGGGGTTAAGGCTGTCCGTCTCCGAGTCTGCAGAGCCTGATGGCCATGACTCGACGTTGTTTTCAACATGAAAAGGGGCCATGGCCCCTCCGACGACCAACTTCACTCGTTCACCTACTCCCACTGCCACAGCTCCTCCCGAACCGCCCTGAGTGACGGGCGTCAACCATCATGGATAAGGAAGTTGAGATGGAGTTCGCTCCGATCACGGAGCGCATCCAGACCGTGAATGAACTCGACGAGCAAGAAATTCAATCCTTGAACCGCATTGCGTCCAGCAAGCTGGGGCAGAAGCTGTCTGCCTCCACCAGTCGAAAGGAATCGCAAGATCCTCGATTGGATCCGAACAGCCCTGAATTTGACCACCATCGATGGGCTCAGACAGTTCTCAGCCAGGCCCAGGAATCGGGCATCGATATCCCCTCCCAGGGAGTGGTCTTCTCCAACCTATCGATCAGCGGCTCCGGCTCGGCCTTGCAATTCCAAGAGACGTTGGTTTCGAGCCTGACCCTGCCGTTTCGCCTGGCCACCCATGCTCTCTCGGGCCGTCGCCCCTCACCACGGCGCATTCTCCATAGCTTTGATGGCCTGCTCGAAGGGGGTGAGCTATTGCTGGTTCTAGGACGTCCCGGAAGCGGCTGCACCACGTTTCTGAAAACCATTTGTGGTCATCTCGGCGGGTTATCCATGGACCCAGATAGTTCAATCCATTTCGAAGGCATTGACTACGAACAGATGATTAAACACCACCGAGGCGCCGTGGCCTACAACAAAGAGGTGGATCTGCACTTCCCACATTTGACTGTTGGTCAAACTCTTACCTTCGCCGCCCACGCCCGTGCTCCTCATCGTCGCATTGAAGGCGTGACACGGCAAGAGTACGCAGAGACTCTGACGCAGGTCGTCATGTCGGTCTTCGGTCTTTCTCACACATACAATACCAAAGTCGGTAGTGAATTTATCCGTGGTGTTAGTGGAGGTGAGCGAAAGCGTGTCAGTATTGCGGAAATGTTTCTGTCGCGCTGTCGCATTGGAGCGTGGGACAACAGTACCCGTGGACTTGATGCCGCATCTGCATTGAAGTTTGTTCGTGCTCTTCGTTTGGCTGCTGACATGGGGGGATCATGCCACGCGATCGCCGCCTATCAAGCATCCCAGTCTATGTATGATCTGTTCGACAAGGTCGTCGTGCTTTACGAAGGCTACGAGATCTACTACGGACCTCGCGATCGAGCTGTGGCTTACTTTCAGGACATGGGATGGGCTCGACCCGAGCGTCAAGTGAGCGGTGACTTCTTAACCGCGGTCACCAACCCGACCGAACGCAAGGCCCTTCCTGGCATGGAGAACAAAGTGCCTCGGACGCCGAAGGAATTTGCCGAGGTTTGGAAGCGCAGCCCCGAATACCAGAGCCTGCGCAAACAAATTACCGATTTCGAGCAACAGCATCCTCCAAACGGGGACGATGCCAAACTGTTCCAGCAAAGCCACGAAGAGCAACAGGCTCTACACACTCGTTCGCGCAGCCCATACATTCTTTCCATCCCGATGCAAGTTCGACTTTGCACCCGACGTGCCTACCAGCGCATGCTTAATGATCTGCCTACCGCTTTATCTCCCTTAATCGTTCAACTCGTCCTGTCCTTGATCATTGGCTCCGTCTTCTACAATACCCCCGATACTGCGTCCTATTTTTTCCAGAAAGGCGGAGTATGCTATTTTGCCGTACTCATGAATGCTCTGCTTACCATCAACGAAATCATGCAACTCTACAGCCAGCGTCCTGTCGTGGAAAAACAAAAGGGTTACGCCTTTGTCCATCCTTTCACTGAAGCCTTAGCCAGTATCGTCGTCGACTTACCAATCAAGCTCTTGCGAATCTCGATCTTCGCTATTGTTTTATACTTCATGGCCAATCTTCGTCGAGAGCCAGGTCCATTTTTCATCTTTTATCTATTCCTCATCGTTGCTGTCTTGACCATGTCAGGTCTTTTCCGCAGCTTGGGAGCGTTGACCAAGTCGATTGGACAAGCGATGGCTTTGGCGGGTATTATGGTGCTATGCATTGTGGTATACACGGGCTTTACGCTTCCACAACCATATATGCACCCGTGGCTCTCCTGGATTCGATGGATCAACCCCATCTTCTACACGTTTGAGGCTTTGATTGCAAACGAGTTCCATGCTAAAAACTGGCCATGCACGGACATTATTCCTACTTATGGAACGGGCTCCTCTTTTGTGTGCTCAGCGGTGGGTGCCGTCGCCGGCGAGCGTTTCGTTTCTGGCGATGCCTTTATCGCACAGAACTATGAATACTATTATTCTCACTTGTGGCGTAACTTTGGCATCCTCATTGCGTTTATGATATTTTTCAACGCACTTTATCTGGCCGCCTCGGAGTTCATTTCTAGTGACAAGTCCAAGGCAGAGGCGCTGGTCTTCCGTCCTGGACATGCCCCGAAGTACCTTCAACCCGGCGAAGACCCTGAAGGCGGAGCTGTGGAACTGAACAAATTGGAGCTGCAAAAGACTCACGAGACCATTCGCTTGCCAGAACAGAAGGACATTTTTTCATGGAAAGCAGTCAATTACGATATTCCTGTCAAAGAAGGAACCCGGCGTCTTTTGGATAATGTCAATGGTTGGGTGAAGCCTGGAAGTTTGACTGCATTGATGGGTGTCTCTGGCGCTGGAAAAACAACCCTCCTGGATGTCCTTGCCCAGAGAGTGTCCATTGGTGTGGTGTCTGGTGATATACTGGTAAACGGCCAGCCTTTGATGCCCAACTTCCCGCGTCGCACCGGCTATGTTCAACAACAGGATCTTCATCTTGAGACTACAACTGTCCGAGAGGCTCTCCGCTTCAGTGCTATGCTCCGTCAGCCGAAGAGTGTCTCGAAGAAGGAGAAGAATGAGTACGTGGAAGAAGTGATCAAGGTCTTAGGCATGGATGACTTCGCTGAAGCAGTTGTTGGTTCTCTTGGAGAGGGATTGAACGTTGAGCAGCGCAAACTTCTAAGCATTGGCGTTGAGCTTGCGGCCAAGCCAACCTTGCTCATCTTCCTGGACGAACCGACCAGTGGACTCGATTCACAAAGCTCATGGACCATCTGCCAATTTCTCCGAAGGCTGGCGGACAATGGGCAAGCTGTATTGGCGACGATCCATCAGCCCAGTGCGACACTTTTCCAGACCTTTGATCGATTGCTTTTCTTGGCCAAAGGTGGCAAAACCGTTTACTTCGGCGACATTGGTGAGCAGTCGACCACCATGCTCAAGTACTTTGAACGCAACGGTGCGAGAAGCTGTGAAGAAATGGAGAACCCTGCTGAGTATATTTTGGACATGGTCGCTGGAGACGGCTGCCCTGGTGTGGATTGGCCTCAAGCTTGGAATTCAAGCCCGGAATATCAAGAAGTTGTTGCCGAAGTCGAACGAATTCACTCAATGCGCAAGGGCTCCACCCATGAACTGTTCATCGATGATGATAATGCTGAATTTGCCATGCCTCTTTCCTCGCAGCTGTGGGTGGTCCTCAGTCGCTGTTTCCAGGGCTATTATCGCCAGCCCGATTACATCTATGCAAAATTTATCCTTGGAATTGCGTGCGGTTTGTTTATCGGCTTTTCTTTCTGGAAGGCCGATAATACCCAGCAAGGTTTCCAAAATGTGCTCTTCAGCATTTTCCTTTTATGTACCATTTTCAACACCCTCGTGAACCAGATCATGCCCCGCTTTGTCACTCAACGCTCGCTATATGAGGTTCGGGAGCGTCCCTCGCGCATCTACTCCTGGAAGGTCTTCATCATCTCTCAGATTCTTGTTGAGGTTCCATTCCAGATCTGCCTTGGCGTCTGCTCTTGGGCTTGCTTCTACTGGTCGGTATTTGGGTCAGGGCAGGATTCAGAGCGCCGTGGTCTCATCATGCTGTACATTGTGCAGTTCTTTATCTATGCTGCCAGCATGGCGCAGTTCGTTGTGTGCGCGATTCCCGAGCCAGCATTAGCCGCCATGGTCGCAACTTTGATGTTCGGTCTGTCATTCCTTTTCAATGGTGTCATGCAACCGCCTGGTGATCTTCCTCGATTCTGGATCTTCATGTATCGTGTCTCCCCTTTCACATACTATATCAGTGGCATTGGCAGCACTGCATTGCACGGCCGAGAGGTACACTGCAATTCGGTCGAGCTGAATACCTTTGATCCCCCGGCGGGTCAGACTTGCCACGAGTACCTGGCCAAGTACCTTGAGACCGCCACGGGCTCGCTATACAACCCCAACGCCACCTCTAATTGCGAGTACTGCAGCATCTCCTCCGCAGATCAGTACCTGGCTGCTCGCGAGATCTACTGGACCGACCGGTGGCGCAACTACGGCATTTTCTGGTGTTATTTTGTTTTCAACATCTTTGGCGCCATTGTCCTGTACTATGTCTTCCGTGCGAGGACTTCGAAGACGAAGATGAGCAAGGGCAAGAAGGCCTAATCACTGCATGTTACCTTTTCTTTTTTTATGTGCATACTTTGTATTTTAGAAGCCTACCAATAATAGTGCATTGGCAATGTACTTTTCTTCCGTCCCGAATTTCCCCAAAGCTCTAGAAATACCCCGACGTTCAATATTTCTCTCGTGTGACTGCTCGGCTTCTAACCCCAATGACATCATGCGGGTTTGATCCGCCAATCCAAACACATTAAGCTGTCAAAGGGTCCACGAGCTGTGCTCTTCTACTTGCGCGATATGATTTCCGTAATTCCAAGCCAGTCAAGTCGATCTGGCGCCGGCATCAGACATCACCTTGATATCACTACCTATCGACTGCCCAGGTCCCATACCCCAGCCTGTCATCACATCCATCAGATACATGAATCCGATGGTCTTAGCAAAGCCGGAATTCTGGGATTTTCTGGGATCTCTTGGTCAGCTGGCTTCAACGAATCTTTCGATTGTTCCACGCCAGTCTCAATCCTTCGCCCGTCATGGCCGCCGTCTTGCCCAGGTAACATCACCCTTTGTTCTCACCCTACCTGAGATCTGTTTCCTGTTGAGAATGTTGAACTAATTGCCATCCAAGTCCCATTACGACGACTGGGTATGCACCGCATCCGACCAACAAGATGAAAGCCGCCCGGTGGATGGGCACTCGTGAGGTTGAAGTCGGGCTCGTCCCAAAGCCCACCATCACCGACCCGAGCGATGCCATTGTTCAAGTCACTCACTGCACGATCTGCGGCTCCGATCTGCACATGTACGAAGGCGAGTTGAACGACGCTATGCGCAAGGGCGACATCCTAGGACAAGAAGCCATTGGACTCGTTGAGGAAGTTGGGCCTAAAGTGAAGAACGTCAAGCCTGGCGACCGAGTTATTATCCTGCCGGTGATCGCATGTGGGAACTGCGACTACTGCCAGCGTCAGGAATACTCTCTGTGCGATGTCAGCAACCCTTCTCTAGAGATGGAAGCTCTGTACGGACACCGACTTTCCGGGATCTTGGGCTACAGCCGCCTCTGTGGCGGATATCCTGGCGACCAGGCCGAGTACTGCCGTGTGCCGAATGCCGACCTGACCTGCGTTAAGGCGCCACTAGATGTTGATGCACGGAAGTTGCTGGGCCTAGCGAATGTGATCACCTCAGCATGGCATGCGCTAGAGCTGGCGGAAGTTGGGTCCGGGGATATCATCGGCGTTTGGGGCTGTGGACCCGTGGGCTTGTCCGTTCAACGGTTGGCCAAGTTACGTGGGGCCAAGAAGATCTATGCCATGGACAAGGATCCGCAGCGACTCCGCCTGGCCGAGGACTTTGGCATGACTCCGGTGGACGTGACGGCGCATCCGGAAGTTGGGGAGTATCTGCTCTCCATCCAGCCGGGGGGCTAGATCGAGCCATTGAGGCGAGTGGCTTCCGAAGTACTCAGAAACAACCGCATGCAGCTATGCGCGCGATCGGCCTAGAGCGTGATAGCAGCGACACCGTCGCCGCCATAATCAAGGCGACGCGCAAAGGGGGCAATGTGGCACTGATCGGGGATTTCTTCTTTACTACCCATGATTTCCCCATCGGTGCATTGATGCAGAAGGCTTTGACCGTTCGAGGAGGTCAAGCCTGGCCCCAAAAAGTAGGTCGACTTGTTTGTTATCCTTGAACTTGACTCTGACTTTTAAATACTGTTAGTATCATCCATTCCTGCTCGACTTGGTCATCTCAGGAAAGCTGGATCCGTCCTGGATGTTCACATATGAGGACGAGTTCGAGAACATTGCCGATCATTATCAGCGGTGTGCCCAGCATGAAGTCCCCGGGGGCTTGAAAGTGTGCCTGGTCACAGCCTTTGGCCGCAGCGAGCGAATGCAACCCAGTAGCGACATGATTGTCAATCAAGATAGCAATGATGGCTGATATGACTTGATGATGGCATCTACATATGCATTCTCACTAGATGGAAAGTGTAGATAAAACTCCTCGAGGGGTCTTTTATAAACAGCTATATAGATCACCAATTGGCCGCTTCAAACTGCAGACCCCCATATTTGCTATCACTGTTAACGTGCCAAGAAACTGATGACGGGACAGATGGATTGTCTCCTCCAGATGTGTATTCTGTATGTCGGATTCCATGCTCAGCCACCGGTCTTACAAGTAGGAAAGACTGCACGTCCCGAGATGGGGACAACATGACGCCGAGACCGGAGACCGTGGACCCGTCAGCAAGCCATCAGGGTCCTAAGCATGGATTCAATTTCCGTCCGAACCATTAGAGCTGCTGACTGCATTCAATACTCACCTAATCTGGGTAGGGCTTACGTTGTTCACAGCTCGTTCAATGATTTTGGTGGAGCAGCCCGTCACCGCCCTTTCGCCGGCGACGAGGCATAAGAATGCCCCGCCTCCCTTCCCCGCCGATCCCTCATCCCCACCTTCTTTCTCCGACATCATGTTTCCCCCACCCCCGCTGCGCTGGATTGGAATGACATTGGCTTCAAAGTACGTGATGGTAAGTGCCCGTTGCCATTCTGCTGCTCATTGCGACCAAACTCATCGAGATAGTTAATGGCCATGTTGAATGCCACTACTCTGCCTCCGGAAACGGGCAGTGGTCCGCTCCGCGATTTGTGACCTCGCCCTTCCTGTCTATTCACGGCATGGCCCCCGGCCTGAACTATGGACAACAGGTATACGAAGGGCTCAAAGCATTCCGACACGCCGAGAATCGCAAGATTACGATCTTTCGTCCTGACCGCAATGCGAAGCGCATGCAGAACTCTGCCGAGGTGGTGTCCGTCCCTCCGGTGCCAGAGTCGTTGTTTCTGGAGTGTGTGCGGTTGGCGGTGGGTGCCAATGCTGAGTTTGTGCCTCCATTCGAATCCGGAGCTGCTATGTACGTACGGCCGTTGCTGTTTGGGTCATCAGCGCAGCTGGGACTGAGTCCCCCGGATGGGTACACCTTGGCAGTCTTTGTCATGCCGACGGGAGTGTATCACGGTGCGAGCGCGGTCGATGCCCTGATTCTCGAGGACTTTGATCGAGCAGCACCCCATGGCACGGGCAATGCCAAGGTCGGTGGGAACTATGCCCCTGTACTACGCCATAGCGATCGAGCGCGTCGGGAAGGCTTTGGAATTACTTTACATCTTGACAGTGCCACTCGAAGCGAGATTGACGAGTTCTCGACCTCCGCCTTCATCGGAGTCAAGCGCGAGAGGGAGGAAACCCTCATTGTGCTACCAGACAGCAAAAATGCCATTGATTCAGTAACGGCTGCATCGGTGGGCGATATTGCCCGCATGTTAGGATATCGAGTGGAAAAGCGGCGAGTCGCATACGAGGAACTACGGCAGTTCGATGAAGTCATTGCTGCTGGCACTGCAGCTGCCCTTGTACCGGTTCGAAGCATCACAATGCGCTCCAAGAATGATAAATTTGAGTATCGCTGTGGTGATCAAGCCCAAGGGGGCGACGTCTGCGTGAAGCTGCTACAGATATTACGGGGCATCCAGGGGGGCTCCATGGAAGATACACAGGGGTGGAACTACGAAGTCACGGCCCCCTCAAAGGAATGGCTAGAGGAGGCCAATGTCGAGAATCTGGATACTCAGGGTATCTCTGTCCCTTAATATATGAGCCGCAGTTAGTTGCTCAGACAAACGAGTATAGAGACTCATACCTTGAATGTGGAACCATCCAATTTGTGTAATCTTTTCTCTGAACTGGTGGTAACTGTGTGAAATTGGTTATGGTAAAAATGATGTTTTTGGGAAAGATGTATGAGCCAAGCTAGATGAAATAACCAAGCGGTTACGGGGTAACAGCTTGGAGGAATTAGGAATAATTCATAGATGAAGCAAAGCACCGAATCCATAAAAATAGAACTAGCCACCAGAGGGATGTCCCAACAGAAACTGAGAGCCAAAGATGGCGCCCATTTCGTGATGCGCTGGGATTACTGAATGGCTTTCTACCTCCCTGGCATTTTCAAAGTCAAGCAAAGTCACCACCCCACTTTCCCTGCTATAGAGAATATTGTGCATCCCCGCATCATCAAGACGCACGGTCACTTGTCGCAAAGCATGAATTCCATCAAGGCATTCGGACTGAATATGGGCTTGTTCGACCTCGGATAGAGTATGCCATAGTCGGTTAAGTTGCACCCCGTCTCTATGCTCTAACACGAGGGCAAATCCCGATGGGAAGATGCTCGAGCAAACAATCTCTCCCCGTAAAATCCACTTAGTGAAGTTATGAAGACCAGCCGGCCGCTGAGTCCAGATACGGTCATAAACCTCGGCCTCGGTATCAAACCTAAGCGCAACTGGTTAGCAAGTCCAGTAGCAAGCCATAAAACTAGTCTAACTCACAGCTCGTCTTGTTTCAGCCGCCAACACTTTAGAATCACCGGCGTGCCATCTATTGTGGCTAGCCATGTAGCCTTGGAATTGACTCTTGGGTCCGACAACTGACGAACGCAATTGATTACTGTATGGGGAGATCCACCAGTGCTTACGATAATACTATCCGATGTGACAGAGTCTAATCCGCTCGTCGATGATTGAGGCGGGCCATCGGGATTTCTGAGTAGACGAGCGGAGGCGCGGCGAGGAGACGGGCCTCGTAACTTCTCAAAGATTCAGTAGCTACACCACATCTCTCGTAGTTATTTGAATCAATACTTACATCTCTTGGCTGAAATGACGGATCTTCAAAGTACTTTGGCTCCGACAAGGCCATGAGACAGAAACCAGCAAACAACTGGCGAAGAGAAGGCTGCATCGCGTGGTGCTTGATGGGCGGCGAAAGAAGAAAAGAATAGTCCGCTGCTCGTTTGACAAAGATTGTTGAGGAGTAGGTGGATAAAAATCCAAAGCAAAGCGAACACTTGCGCATTTGAGCAACAAGCTGTCCTTAACCAAGGTTTCAGAGTCAGTGAAGTGTGATGAAAATAAGAGGCTATGATTGAGGCAAACCTATCAGTGGCTCGAGATGATAGGATGTATTAGGTCGATTTAGATGAAGATATGCATCGGGGATGGTCCATGGTGTTTGTAATTCTCCCACCAAATGCACATTGTCAGGTGTTGGGTCAACTGCAATGAGCCCCAGACATACATCTGGAACCACGTCTTCTGGAGTAGAGATTGCTTGGAAATCGGCGAATCGGATCGAAGCCATCCCCTGTAATGGTTCAAGGGCCCTCATCACCGGGTCGCAAAGATTTCGGACGAACCTGCCGGATACACCAAGTTCATTTCCGACCGTGTACAGCTCAGTTTCATCATGAAACGGGACTTCATGGGTGATTTCAGCTTCTTGGAAAGCTTCGAAAGCTTCTCTTGTGAATGAATGCCATTCAGACATAAAGGTGAGGGCAAGGCGGTCAGAGCTTATCGATGGATTTGAAGTCCCAGCGTTCCGGCGCAGAGGTGGAACAGCTCGGGCTAGCTGGGTCTGAGCTAGCTCCATATGTTGGATAATGATACTATCGATCGTCAACCGGAACGAAGAAATAAGTGGTGGGAAAGTTGGGCAAAGTAGTGTGATGATGATGAAGATGATGTGTAGCTCTTGCTCGCGGCAGGCTGTTCCCGATTCGGCGGCGCACCAATGTTTTGCTAAGCCTAAATGGGAACGTGACCAGTTCCTGCTTGTGGGGAGATCAGATCAGAAGGAATTGGACTCGGTCAGATCATCGGCGCTAGGACCAACTGGTAAGTCCGACTATCAACGGGATGTCACATGACAGCCGTCATTGCTTGTTCGCAGCTGAGAAGAAATTATGTCAATAGCTGGCGACCTAATTTCTCCGTGCTCCAGTTTCTGTTCATGCCATTTGAGCTGCCCTGTGATCGTCCACGGCAAGTTTCCTATTGGATCTGTCCGCATCACGATAGTCATCGACACTATTGTTGAATTTTCAGTCTACAGAGCCTCGTGATCTGCATACTTTGTCAAAATACGGCTGGACTGTTGGTGCAAGCGATGGTGTTGTGTGTAAAGATGATCTTCTATTCCCTCAGAAGGAGGTCATGATAAGCTAATGCTATTACATAATCGGAGACGGTGGTAACATCTGCCTCCTCAGGGGAAGCCAGCGTCTCGCTGGGGAATAGGATTGGGTAGCAATTTGTGAATAGCTAAAGGGAGAACAGGATCAGCGCATGGGTAACATGAAAAGAAGGAAACAGGATTTGGTCAAAGCAAATGCAGCTCCCTGCAGTAGTTCTCGAACTCTTCTGGAGTCAGGTCCTGGAGGTCATCGGCATCGCCAGCACCATCGGTCGTGAGCGAACTTGCCACGACGGTGGGAATCCCAGTTGGCGGTGCTGAAGCGGCTGTTTCGGGGACAGTCTTAGGAGCGGGAGTCGTTGTGGATATGGCTGTTTCAGGAGTAGAATCTGTGTTGGGCTTAGCTATCTCAGGGACTGGCGTTGCATCGGGCAATAGGGTTGACATTGCGTCGAACATCTCCGACGTCGTGCCAGTTAGAGTCAGACCCTTTCCCTCCTGATCTTTGGCCTCTGCTGCGAGGGCTTGCGCGAGCCGCTCCTGGGCTGCGAGCCTTTCCCGAGCTCGTCTATCATTTTCCTTCGTTGCCTGTTCGAAAGCTATCTCTCGTCGCCGGGCCTCCTCTGCTGCTAATTTTTCTTCCTCGGTAGGCAGCAGGGTTTTAATTTGGTTTCGAGCGTTCGCTGCTCGTTTAAGAAGCTGTGCAAGCCTGAAAGCTTCCTTGCGGCGTAGTGTCATATTTGACTCCTCGTCTGCGAGCTCTTTCAAGGTAGCCGTTTGTATAGCAGCGATAGACTCAAGCTTAGAAAGTCGTTCTGGTAGCTGCAGGATCTGCTTGATTTCAGGTCTGCGGAGTTGTAAGGTAGCCATAAGAAGCTCAGCTTGGTATTCTGCGGCTTCAGCTAGAGCTTCTTCAAATCTATCGTACTGGGGCAGGAATTCTCGCAAGGTTGCAGTCTTTTCAGCAGCTGCTTTATCCGTGGCTTCGGGGTCGGAGCGTAGCTCATCGATATCCTTCAGCAATGGCAAAAGGGTGTCAGGGGGTTGTAGGTCAACACCGAAACCGGGCAGCTGTGGTGCCTGTGGCGCCGGAGCATGCGGCGTTGAAGTCCGTGGTGCTGGGCATGGTGTCCCTTCTCCGCTCAACGTAGCTTCTTGGGGGTCATCATCATCGTCCGGGCTTATTGGTGCCGAAGCCTTAGCAGATAGCTCATCGGGGGTGAGAACCCACGTTTCAGTAGTGTTAAAGTAGCTATCAGGGTATTTCATGCTCATCCTGTAGAGCTTGCTGAAAGGGGTTTTTAGCAAATGCGCCTTTCTTGATCATAGATGCGTCCTTATGTTCTGAACATCTTGGTGAGTAGCCGTGCATTTGCCATACAGGAGCGAAACAAGATCCTGAGGGATAGACGAAAATTCCTTCCATGCCGGTATGTTCTTTTCCATCGGCAACGGATGCCCGCATCTTATCGCTAGCTATCGCAGCTAGCCAGGGGTCGTAGCTCGAATGGTCAGGGTTCCAAGTATGGAGCTGTCTAGGGGGTAGGCGTAGTTGTTCATGTTCGCGGATAAGTATTCTGCTAGGCCAAACTGCTCCGTAAACGAAGTAGGTTGGCGGTGCAGTCTTTGCGCCAACATATCCATCGCTCTTGTCATGGAACAAATAGCCGAGCACCCGGGCGACTGTCCTACCGCACAAAATGTAGTAGCTGCGATAGACAGGGAACGAAAACAAACCGTGGGCCATTTTCAGGGGCGCAGGGTCGACGGGGATACGATCAGCTGATATGTCGCCCTGTGTGTTGAAGTCGAGTGGCCATTTCTGGCCCCGCTCGCGATTTGTGGTCAGACCACAAACGATTTCTACCCATTCGTCTGTCAGAGCGACGTAAGCTGGGGGCATGTTTGTAAGCCGAGTACCCTCGAAAGTTGGCTTTTCCCCGTAGACTGGGAAACCATCAGTCAGGTCTTTCTTCCCGGACTTGTTTAGCCCCTTAATGTCCAAGGAGCTAAGGACAGTCTCAGGCGTCCACATCGGCCTGTCGGGGGCGTCCTGGGCAGCTCTGCGGGAAACCCAGAGCTTCCTTTCGCCATCGCTAAAGTCGCTATCGCGACGTCTGATCATTCCGTAACGAACTTGGTCCCGATCTTTGCCCGGAGGCTTCTTCGGTGAGGGGGAGTAGCTAGAGCTCGAGAAGGTGAGGAAACTTGGCGGGTCGTCTGCTTTCCTTTTCGGCATTTTGAAGGTATAGAGTAATGAAACACGATATTTGAAGTGAGAGGGTAACGAAAGGGAGGGATGACGATAGTAACAAAAAGCTGGCCGGCCACGCAGAGGTGGTAGCAGGTGAAAGCAGAGGTGGTGATAGGTGAGAGATAATGATGAGGGTGAGAGATGGTGAAAGTAAGGGATGAGGATGAAGGTGAAACGCAGGAGCTTGTCACTAGGGTAAAAAGGTTGAGATAATGAGAGCAATGGGAGGTGAGGTTGAAAGGCTGAAATATGAGACGGGAGACATCAAAAGTGAGGGTACCACTGAGAGTTGAAGAGAGGTAGGATGAAAGATAAAATGTGGCAGGATCAGATACAGGATTAGCATGAGAAATGATTATAGGCAAAACGACTACTGGGAATCCTCAAATTCCTGTATTAAATCTTCCGCGCCAACAGCTTCATCCGCTGTGATCCAGCAGTCTTCTTTGGCGGATTGCCCAGCCCAGCGCACCAGATAGTACGTGCGATATGTGACCGTTCCATCCCGACGTGGTCGCCCAGGTGCCTTGCGGATCTGTTTCGCTAGGATCCGGTCGACGTCGTATCTCGTTTCATCCGGGAAGCGGGCGTCGAACGTAGGTTCATGGGTGTCGGCGGGTCGGCGAGCCCAGGGGTCTTCTCCCTGTGGTGCGGCTTCAAGGTGTGCCACGCTGATCACAGGATGGATTCCCCAATGCAGGGGCAAATTGAGGCGGTACGCTAGCTTTCCGACGCGCTCTCTAATTTGGAAGCGGCCGACATACCGTTGGGCAAGCTTTCTTGGGATATTCTGGCGGTTCGCTACTATATCGTAACCAGCGCCGAGTTTGATATAGACCCAGTCTCCGACACGGAAATGTATAGCCTTATGATGTGTATCATAGTACAGCTTCATCTTCATAGCGGCGAAAGCTAAAGAATGCTCAGCATCTAGCTTAGCTGCGAGGGCGTTATCGCGTCCATCGGTAGCTTGGCGAGCTAGAGTCCAAGGCTGGCGAAGCTCCATCCCGTATAGAAGCATGTGAGGGGAGTAGCCAGTGCTACGCTTCCGAGAAGAGTTTAAAGCCATCTGCAGGGCTGGGAGCATGTCGGGCCATTCCGCAATCCGTTCAGGATGCATAGCCACCCAATGCCGAGCGGCGGCCTCGACAGTTTGATTTGTTCTTTCCGATTGGCCGTCGGTCTGGGGGTGATAAGCTGTAGAGAAATACAGGGTTGTCTTAACCTTGGTCCAGAATCCTTTCCATAGCCCTCGAACAAATTTTGGGTCACGGTCGGAGATAATAACCGTAGGTAGGCCCCAGTTGGATGTCCAGAGGGTCATCAGGAGGGCATCCGCCCACTGCTCAGCTGTCCAGGTTTCTCTGCCTGGGATTAGGCTGATTAGTTTTGTAAACTTATCAGTAGCTGTCATTAGACAGTTATAGGAATGGTCCCGGGATTCTGGCATGCCGACAATAAAATCAATTGTGATTGTGTGAAAAGGGATTGGGGGATTTCGGATAGGCTGCAAAGCTCCGTATGGGGGATGCCGGGGCATAGCATTATTACGACACTCCGGACAGTGGCTGATGTACTCTTTGAGTAGCTTAGCTCCTCTATAGAAGAGCAGTCCTGAATCAAGAAGTTTCTGCCATCCGGCATCGAAACCTTGGTGGAACTGTTCATCATGGACCAGGGTGAAAATTTCTTGGGTCATGGAACGGGGCAGGCAGACAGCTTTAGTTCTGTCATAGCGGGTAAAATAAATGATCCCGTCATTGACAGTGTAGGGAAGCACAGCCCGGACGGGGTCTCCACTGTCCTGTTCATGGTTCAGCTGTTCGAGGATCGATGACCAGCGTGAGTCAGTAGCATAGGCTTCTCGTAGCCTAGCTTTGAATTCATCGCTAAGGAGGGTCTCAGATGCGAACGGTGAATCCGTGGCTGGACGCGCCAGTTCCAGGTTTTCGATATCGGCGTCATGCAGCTCAGCATCGGCATTATACGGTTCAATATCGGCGTCATGCTGGTCGACTGGAGACGGTGTCCTTGAGGGGCCATGATACCATCTTGAGGGTCCAGCTTCTGACTCGGGCTCGGCAGGGAAAGCACACGGCGCTTCCAGCTTGTCAAGGTCATCATCCTGACGGGGCTGTCCGGGATCTCGTGATGGTAGTCGGGAAAGTGCGTCGGCTACTCTGTTCGATACCCCTGGGCGATGATGAAGCAGTAATCGAAATTGCTGGATGAATTGCGAGGCGCGGATCAGGCGTAGGTTAAGTTTTTCCACTGCAGTTGAGTTCAGCTTTGTAGCTCTTCCGATAGCCGCGGTGCCAGCATTATCAGTATAGATGATTGGCGGCAAATCGATAGGGGCTGCTTCAATTAAGTGCCGAGTCTTTTTCAGTACCCACACTAGACAGGCGACCTCCAGTTCCGTTGGCCAGTAGCGGGTTTCGGCCTGGCTAAGGAGCCTACTCAAGAAGAGTACCGGCTGCTTCTTAGTGACAGCTGGCGGTTTTGCGTATTCAGTATGTTCATAAGCCGGATCCAAGTGATACACCATAGCACCGAAACCAGCGCCTTCTTCTTTAGAAGCGTCTAGGTCGATATATAGCTGACGGTCGCGAGAAAAATGAACTAACCACTTAGGATTTTTGAATTCATCCTGGAGTGTTTTGAAAGATTGAATCTCAGCGTCGGTCGGCTGTGCTAGCGTAGCTTGTCGGCTCCATTGCTTGCGCTCGCCGCCTTTAGTGGGGGATCCTCTCAGGAGGGCTGTCTTGCGAAGCTGGAGAGGTCCAGACTTTTGTGCGTACGACTGGATGTAGTGACGGAACTCCCCAGTCATGCCAAGGTAAGTCTCAAGCTGTTTGCAAGTGCGAGGAAACTCTAGCGAGGTGATAGCGTGGAGTTTCTCAGGCTTAGAAGTTAAACCAAGGCGGTCGACATTGCGGCCAAGCATCGGCAGTGACGGGAAGCCGATATATGCTTTTGGGGGTCGAGGGTGATTCCGACTCTGTCAAATAAGCTGAAAAGCTGGTGCAAATGTGCTATATGGTCCTCTAGGGTGTCATCCGCGGCGAAGGTATCGTCAACATAAGCTCGGCACCAAGCGCGAAATTCTCTCAGCAGGTTATCCATCTGGCGCTGGACGTAGGCGACTGAGTTTTTATTGCCCATAGTGACAACATGAAGTAGCTCCTGGCCTCTGTGGCTTACCACCGCTTGATATGGTATATCATCCGGGTGGACGCGCCATTGGTAGAAAAACTTAGCTGCGTCCACAGCGGTAATAAAGCGCTTATCCTTGGTAAGCTGTATCACGTCTTCCTGTAGGGGAAGCGGATAAAGGTCAGCTTCCAGGATATCATTGATGTCTCGGCAATCGATAACGGGTCTGCCGACTCGGCTTTGCACTCCATTTCTAGTGACATATTTCCAAACGACAAAAACCGGCAGGGCGCTAGGTGTGTGTCGGTCCGTCCATGACATCTTGCCTTGGTCATGCAGCTGGTCAAAGACTTTATCGATACAGGCCTGGGCATCAGGTCCCTGTTTATATGTTCTCGTGCGCGGGAATAACTTTCCCGGGATGACTTTGATTCGCATCCATTGCTCAGGAGGAACATCCACAAACTCAGGGTCTTTCCAGATACGCGGATAAGCTTCGACTACCTCACGAAGCTTGGCAGTGGTTTCTTTGTCCCCATATATAGTGATACCGTTCGGCAGAGTCACTTGCTTTGTCTCATTATTCGGCCGAATAATTTGCGCGACTGCCGCGGCTGTGAGCTTATTGGAAGGATCATCGGAGGATGTCGACGATGTCGAGGCCGGTAGTAGAGGAGGCTTCATACAGAATGCGGCTGCTTCTGGTTGCACAAGATAGGCGGAGGTGTAGTCTGCTTCAGATAGCATGCCGATTCTAGCTTTGCGCTGGATTGTCTGTGGCTTATCTGACAAATTCCGCACAGGGATCAGGCAGAAGTTTGCGTCGACTAGCTGTGTGGGCGAGTCATACTTGCTTTCAGGGTCGAAAACAAAATTCCTTTCTGGCAGCTTTGATTTGACGAACACCGGAAGTCGGACAGCTTGGCCGGGCTGTATAACAGTTTTCTCGGAGGCATACACTGGTCTTGGCCGGCTATGATGGTCGGGTTTAGCATAAATGCCTATCGGGAATGAGATACCGTCGCAGCTGTCGATACACACGAAGCGGGAGGCAAAATCAATAGCAAATCCTTCCGGTCCGAGAACATCTATGCCGATAAGAAGCTGGGCTTTCAGGTTGTCAACCAGATGCGCTTCGATAGGCACCTTAGCGATTGCTTGTTCTGCCGTAGACGGGCGGTTTCCAGCGAAATAAAGGTCGATCTGGATATACGCGTTTGAAACATGTTGCGAGCCTATACCTGAGACTGGGATTGGGGATATCCGACGGACAGTCGTATCGAGCTTCCTAGCAAGCTCAGAATCGATCAAGGTCATAACGCATCCGGTGTCTAGACAGCAGGTAACAAGCTTATCGATGGAACCCAGCCCGACGGCCACCGTTGCGTATCGCCACGAACGGAAGGCATAGCCGGGGATATGATTTGGCCTGCGATTAGAATCGACTATAGCGATTCCAGGATAGTCAACGAAATTAGCTACCGCTACTCGTTCAAGGGTTGCCGCAGCTACAGGCTGGCAGTCAGGGAGGTGCTTATGCAGCTCGTTGCCTGATTCAAAGGCATCCAGACAGTTGAGACAGGTCACGGTGAATTCTGGAGTGCATGCTTGCGCAACCGTGGTTTCGTCAGCTTCAGGTTGCCTGCTAGCGGGCAGAGGGGGAGGAGGTAAGCTGGAGAAACTAGCAGCATCATGGTCTGCGTAGTAGGCATCAGTATCATCGGTATACGCGCTATCAGCATGCGCGCCAGCATCTAGCTCGTCATCTAGCTCGTCATAGAAATCTTCCTCCTCGGTCGCTCCGTGATAAGCCTCAGAATCGTCCCCGACGTAACTATACTCCTCATCATATGATACATCAGCTTGGTAGGCCCGAGCTGCCGGCCGCTGCCTATATTGAGAGTAGGCGCCGCGACTAGACGGGTAGCGGGGCTGATAAGCTTGATTTGCATGCTGAGGGTAGAAGGGTCGGTCGGCGATCAGCCGTTGCCCGGGGTTGACGGGAGGGCGCGAGGAAACGCTTGAAGATGGAGCAATCCCACGATCTTGATTAGCTGGTCGCTGAGGGAGATAGGACGGCTGGGATGATTGCGGGAAGCGGTATTGGTTTTGCTGGTAAGAATTCTGCTGGAACTGAGGGAATGGACGGTAAGGGCGCTGGAAGGGCGGCTGCCGAGGAGGGGGCGAAAATTGCGGTCGAGGCCTGAATGGTAGGCGGGATAGCTGATTTTCACGACGGTCCGGCTGTTCACGGCGGTCCTGATAGCTGTTAGAACGGCTTTGGGTAGCTTGGGTACGCTGGAAACGAGCGGCTGGTCTCTCATGGGACCGCTCGGTAGAAATGCGCTCACGTCTAGCTGCTTGGGCTTTCCAGTCGCGATAATGGGTATCAATTGCGCTCATAAACTCAGCTATAGTTGTGTCCTTTGTCGGCACCTGAAGGTCACGGCGGAGGGAGGGCTCGATATTCTCGCGAATCTTTAGTAGCTGGTCAAAAGGATCGCTGTATCCTGTGTCCTTGAGGAGGCGGAGCATATTCTGGGCATAATCTCTCGGGGTCCTGCCCGATCGAACATCTCTCCAGTCGTATTTTTCTTTCTCGAGAGCTGCCAACGCATCGGTGCGGTCTGGCTTGAAGCGCTCAAGGAGGGAGGCAAACCATCCGCTAGCAATCGGACAGCTTTGCATCATTTCCTTCTCCCTTGTACTAAGCTCATGGGTATACCATCGGATAGCGTCTCCGCGAAGGCAAGAGTGGATATTTGTCCGAACCACCTCTTCCGACTTGAGATTTACCAAATCCTTCATTCGGTCAATAAAAACATAGACATCGGAAAAGTAGGTCGTGGTTCCGGAGGTCAGAATGCCATCCTTATTCTTCATTCCAGGATCGAAAAAACCAATGTCTGCGGCTTTCCATGTCGTGTCGGATTGAGCTAGTTGTCCTGGCTCTCCTTGGCGGCCCTGCTCACCGGGGGGTCCGCGAAGCTGGCTGCGGAAGGAAGGGTCATTCAGTGTAGTCTGCAGAGCTGTATGAATTCCTTCTGCAATCAATCGGCGGATATCTTCAGCGCCGAGGGGCTGCTGACCAGTATTGTCACCCATAGCTGGAACAGCTGGTATAGCTTGTTCTTGCCGGGGCGGCGGGGAAAAAGTTTGGTGAAGATATTGCCGTTCTTCTACCGAACCGGTAGGGCGAAAAAGCTGTCGGGGCGCGCTCACGCTTTGATGGATATCACGGAATTGTTGAGTACGCTGCACCACTGGAGCTTCTTGGGATGTTGTAGGAGCTGTAGGAGTAGGAGTTGTAGGACGTGGGGAAGGGTCTGCGGGGGCAAGATCGGCGGCTGTCGCGGCCCGATTCCGGCGACGAGGACGTCCCAGCGGGCGTTCCGGGTCGTTGACAGCTATTGGGGGAAGGTATCCTTCCAGGGAGGAAGCTGTCTTGGAAAGAAACTCGGACACTGCTCTGTTGAGAGAGGGTCTGTCGATAAGCCAATCCGGGGGAAATGTCCGGCAGAAAGCCGAGGCGGTAAAGGATACCGGGCGGTCAGCCAGCTAATGCGGGCACGTGCGTCTGAATCGAAGTCAGCTGACCAGGCGGGCAGCAGGTAGTCACGAGAATCCAGGAAGTGCTGAAACTGGTAGGCGAGCTCGATTGCACGCGCCAAACCTGCCATCCAGCGAGGGTAGGAAGCTTTCGGATCGTTCAGACTAGTGGATGTGAAGCTGTATCGATGGAATCTCGATGGAATCTTGATTCAGCTTGATTCAGCTCGATGAAAAAGGTGATTGGTGGGTGGAAGGGCGGGCGGAACCCAGTGGGGTCGGGCACAGCTTTTCCCAGCCGAATGAGATGAAAGGAAAAACGCCTCGGATGAAATGGCGTGGGTAATTGATGCAACGCAGAAAGGGATTCGAAAATGATTCCCAGAGATGAGCTCTCTGGACGTAAAAACTTGGGTTTGCTACCAATTGGTGCAAGCGATGGTGTTGTGTGTAAAGATGATCTTCTATTCCCTCAGAAGGAGGTCATGATAAGCTAATGCTATTACATAATCGGAGACGGTGGTAACAACTGTTTACGTTATCATTGATAGTAACAAGAAGCTGGGTTTATGGGAGATGTAAAGATGATGTTTTATTCTTATGAGGGAATTAATGATAAGCTAACGGTGACGATGCCGTCACGTGGTAACAAAGCAGTAGCAGAAATCTCTGTTTTGGCGGTTGCCTACTTATGGCTGGTTCTTGATCGCCATCAAGTATATGTGTGTAGTGCAGCTTTGAAAATGTCGTCCTCTCAGCTTAGAACTGCAATTTGGTATAGCGTCCGTAGGCCTTGACCCTCCCTGCTGAAGTTTCCTGGGAGAAATTGCATTGTGGTACACTGCCCAAACTAGCCGCCACTCTTTGCTTGGATCGGCTAGAATGTTCGTTTTGACTAATTTTCAGTGACCCGAAAACGTCAGCTTCCTCGAAGTTTGGAGCATCCTGTTAGGTAGTCCATTACATAAGTGCGAATCCACGTGATTCGCACTTCGATATCTTCGGGGCCTAAACCCCAAGACTTAGGAAGAATCCAAGACTTTACGTACCAATCACGCTTCACATCCGGTGTGACGGATTTTCCTGCTTACTCAGAAATTATGGTGTTTTACAATTACGGGACAGGTTGACATGTGACCTGGGCGCTTTTGTATTTACTGGCTGTCAGCCAGTCAGATTGATTTCCGCATCATCATCTATCCAGACTGCAATATCACCATTTGATTCGTTCTCCGAATACCATGACCCACTGAGCGGAATCTGTATTCTGCTGTAGGTATTGCAAGCTGACAGTACCTCTTGTCAATATAGTAGGATACGGTATCGGCTAGGAAAGCTAGGATCCAATGGAACGAGATGCTCAATATAGTGATGTATTGGGTGACTGAACTATCTAAGTGTATGGGCGGGGGAATGTTGAATATCCCTACCTTGCTGTCTAGCGTGTTACGGCGCTGGGTTCCGAGTATACCCGGGATACCATACAAAACACGTAGCAAATCGAGTATCCCTGTAATATCCTGACGCGCGTGGAGATATGTGGGTCTCGCCCGTATTATGCAGTCTTCCTTCTCGACAGAGTATTCTAACAAAGGAGCAGGAAGGGGCCCTCGCCTAACCCTGTTAACGAATACGCTACTTACTGATCGGATGGTTAGCGCGCTACAGGAAACAGCCCCACACGTGACCCGACTCATCGGGCGATGAGCCCGGAAGATATCAAGCGATGAGTTCCGCACTCGTCACTTGATGAGAAGAGCTGGATATATAAACACGGTCACTACCATACATGTATTTAGTTCTTCGCGTTCAATTCACAGATTGTTACTTGAGCTTATAGTTACTCAATCAAGACTGCCATCAATCTTACCCAGTTCAATATAAAGACACACCCACAACTAGGAGGAACACTTAGTAGTTATCCTTAACTACTTTGTCGACTGACTAGGCGCTACTCGACTGTTGACGTCTTGGACCCGGAGTAGGGTCCTCGGAGCAAGAACGGTGCCCAGTAGGCCAGAGTCGGCCTTTTCGGCACATATCGTGATAGTCCGTTATAACAATCTCGACATAACTATCACGAAGAGGTACCCATAGGTACGCACCTATTTTACGCTGACCAGTTAGTAGTACATGACAAAGATCATGCGATGGAAGATACTGCTTCTAGGGCGCTTGCTCTAGTAGTGAGCCCTCGGGAAGTCTTCGGGGAAGCTGAAAACAACGGTTATCTCTCCCACTTCCATGACGACAACGAGGAAGATGCTCCTATCCAGGCCACAGCGCTTGTTCGAAGCCTAGAGCGTGCTCAATCCCAACGACTTGAACTTGAAGAAGAGGCACGACAACGGGAGAGCCATGATATCGAATCATTCAACCACTCTCTATTTGTCGACATGTCAACAAGCCCCCTTGGCTCTCCGGACCAGCTCTCCCTAGACCATGAAGGAGATATCTTCCATGACGCATCATCGGACAGCGACCCTGATTACAACGATCCATGAATCAAAAGCCCTTTGAAATCATCCAATACAACGCATATAAATAGTGGGAGGTGATGGCTACCTTCCTTCGTGAGAAAGGTGTTCGGGAAGCAAGCGTGGTTGCTATACAGGAACCCTGGACTAACGAACCCCTTGATACTACTAACCACCCAGCAACAGCCTTTCATCAACTACTATGGCCAAGATTCAAAGATTCCTTAGGCGAAAGGAAGCGGACTCGGGTCTGCATGTTCGTGTCAAAGACTATTGATCCTGCTACTTGGTCTCACACTGTCGTGAGCGGTGACTACCATATCTTGAAGATCCGACGCGCCCAGCAAGGCAAAGAATGGTCTGATCTCTTCATTCACAACATCTACAATCAACCTGAAGCCCAAGACAAGGAAATCAATATTCAATGCCTTCGGGAACAGGTCTCTAAGCGCCCTCTTGCCGAGCATGTGGTGATAGGAGACTTTAATCTTCATCATGAACTTTGGGGAGGCCCTAATCTTAGGCAGCCAGTTGAACAGGAAGCTAGGCAGCTTGTTGACATACTTAGTGATTTATCACTAGAGTATATCGGCGAGCCTAGACAACCAACATGGCAGACAGTGGACAGAGAAAGCACTATCGACCTCACATTCATCTCTGACAGCCTTATTGACCGCCTAGTGAGCTGTTCCATCGCGCATAACGTCGACAGCCAGTCTGATCATCTTCCAATTCGCACTATCCTTGATATAACAACTCCTCCGCCTGCTATCCAAGCACGCCGGCGAAATTGGGAAGCAACCGATGACAAGAAGCTTGTCGAACATATCGAACAGCATCTTCCCCAGCTGCCATCCTCCTTCTCGACCTCCTCATCTTCCTCCACACCTTCATCTTCATCTTCCTCCTCCTTCTCTTCCTCCTCCTCACACTCCCGGCCATCCAAGACAGCTATTGAACTAGCCTGTCGAAAGCTGATTCGAGTCGTCAACGCAGCTGTGGAAGCATCAACGCCATGGGCAAAACCTTCCACCTTTTCTAATCCTGGTTTTGACAAAGAATGCCGCGCGGCTATCAAAGAAACACGCAAGTTGCGTCGTCTCTACACACGCACGCATGATCCCTACCACTGGATGCTCTATACTAAAGCACGCAATGCTAAATCCCGCCTTATCAAGAAGTCATCGAGCAAGGTCCTAGGGGCCTATGGCAACTATCCAGGTGGGCAAGGAACCGCAAAGGCGCGTATGAACGCGGCCTTACTCCTTTTTGAAGATAGGGACTATGGGATTAAGCGAGAACCAAGAACATCGGCTTGCCGAAACAGTCGATGCAAAAGCGGAAGCTTTCAGACAAGCGTTCTTCCCAACACCACCTCCTGCAGACCTATCAGACATCAACGACGAATATATATATCCGGAACAGATCCCTATGCCTCAGATCAAGCCTCATGAGGTCTCTGAGGCCTTCCTCCGTGCCCCTGCTAGGCGTGCGCCTGGCGATGACTGTATTCCGAATGGCCTATGGCACAAAATCATCAAGATCCTAGCAGCCCTTGCATATATCACAGCGCTGTTCAATGCCTGTGTCACAACGGGCTACAATCCATCCCATTTCCAACGTTCCATCACTGTCGTGCTACGCAAGGCTGGTGATAGAGACTACCAGCTAGCTAAGTCATATCGCCCTGTTGCACTGCTAAACACGCTTGCTAGCCCTCGAATCTACTATGGCTAGGAGGATTTCCTATCTTGTGGAAACAAAAAATCTCCTGCCTACCGGCCACCTTGGTGGTAGGAAAGGGATCTCTATTGATCATGCAATTCATATCATCCTTGATCGCATTAGAACAGCGTGGGGAAAGACTACCGAGCAAGTTGTGTCTATGCTATTTCTCGACGTGTCAGGCGCCTATGACAACGTTGCCCATCAACGCTTGCTTCATAACCTACGCAAACGTCGTCTTGGATGGTTCGTGCCATGGGTGAAGGCCTTCTTAACTAACCGGTCAACAATCATTCGAATGCCGGAGGGCGCTTCTCAATCAATTCCAACACCTACTGGCATCCCCCAAGGCTCACCGATACCTCCAATTCTCTATTTGATCTACAATGCTGATCTTATTGAATTATGCAACGATATAGATAATAACGGCCTAAGCAAGACTTCCGGCCACGGCTGGGTCGACGATGTTGGCATTATGGTAGTGGGCCGCAGCGAAGCACACACTATTCAGAAGCTTCAGCAGATTCATACGCTCGCGGAGCAGTAGGCTTCTCGCCATGCATCAGTCTTTGGCATCAAGAAATATGCATTGATTCACTTTGCCAAATGCCGTCCTAAGTATACTCCACTACAACTTGGGAACGTGGTTATACAGCCAGCCTCTACGCTTTCAGCGGAACGCTATCTCGGCTTCTGGCTAGATGAAAAACTATCTTTCAAAACACATAGAGAAAAGATGCTTACCAAGGCAACCACCAGCCTACAAGCCCTTAAATCACTATCAGGTTCCACATGGGGAGCTTCCCTGCTCACCATGCGAAGACTTTACTAAGCTATTATCATCCCACAAGCTCTTATAGGCGTGTCAGCATGGTTTGAACCACAACAGTGGTCATTGACAAAGGAACAACAGGTTGCTCGACCTTTCG